AGCTGTCCTGTTGTCCCCGACTTGTGTCCACCCTCTGTGTGACGGCCATCCAGGGAGTCCTCTCCTTGGCAGCCCTGCTCACTCATGGCTGTGGGTTCCTTCATGGGACTGACCTCTCTCCCACTGGATTCAGCTTCCAGGATTCCCAGTTCAAGGGCAGGATGTAGACTTGTCGTAACCTGGAGAGGTGGCATCATTCTGGATAGACAATATGGAGGGGGAAATAGCTGGACCCGGAATGAGGGCGCTTGTGTTCCTAGGAGTTCATTTACATGAAATGGAGTTTACTTAAATGCTCTTCTGCTTCTTCTCGATACCGTCACAACTTTCCTCAAGAACCCAAGGAAGTTCCTTCATATTTTATCCGCTCAAGAGCAAACCTATGTGGTAGGAGAGGCTGAGAGTAGCCCAAGGCGTAATCAGAAAGTAGCCCTGACTAGCCCAAAGTCACCTAGCAAGCTTCATGGCTAAGTGTAGAACCTACATCTTCCAGGTTCTAGTCCAACACCCTCACCACTGCACCATTCTGCCTTTCAGAGTGATGCACGCAGTCTTAGTGATATCCAGATTATAGTGCCCTCGCAAACAACGCCCACATCTTACCTCTGACTAGCTCTGGCTGCATCCCTGCAGCCCAGAGGTGGAGAAGGGACACGGGGACAATCCAATGGGGCAGTGTGATTTGGGTCCTGGATCTCTGGATCTTGGAAAGGATGTGCTGTAAACAAGAGCAAGTGCCTAACTCTGCTTCCCCCCTCCTCTTCCATGTGGGTCAGGACTTTCAGATTAGCTACCATGGTGGCTTAGATTTCTGTGGGCCTGGACTTCCGTTTAATTGCTAGAACAAAGTGTTTGTTACAAAGACTGAAGTATTTCAGGTACCATCTCAGAAAGACAAAGCCGTTCTTGAGCACGACAGCCATTGCTCCAAACGTTTGGGGGACCCTCTGTTTCCGGGGGGCTCCAGCCAGCGAGGACGGAAAGGCGCACAGGACCCAGCCGGGGGCCCAGTGCAGCCACCGTCCTCAGGTCCTGGATCTGCCTCCGGGATCCCGCTTGGAAAGACATGCAGGGGCAGAAGCCTCTTGATGCTTTGCATACCCTGGACGCTTTCTGCATGAGGTGGTATTTGTGTGTGCTGATTTGGCACACCGAGTGCATTTTTGGGGAGAGGGTGGAATGCAGTCAGCAGAGAAACATGCCCTGCCATGTAAGGACTAGTCAAGCCATGCATGTTGCTCCTACAGTCAGGAATCAGAGAGAGAGAGAGAGGAAGGGAGGAAGGGGACAATCGACACGGAACATCTGCTAATAAACAAAATTTCTCCATCAGCCATTAGGTCAGTAAAGCAAACGTGAAACCATAAAATGCCCTGTCATAGTAAGACAGCATTCGAAAGCAAGAAGATTAAAACAGAAGCACACGAGAGCAGCCAGGATAAAAGCTGGCAGTCGTGCCATGATCCAAAAAGCTGCTAAGAGCACATTCCAGCCCGGGGGACGATTTGTCTCGGTGCTCTGCCACCTTGCCCCTCCTGTGCAGTTTTGACTGGCTAGCTGGGGCGCATGGGAGGGGATGTGAAGGAGGCCGCAGACGACATGGGAAGTGTTGTGTGCCTTGTCCCCTCCCTGCCTACCAGCTTGTCCCGTGTCCTCCTCCCCCAGGTTGACTTCCCGACTTTGGAGAGGCAGCTGGTGCAGCTCTTTCCAAGGGGAGGGGGCTTCTGGACAGACAGGTACAAGATCACGCCCCCTCCCCCCCTGCTGGAATAGCTGTACCCATTGCATTTAGGACAGTGCAAAGGGGTAAGGATTGCAACCCGTTTGTGTTTATTGGTAAACATGTACCTGCTTCGCATTACTTCCTAAACATTCCAAGGAAGAGCCTGAGCTTTAACCCCTCACATGGGGGAGGGGAGTGAAATGGACCGTGCAATCCATCCCTGCACTTCCTGTCTGCACGCACTTGCTTCACCTGCTTCAGGCGCCATCTTGGGCTGGCCTGGGCCCTGTGCAGCGAACTCCAGTTGTAGACCTTTGAGCTTCCATTAAAAAAGCCAGGTTGGTCCTACGAACACGGCCTTTGGCCACCCCGACGCCAGGCCTTTCATCCTCCCCCGTGGCATCTCGGTGAGAGGACTGGTTTCAGATGCTGAAATATACTGCCCTCCACTTGGTCAGGTTGATTGCCCTGACATGAGCTGGACATTTTTCTTAGTAGCAACAGAAATACCTGCTTCCCAGTACCCTACACTTCCTTCTTGGCCATTTCTCTTGGATTAGCAGCTCACACGATGATTTTCGACTGGCCTAGGGAAAGTAGGTTAATCACTGGAGTAGAGCAGGGAATCATGCCTGGAAGACCTTTGAGGGACCACTTGAAGGTCAGGTGGACCTCAAGGTGATTCTCTGAGTTCAGGCACAGTGCAAGGGGTGCCCAAACAGAAAGAAAGCGCACCGAGCAGAGGCGGGAGGTTGGCTGTCACAAAGCAGAGGGGATTAGAGCTTGGTTCTGACAACTGAGTCGGACACTCAGGGCCTTCTTGGCTCCTCAGTTAAAGTATATTTAGCAGGAAAAACAAGGCAAGAGCAAAGAGTGCAAGACTACAAAGAAAAGGTGCAATTCAGGCTGCCCAGGTAGCAGGTGATCTGGCTCAGAGGTGGGGATGCTTCAGGACTGGTCCATTTTTCCACCAAAGCTTCTGATTGGCTAATTCAGAGGTACCCTGGTGAGTTACCCAGCTGGATAATGGTACAGTAATTAGGCAGGCATTTGCATGTTTCTGTAGTAACAGGAAGCAGCTCCCGTTAATTAATGAGACAGTGTGCACTGCAGCTTCTCCTCCTCCGCAGCGCAATTAAGCAGAGGCTTAATTGTGTTCGTTGAAGCTTTGGGGGCTGTGCTTTGCAGATCCAAAATGGATCCTTGAGCCAGGTGGACATCCACGGTGCCAGTGGCGATGCTTCTCTATTACCACAATTGGAGAACTTCTACATTACAGCATGGGCCGTCGTAGAACGAATGCACCAGGGAACAGAAGCGCCTTCAGCCACATTCAATGATAAAACCATGCCCTGATTACAGAAATCTTTGCTGATTGGCTGCATGAAGTTTAATCACTTGTTGGATAGTATTGGATTTGCAAATGAGTAAAAACAGCTCAAGAGCACAATAAGGAGTGTCTGGCATTCCCACCCCGTAGCACACAAGCAGTGGGAACCTTCCTGAGGGTGCAGCTAATGCTGTTTGGTGGGCGAGGAAGGAAGGGGAATCAGTCTGGAACCAACTCCTGGTAACTGCACAATGACAAGGTCTTAACTTGACGGATATTGCTTGCAAACAGCCTCTTACATAATAAAGACGCTAGTTATAAGCCTCTTATCATGATCTGCAGGGAAGGGAAAAGGAGATGCAGGAGCAGGAGAGAAAAACAAGCCCCTCAACCCCTCCCTTAGCCTGAATCTGAGCTCAGGCTATCTATACAAGCCTCCCCTGACTTTGGGCCTTCCAGACATATTGAACTACAATTCTCATTATCCCCTGCCAGCATCACCATTATCCAACCTCTAGAGCACACCAGGATGGTTTAAACTGACTAGCAATGGCACTTTCAGGCAGAGAATGCTGCAACTGGGAAGTGAATTTCAGAAGAAATTCAAAATGGGCTTTGCTGTGGAGCTGCAGCTCTTCCCTATTAACTCTGAAAGGGAGTTTCAGATGGATGTCTAACTCCTGTCTTTCACCCTGTGTCCAAGCATACCAATTAATTATGGGGGTTGCCCCCGTTTTTGGCATGCGTGACCCTGCTCCACCCATACAGCATGGAGATAAACATCAGAATAGGTACTACCTTGCTAAATGATCTGCACCAACTTAACTCTATCTTTACCTTTTCAAAGCACAGCTGAGCAGAGCTTCCTGGATTTTTCAAAAGTGGCATCTTGTTATTCTCCACTTCTTCCCACAGCTCAACTTCTCCTAGCACATCCCTTCATTTTTGGACAACCTCACCCATCCACCCCCAATTCTTGCCAAACATGGAGGGAGATACCTAGCAGAGAATCAAGATGGTTCTGGTGGACCGGGAAATGCATTGCTGAGCAACTTTTTGGAAAGATGTTACAGCGGGTGGGAAGGCTCACCTGAAATCTTTCCTAAGTGCCAGTCCCACATTCAGCTCATAGGTCTCACAGTTTCTCATTCGCTTCTGGTGACTTACTTTTTTCTCCCAGCCCAAAAAAGTTTGCATAAAACTTGCATACATGACGTTAAATCTATAGATGCAGAACTGAAATATCGTCTAGGATTTATAAAGAAATCCATCTTACCATGCATTCATCTTGTTATTCATTAGATTGGGATGCCTTCCCCATTGTTGCTTTCATTTCCTGTTCTGTTCCTACGAGCTTCTGTTTGTGTTTCCGTTGTTTTGTTTGCATGCTTTGCTCCCGCGTCCGTGGCTTTTTCTGGTTCCACTCCTTTCTGTATATGTGGAACAAAGGGAAATGGCCCTGCTAGAGCATGAGGTGCCTCAGTTTTTCCTGTGCACGTGCAGAGTCCCCTTTAGAGAAGTTCCCACTGCAGACCCACCAGGGCCGTTCCTGGTGGGCCCCTCTTAGCACTGTCAGTCAGGCAGAAGGCCTTGCAGCCTTCCCACCTCTTCCTCCTTTTCTGATTATACAAGGAAAAAAAGATGAGACCAAGGATGGGTTACAAGAAACAGGCAAGCTCAGTCCTGGTCTTGAGCTTCTCCAAATTTCCATGCTTGGTGGCATGGCAGAGACCTCTTCTGGAAGCACCCCAGATGCCTTCAGACAAGGCATGGCAGAGACCTCTTCTGGAAGCACCCCAGATGCCTTCAGACAAGCTAGCTTGGTGGTTAGGCTGACGCTGGCTGTCGGACTCCCTCCTGCAGCTATTTAGGACATGGATCCACCACAAAGGTGAGTTCTAAGTGCGATCCTTGCCTGATTCCTATGAACCTTTTTCTTGTTTCTAGTATTCCCCGCTGCTGAAGAAGCTCTACTGTCAAATTGCTAAGACATGTCCCATTCAGATCAAAGTGTCGACGCCGCCACCCCCGGGCACTGCCATCCGGGCCATGCCCATCTACAAAAAGGCAGAGCACGTGACGGAAGTGGTGAAGCGCTGCCCAAACCACGAACTCGGACGCGACTTCAACGATGGTAAGATCCTTGCAGACGGGAGCAAGTCTTCAGACCCCGACCGTTGAGGAAATGCTAGTTCTTACTAAAGGACAGCTTGCTCTCAAGCTCTCCTCTGTCGTCCCGGTTGTGTTCTCCTGGGCAGCAGAAGAGGACAACTGCTTGGCACATGGTCCAGGGACTGTGTGGGGTGATTGAGCTGGGAAAGGGGGTGTGTAGGGAGAGCCGTTCCTGTGGGCCCCCTGTGTGATCAATCCCAACGGAGCTGGAACTGCTGCTATCGGTATCCGTGGCAGAGAAATAGTGAAAGCCATTGGGTTAGCGATCTGGACCCCAGCAATCCCATTGCATGTGACTGTGTGAACTTCATGGGACTTGCTTTGGGGTAGATGTGCACAGGACTGCACTAGAACGGAGAAAGAGCCAATGTGGCAGAGTGGTTAAGAGCATGGGTCTGGGAGGCGGAAGATCCGGGTTCGAGTCCCCGCTCAGCCATGGAGCCAGCTGGGTGACTCTGGGCCAGTCACAGACTCTCAGCCCAGCCTACCTCACAGGGTTGCTGTTGTGGGGATAAGATTGAGAGCAACAGGAGAGGAATGAATCCTTTAGAAAATGAAAAAGCAGGATATAAAGCTGATGAATAAATAAATGCGATTGCATACATATGTAAGTAGACAAAATAAATGTATGTAGATGAAACCGTACAACCCATGTGAAGGATGATGTTAGCAGATTTGGGAGTTCTTCAGAAGGACAAACAACATTTGGAAAAAGAAAAAGGCAGGACTCAAAACAGCCAATAGGGACAGACCATTGCCATGGGTTGGTGAGTGGCTATTGGGAGAGGGAACAGATGGATGGTTTAGACAGGGACTGAAATCAAGATGGTGGTGATGTCCATTTGGACGGGACCCTACTGCACTCACACTCCTCCAAATGAAAGCACAAATCGGAATACCGCTTTGCTCCAAAATCTTTCTTTCCTCTCACACTGAGGCCAAGCAAGTTAAAAATATGCACAGAGGGTATTAAAAAATTCACCAAAAGGATATAGAGACTTGCTCTTGCCTATGGGAGAAAATGCATCCATTTTGGAAAAGGCACGGCTGAATAGTTTACTAAAGGAAGTGTGTGTCTGAAAAATGCACATGAAAATATGCACAAAGATTCATGCAAATACGTTTAAAGGAAATCTATTTGCGAACCGTTGCAGAAATGGGACAGGCGGCACTTAACTGCAGAAATCTAACCGCCTGGCCAAAAGAGAACAGGATAAATTTGTGTGTCAGAATGGAAGAGGGAAAAGCTGCCCAACTGGCAACCCTGAACTGAAGCATTGCTGGTTGCATCTTTGTACAAGTCCTTTTCTATAAGCCAGGATAACTTGCATTCCTTCCACACACAGAGGCCAGATCCTGCAAAGTGCAATTCACGTTCCCTGCTCATTTTGTCTGTGAGCTTTGAGAAGCAGCCAACAATAGGGTTATTGTTGGGAGAAATAGCTGGGTTAGACAGATTTCCATCCGATCGAACGAGATGACAGCACTCCTTGTAGGGTGAGAGCACACGGTCTTTAATCCCTCAGAATTCCTGCCACAGGGTGTCAAGTTAAGCCAAACGGCTGTGATGCTGGAGGTAACCCTGCCCGTTCTCTCTGCAGGCCTCTCAGCCCCTGCCAGCCATCTGATCCGAGTGGAGGGCAACAACCTCTCCCAGTATGTGGATGACCCCGTCACCGGAAGGCAGAGCGTGATGGTCCCTTACGAGCCACCCCAGGTAATCAGTCCTGCTGTGGGAAAAGTTCTGGACTGTGGAAACAGTATCAGTCCATCTCAGTTATTTACCTGAGCCTCTGGCCAGCCCTTAAACTAGCAGTGCTGGACCGCTTGACCACCTGGTGACCCCCGTTGGAACAGGGCTTAAGAAGCATCTTCAGGAGGCATCTTTGACCCGAAGGAAGCATCTGGGCATCTTCTTTTCATGTAGACTTGGGTGCGTTTGCGTGTCAAGGACCACACGCCCCTGTGACATGACCAAGGTGGACAAAAATTAATGTTCACTGTTTCTCTCCCTTTCCAAGGGTCAGTTTCACACATCATGTTAGATACTTTTACAAAATATGCTTAAGAGAACTACTTTTATTCCAAGAAAGAAGCAGTCCTGAAGAACTGGGAGTACAAACTGGATCTTTTCTCTCAAAGAGATGTAGATGGTTTAGCATATTTAAAAGAGAGAGAGAAAGGCTGTTTATTGTCAGGTATTTTTTGGCCTTCCCTGTGAGGGAAGAATATTTATTTGTTTGTTTAAAACTTTTTTTAGACCATCCCTTACTATGATCTTGGGACGGTTTAACAATAAGACAAAATAGAATAAAACACAGCATCCAAGTCAAATTCTTAACCAATCAACAATGAAACCCATATTAAAAGAGTCAAACCTTAAAAGATTGGGAAAATAAAAAGGGGTTGGCCTGGCACCAAAAAGAATAAAGCAACAGCCTCAGGCAAAGCTCTCTGGGGAGCTTATTCTGCAATTGGGGTGCCACCACAGAGAAGGCCCTTCTCTGGGTAGTCGCCCTCCTGATCTCCTTCAGGGAGGGCACCTGGAGCAGGGTGTCTGCCCCAGATCTTACAGGGCGGGCAGGCACGTATGGAAGGAGACGCTCCTCCAGGTAACCAGGCACTAAGCTTTTTAGGGATACCTCTAGCTTCTCCTTAACGTATGGGTTGAACATTTGGGACAGTGTCCTTTACTAGAATATGAAGAGTTCTATAACTTTCGGGTCCCAATCAAGGCTTAGTTCAGCACCTACTTTTATCAGCAGGGTCAGCACAGTCCACCATTCCCCAACTGGGCACCAGCTCCCAGCATTCTTGAGCACTAGCTATATGATGGCTAGGACTGATGGGAGTTGAAGTCCCAAACATCTGGAGGGCCAAGGCTGAAGAAGGCTGGCCTGGTACATGGGCGAGGATAGCAAAGAAGGTATTTCTTGTTTCGTGGGCACAGTAAATTTCCCTTAGTGCCAACCAGCCTCCTCCCAGCAAGAGCTGGATCAGAGCAGAGCCTGGGGAACCTCCAACACACGCCCCATGGAAACAGGTCCACATTTTCCAAGAGCATTTTTATCGTGTCCTTACTTAGAAACAGAGAAACAGAGCGAGTCAGAAGGGGCCTCCCGGGCCATCGAGTCGGACCCCCGGCTCCAGCCGGCTCCGCTCACGACACGCCCGCCATGTGCACGTCCAGCTGCACACTCGGCACCGTGGCTCTGGAGAACATTCCAGGACACTCATTCTGGTCCCTTGGGTCCAGTTTGCTTTTCTGACATCAAGACCCCCTTAAACTTACCCTTCCGAAACTGCCATGGAGGAAGGGCCATGATATGGTGGCACTCCCAGGTTCCGTCGTTGGCACCTCCAAGTAGACCCATCTGAAATGCTGGAGAAGTGCAGCCAATCCACATAGACTATTCTGAGCCAGAGGGCCTGAGCTTCTGGCCTTGTCTACCCCTTTGGCTCGGCTCTGCCTGCAAGAAGTCGGGTGTCTTGGACCACATGCGCCTCCGCATCTTCTGGGTACACAAACTGCCCAGGTATTTTATGCACCCCCATGGAAAAGTGCATACAGCGCAACTCTTCCTTCTGTCTATACCATCAGGGCAGTAAACTGTGGCATCATTTCCATGGTGGCAGATTTCTAAAGAAATAGAAATGCATTGTTTATAATTAAAGAAATAATAAAAGATCACAGAAGGTAGGAGGAAGAAGAGGAGCGGGCATGGGGAAAGCCGTTTATAGGCTGGTTCGCCCCCTGCTGTTTGACAAAATTATTGCAACCCTCATTCAAGCACTGGCTTGTACGTTTAAACAACAGAAAGGGGGATTTTATGCTGCTCCCCCATTCAAGGCCCTAAAGAGAAGGCCCCAACTATGGAACAATTTCGCCTACATTGCACTCTTTCCAGCAAAGAACTTCCAGCCTATCCTTGAACACCGTCACCAATGGGGCTTCAACCCACCTCCCGTGGAAGCCCATTCCACACCCTCGGGGTCCCGACTGTCAGGAAGTGCTTCTTGGCATCCAAATGGAACCTGGTTCCCTGAGCTTTGCTCCATCGGAGTGCGTCCTGCCTTCCTCTGCAGGGGAGAACAGGTCTCCGCCCACCTCCATGTGACATCCCCTCACATACCTGTATGTCGCCAACAGGTCCCCTCTGAGTCTCCTCTTCTCCAGGCTGAAGAGACCCAGTTCCCTCAGTCTCGCCTCAACTGGCTTCCCCTGCAAACCGGCCACCATCCGAGTGGCCCTTCGCTGCACTGATTCCAACCTTGCCATATCCCTCTTGTAACGAGGGGCCCAGAATTGAACATAACACTCCAGCTGCGGGCACACCAGAGTCCTAGAGAGTGGCAGTAACACCTCTCTCAATCTCGAAGCCACGCTTCTGGCTATACATGCAAGGCTGGGCTCACACTCCTAGCTATTCAAATGTTTATACTATATGTTACATGTTTATACTGTAAGTTATATGTCCATGGGGTTGCAAAGAGTCAGGCACGACTTTGCAACTGAACAACAACAACTATAGGTTATGTTTTAAGTTGTGGTAACCTGCCAGGGAGTTTCAGCTAATTGGCAAGGTGAAAACAGAACACACGCCTAAATGAAAAGGCTGTTCCAGAGCTGCATACATACGAAGCTCCTCCATGAGGGAAAGGGGAGCGATTCCCCCTCATGCTGGGGGAATCTATGGGGGACAGAGAGTCCTTGACAAGGCATCAAAACGTGTGGGGAGCAATGGTGCTTGTCTGACACGGGAGATGGCAAGGTGGCACGTACCTTTGCATGTCGTCTCAGCTTTCACTTTTCGGTATAAAAGCAAACCGCCTTTCTGGCTGGGCAGGGCCACAGCGGCGACAGGGGAGCTCAGCTGCCCAGGAGTGACCTTCTCTCGCTTCCTTGGCACAGGTGGGCACCGAGTTCACCACCATCCTCTACAACTTCATGTGCAACAGCAGCTGCGTGGGCGGCATGAACCGGCGCCCGATCCTCATCATCATCACCCTGGAGACCAGAGAGTGAGTCGGTCCGACCGAGCCCCGTGGCTTCCGGGGAGGCGACACGGCGGTGCGGCTGGAGCTGCTCCCCGGGGAGGCTGGGGCGCGGCTGGGGAGGGAGTCGGGGCGCCCTGCATTGATTCGCCTCGCACTTTGCTTCCCAGCGGGCAGGTCCTGGGCCGAAGGTCCTTTGAGGGCCGCATCTGTGCTTGCCCCGGCCGAGACCGGAAAGCAGATGAGGACCACTATCGAGAGCAGCAGGCGCTGAACGAAAGCGCCACCAAAAACGGCAACCCGAACAAGCGGAGTAAGTCGTGGGGTCGCCGTTCAGGCCCAGAATGGCTCTGGAGAGGGAGGAACCGGTGCTGAGGAAGCCCTCCCATCCTGCCCCGAGAGGAGGTGCCCGGCTGCCGGTCCATGGGCAGCACCCACACCACCACCTGCCCCAGGGCGGCTCTGAGCTGCGTCCCCGGTTTAGATGTTTCTGAAAACTGGTATGGCCTAAGGAGGTCGTGGTCTCCCCCACCCTGGGGGCACTGAAGATGGAGGAGGAAGCCACCTGTCCATGGTGCTTGACCTTGCAGTCCTGCTCTGAGGAGACCTGATGGCCTTAAAGGCTTTTTCCAATGCTACAATCCCATGACGCTCAGAAAGCCGTATGCTGGTTTCTCACGCACTGCTTTTCCCGGCCAGGATCGCTCCCAAGGAGCTTGGGACTTGGCAGGATCCAGCCCCCCGTGGTCAGAGAGGTGCCTGGCAAGGGAAGCCAAGGGAAGCCGAGTAGCCAGATAGGGAGTCCAACCAAAGTTGCACTTCCCAGGGCTGGCTGTGACACAGAGAAGGCTGGGGATCTGTTATAGGATGCAGCAGGCAGAAGGTGGAATTTGTCCATCCTGAGGAAATATGGGAGGATTTTTAAACAATTATTTTTAAAAAATGGTTGATTAAGAGAACTGCATCACTATCTTGGTTTGGGACCCTGTTAAAGCACTTATTCAAGGGCATTTATAGCATGGGGTTCATATAAAACAAAAGAGCCAAGCGCTAACCATGTATCTTTAGTGAAGAGTTGTTAATTTCATATGCAACTGACCTCCTCTCTCAGTGTTATCGAGGCCTCTCATTATGGTAAAGCATAAGCTTAACACACTGCATGCTTCAAAAACTGGATTTCTAATGGAACTGTTCCAAGCAAAGATGGAGAGGCACAGGAGAGAATTCGAGTGCACTATTATAAAGAAAAAAGGAGGAGAAATATCATAGATAGCGTCATGGAATGGGTGGTGGTCCTCCAGCAGACAAGATGAGGAAGATTCTGACCTGTGATTCCTACACTCCAGCTTGAATTCTTGCAGTTCCCTCTGTGGTCTTGGGGAAGTGGGCACTGCGGTCGGCTGTGGTCCATTCAGCCAGTCTGGGGTGGACAGCAAGAGGAGGGGGATCTAGTCCATGAAGATTCAGAAGATGAGGGTGGTGGGAGGAAGAGGAGGAGCCGTGGTTCAAGAGGAAGAGTCTGGAGAACAGGGTCTGAGCTGTAGGCAACATGGCTGTAGGGCTCCTGCTCTGCATGCAAAGGGTCCCACGGTCAGTTCTTGGCATCTCCAGAGGGGGCTGGGAAAGACCCCCATGTGAGACCCCTTAAGGTCCATGAGAGTCAATGGAGACAATCTAAAGCTGGAAGGACCTAGCTCTCCAGTCCATCTAAGGTAGCTCAGACTCTGACTGAGCGTCTCCAAAAGACTTCATGTTGCCAGCCCTCCATAATTACCTTCTCTCTCCTCTCCTCTCCTCTCCTCTCCTCTCAGCTTTCAGGCAGAGTCCCCAAGGGATTCCAGCACTAGGGGCTGGAATTAAGAAGCGGCGGCACGGGGAAGAGGAGACGTATTACGTCCCTGTAAGTACCGTCCGAGCCAGACATTTTGTAGAGGGATTTGCCACTGGTTGGCAGGTGAGCAGGCGGGTTGGGAGGCCGCAAGGCGGGCTGGGAGGCCGTAAGGCGGGCTGCACGAAGCCTGGAATGTGATCCTCCCATGATGCAGGTGCGCGGCCGAGAAAACTTTGAGATGCTGATGAAGATCAAGGAGAGCCTGGAGCTGGTCGAGCTCGTCCCCCAGCAGTTGGTCGACTCCTACCGGCAACAGCAGCAGCAGCTCCTGCAGCGCCAGTGAGTCCTGGGCGGTCCCTCCGCCGAGCGCCTGGAGCACTCAGGCGTTCCTGCAAGGGGGTTTCCTCGGGGGGAGGCGTAGCACCCCCATGCACGAGGTCTCCATGAGCACCTGAGGGGTCGCTGGTGGTGCTCCTCCATTCTCCTCCCTGCCCCTCCTGACTTGCCATTTTCAGAGGCAAGGATGAGTGGCTGGGGGCATCGGCAGAGGACGAGTCTTCCGAGGGGCCCACAGTCTGGGCCAGCCTTGGTAGGAAGCCCGTGGTGCTGGGCAGACTCCCGGGATGGGCCTTGCCTGTCCCTTCCTGTGAATCGGGAGTGGGCCCTGCTCCCTTCTCCGGCTCCAGGTCGGGAAGGCTGGCCCTGTGCGTGCAGGTTTGCCCTCGTGCACCGGGGCGCACTCAAGCAGCGCAGCCTTTGCCCAGCCTCCCACACCCGTCCCCATCTCCCACGCCGAAGCAGGACGCCCAGCCAGCCATCAAGCCTGCCGTGGCCATGCAGCGGCCAAATGAACGTCGAACCTCCTCGCAGTCTTGCAGCGGAGGAGGGAAGCGTTGCTGCGATGACGCGGCTCCTCCCGCCCAGCGCCAAGGTGCGGGCGAAGGCCAGGGTTCTCAGCACCCTCCACAGCCACAAGAGGTCAGGACCCCAGCGCCGACTGAAATCCCCCGCTCGTGGGCCGCCAAGGCATCCGCCTGGCCAACCTGGGACTCAAGGCGGATTCAAAGGGGATGGGAGAGAAATTTCAGCTGGCCCCTGCCATGCAGCTTGCTGGACGGGCACCCCGGGGCAACCCGGAAGCCACTCTAGGGGAGGCATGGTCTCTTCCAGGAGGACTTTCCTTCTGTTCTTCCGCTTGCTGAGGAGCATGTCTCCAAACCTGGAGCCAGTCCTGGAGGCAGGCCATGCCTTTCTGCAGAAAAGCCCCTCGGTTTAATCCGCACTGAACATCAGCCAAGGAGCCAGGTGTGGTAGCTACTTACACGGCTCCAAAATGGAAGAGAAAGGGGACACCGATTTGCACAGGATGCACATATCCTCGACGATGGATAGGCAGGCAGGCAGGAAGAGCAAATTTAGAAACAGATTTGTGGGGAGGACAGAGAACCCGAGTGCTTGCTCAGCCCACTGTGCAGGTACAGACGGCGGACAGTTTCATGGAGATTGTCCTCCCTTCTCAAGGTTCGTTATTTTTAAGCCAGACTTGGACCAGACCACAGTTCAAAAACAGGGTCTACAAAGAAGGATGCAAGTCACGGGCGGTGCTGGCCTGCGTCCTTGGGCAGACTCGGTTTCTGCTGACAGTCGGTTCTGTCCCCATGCAGGGCTCACCTCCACACTCCTTCTTCGTACGGCCCGGTCCTATCGCCGATGAACAAGCTCCACGCAGGAGGGATCAACAAACTGCCCTCCGTGAACCAGCTGGTCAGCCAGCCCGCACAGCACGGCCCTGGGACGGGGCCGAACCTCGGGCCGATGGGTAAAGCTGCTAACACAACCAATAAGAACGGTGCTGTGATGCTTAGGTCCTGCTCTCCTTCTGGAAGAGAAACGGGCAACTGGCAGGCTTGCGGGCTCTCCTTCGCGATGCCTTGTAGGAGAAGCCATTTGCAGAGCCCCGTTCCTGTCATCTAAGGGCAAGATACTCTAGGCAGTCAACTGTTCCCTGGTCGAACCAGCTCAGGGAGGGTGGCAACGGGCGCATCCGGTGGAAATGTGGAAGCACACGCCTCACCACCACCACCTGAAGATCCAGAAATATCTCCCCCACTACGGACTTGACCTGTCATGGAGAGCCCACCCCTTTGCAGACCTGGCGAACTTCCCATTCCTGAGTCAGGCGTTCTAGTGATGAATAACTCTCTTGTTTGGGTTCAAACTCAGGGTGTAAAAGCTCCTCCGGCCCAGTTTTAAGTCCAGGGAAGATTCCACCTGCTTCTTTAATATTAGGCAACAAAGAGCAAAACTTCGTACCACCTCCCTTAGTAGTTTCTTGTAAATATTAACATGGGGGAATCCTGTGAGAAAGTACAGGTCAATGCCCAAGGAATCAAGCCATTCGAAAATGGCATTTCCAAGCAGCTGGCTTTCCAAACAGGAAGCAGCTCTGAGGTACCGAGTCACGGGAGCACAAGTGGGAAACGGGAGAGTTTAGTTCAAGGCATGAACTGCCTGGAATTAAAATGTTTATACTGCTCCTTTTCTAAGGGTCTCACATTTTAGGCAGGTCCTTGGTCAAGCCACCTCTCCTTTAGCCCCACCAAGTTTGCCTTCCAGAGGGATGTTTTCCAACTGGTTGGACCCACCATGGCAGCCATTTTGTGAATGGACAAGCTTCTCCTTGGCCTCCATTTTGTCAGAGTCCCCACCTGGAATTTTCTCAAAGTTCTCCAACCTTTTTGTCCTCTTGAGAAGGGTTGTGGGTGCTCTCACAAAATGGCCGCTGTGCTTCAGTCCACCAACCAGGGATGTAGTCGGGGTTTTTTTGTTTTTTGTTCTGGTTGAGGTGGTTCCCAGCTCTGTGACCCCACCAGTGCACAGACATGCATGCTCTGTTACGCATGAAGCAACCTGGGAAGTGGGGAAGAAAGAAAAATCTATGACAACAATGAGATTGCGATTGCGTCACATGCATACCCCGCCATATTTCCTGTGCTAAGTAAATGTGCTAGCCTTGCACTGAAAGCATCTTTATAAATTCACCAGGCCTGCTTGCTGTTGTTTCTTGAACCCAGGGCCGGGAATGCTGAACAGCCACACCATGCAATCCAACGGGGAAATGAATGGCGGGCACTCGTCCCAAGCAATGGTCTCAGGGTCGCACTGCACTCCCCCTCCGCCCTACAACCCAGACCCAAGCCTCGTCAGGTAAGGAGGTAATTGCTAAGGGACTCCATCTGGGGATGCGGGCACGCTCTCCCCTTGTTTTAACCCTGTACTCACCTCTGTGGCAACTGGTTTGCGGACTCGGCTTCAGGAGCTGCGCTTGTTCCATTTGGCATGATCCAAGGAGAAGACCAAACTTGCTTTCTCCTTCACAGAGTTGTCTTCTCCAACTCAGAGGTGATGAGATGGCTTGTAGATGCAGGTCTGTGAGCTAACTCAGGTACCCCAGAAAGGTGATTCCACCAGGGATGAGAAACGTGCACGAAGACTTTTTCCAAGGGTGGCTTCTGATACCTCACATATCAGCATAAAACTTGCACCCAGTAATTTACATGGATAGATACAAATACAGCAATAATTTGCTGCATTCAAATGAATTGCTTAGAATTTAAATAGAAATGCAACGCATCACACCTTGATGGGAAAGACACGGCACTGATGCCCTCGTGGTTGGTGTTCTGTCAGGGTGGTTGATGGGAACTTCAACACACCCTTGTTCTTAAACCGCATTTTGGGCAGCCCTTCAAATAGAGGGAGTCCTTGAAGATGAGGATTGTCCCCTATCAAGTGGGAAAAATGGTCACCCTGCCTCCGCCCCACGCTGGCAAGGGGCCACAGTACGAGTGGGTTGCTTTTGTGTCTCCTCGTGTTCAGCACAAGGAAGCTGTGGAACTCCAGATGATGTTGGGCTACAACTCTCTGACCAGATGTAGCCGACAGCATCTGGCAGGAAGACCTCGATGGGACTTGCTTCTCAGCAAACCGGTACAGAAGTGTGTTATAGGAGTTCCTGAGGATGTAACACCAGTTTTATTCTCTATATGTGTTTTCTTCTTCTGCAGTTTTCTAACAGGGTTGGGGTGTTCAAACTGCATTGACTATTTCACTTCACAAGGGATACAGACACTTTACCACCTGCAGAACCTAACCCTGGAGGTAAATACACTTTCTGAGCTGATGTTTTTTCCTGGCGCACCGTCTTAAAATGTAGAGGAAATGCTTTAGGAGAGATGGGGACAAGGGGGGGTTGGAGCCACAGGGTTGGTTCTAGGGGTTGAGCAGCCTTTAACACTTCCAAGCATCCTACATGTATTCATCCGAGCTTGGGAAAGAGTTTGGTTGCAATCTGCTACCCACATCCTTGGGAACAATCGTGATGGAATTCAGAATTGCTTCTGAACAGGTTTGCATAGGAGTGCACCGTTAGTATTTAGGCATAAGAATGGAAGAGACCAACCAGTCTCATCAGAAGAACTGGATCGCACAAATGTCACTTGTAAACAGAACCTTTGAAAAAGGGATATTCTCAACCAACTGTGATTAGCAATAAAGAACCAAGAGCCACTGGATGAAATGGGGGGAGTTCTCTATTGCTGTGAAGGACAGGACTAGAACGACTGTGTGGAAAGAACAAGGAAGTTTTCCTGAAATGTTGGAGAAAACTTCCTAAGACTGCATTCCAGTTGACCAGATAGCTTCCAAAATGGATGGGTTCTCTTTGAACAGAGGTTGCCCTTGCTGGCTACAATGAGCCCTTGGACTTGGACTCTGAGATAAAAACCACAGAACCCAACAGCTGCAATAGCATCTGTCTCTTTCCATCCCGGAGGATGCTTTGAACATTCAGAGTATGTTTGGACGTATTCTCCTCAGATATTTTTCCTTGTATGATGAGAGGTGTGCGTGTTCATGCACAGATGCTTATGTTTGTTAAGACAAATAATTTCTGGATTCAGTCTTCATTTAGGTTCTCTTATAATTGGATTTCTGGATTTGTCCAGCAACTGGTTGGTGCCTTCGGTAAAAGAGGACAGGTGGCCACCAGCTATAAATTAATAGCCATTCTACTCCAATTTAACTACCATGGCTTCCCTTCACAGAATGATGGGAACTGTAGTCTGGTGAGTGTGCCAAGAATTCTCCATGAGAATTGCCCTTTCTTCTTTCACAGAACTACAGGTCCCAGAGTTCCCTGGGGTGAGGATACTATTCTTAAAGCAGTCTGTAATGTAGTTAATTCCATATATACAAATGCCCTCAGAAATCAGGGGAACAGAACCATGCCAATAGGGAGAAATTTGGGACCAGGCGGCGTGGAGCGAATATAAGTTCCATCAGCATGGCTTCTCTCAATGTGATTATGAAGTAGCAAGAGAATATTTCTTTCTATCCGTCCGTCTGTCCATCCTTCCTTTCACTGCCTCACTTTTAGAATGCGTAAAGATACTCTTCCACTTTGCAATACCTGAATATTCTTAGTATTTTGTAATGAATGCAAAGGTGTAGGGGGAGAAAAATCTGTAGTGTATTATTATTATTATTACTACTACTACTACTTTAATTTCTAAACCACCCTACAGCCAAAGTTCTCTGAGCAGTTTAGATTAATTATGCAGGTTTTTATCATTCCAATTTTCAAAGAAGGTTCTGCATTCTAGAGAAAGGAAAACAACACCTTTTGTGAGGCCAACATCTCATTCAAACTAAGACTACCCATTTCAGTTCTAAAAAAAGACGCCTTGGGTTGAGTTCCTCTGAACATGTACAGAGGGCTTCATGAACAGTACGCCTCTGCCCTGCGGAATGTTCTGGGTGCCAGATTTGGATCACCGCAGCAGCGTAAATCTTTCTCCCCCGCTTAACGGTAGCTCGCGGCTTCTTCCTCCGTTCAGTGTCAGAACTATTCCGTGTTCGTAGCTGGGAAGGACCGGGATCAGCCGCTGCAGCGCATGCGGCTTTTAACTTTGCCATCTTTGCAGGATCTCGGCGCACTGAAGATCCCGGAGCAGTACCGGATGATCGTCTGGAGAGGCCTCCAGGAACTGAAGCAGACGCACGACTACGGCGGCCAGCAGCTTCTCCGTTCCAGCAGCAACGCCTCCACCATCTCCATCGGCACCTCGGGCGAGCTGCAGCGACAACGCGTCATGGAAGCCGTGCACTTCCGGGTGCGCCACACCATCACCATCCCGAACCGCAGCGGGGCCGACGAGTGGGCGGACTTTGGGTTTGACCTCCCGGACTGCAAGTCCCGCAAGCCATCCATCAAAGAGGAGTTCACAGAGGGAGAAATAAACTGAGCGTGCCGAGAGCGACGGGGCCGCCGCCGAAGAACCAGCATGGGAATCATGAACTGGACCTGAAAGGTATTTGGTGTGGGAGCCAAGTAGGACTTGAACCTTTGGGTAGCCGCCAAAAGTATTCTCCGGAGCGTGCAGTAGAAAGCGACAGCCGGGCGGTGGAGTCCTGAGCAGCTTGCCCATTCCTCTCTGCCCATGAAAGGCAGCCTTGCTCATGACCACGCCAGGGAGCTTGCAAAACTTCCGGTAATCGTATTCAGCAGCACAACCTACTGGTTGATGCCCATTGGCACGCTGCGGGTGGAACGCACGTGCATCCAACTTGCAGCACGAGGAAAGGGCTGCCTTTCGTTTCCTTACGAACATCTGCTTCTCTTTCATCAGCCGTGGTCCATCGTATCCGAGATGGTGGCTATTTCCTCTGTGAAAATGGGACCACCCGTACATGACCTCCCCTGGCTGCTTGGTACGAAACCATCTGAGAACTTTTCCTTAAAGGACAGCCAAAAAGTGTTGGTTTTCTACAATTCTTTGTAGGATGGAAAAAGCATTTGATGATCAAGCGTCGTTCAGATTAGCTAGTTGAAACGTTTGCACGGAGAGGCAGCTCTCTGCCCACGTTGTACATACCGTCTTCTTGCCATGTTCTTGTAAGGTTTATTTTCTGTGTAAGTTTTAGTCTATAAAGAGTTGATAGATGCGTAAGACTCTTCCTCCCGTCCTGTCCCCACCCCCACCCAGCAAACAGGGCAGCATAAAAATTGGAGTCTTCTTCCCCAGGCCTACCAAGACTTGCCTCCCCCAATCTCAAATGTCCGCACAGCCCAGGAACTCCCATTTGATCACATCCAAATAATTATTTTGGTCTTTGGAATCGATTCCTTAGAGAAGGCTCAAAAACCCGTAGCCCTCATCTTGAACATGCGTGGAGGGACCTTATACAATCGCAGTAGATAGAAATATTTCCCAGCTTTTAGCCTCGTCAAGGAGTTAGCAGTGCCCCAGTTTAAAAACTGGCTTAGATGGCCGAGGATCGTATTCCGCATTGGGTGTATTTTGTCGAACGGTGTGCAAAACGCCTTCCTGTGGAACCCTTTGTTAAAAAATTCTTTGCACCAACAGACCTCTAGCTCTGGGTTGTGACCCCGCACTGATATTTGGCCTGGTAGAGCGCTTAGTTCCACCCCAGTATATTGAACATTTTTTTAAAGTAATGGTTGAACCATTTGGTACTTCCTCCACACTGCACCCTCAAAATCGTACTTGATATCCTGCAGTTGATATCCTGGAATTAACACACCCTCAAGTTCAATCAAACCATCATTACAGCATTAGTTTTGACTGTTTCTACACAACGAAGACCTGGTTTATTGGACTTCAGATACACGGAAGCAAGCCGAGATGGGGAAACGGCACTCGGCAGCTCATTCCACCTGTCCTTAGCAGCCAGAATGCCCTGTGTGGTGTCTCAGGCAGAAGGCCAATTTCCTGCCAAACGAGGTGCGGCCGATCGTAATCAGCTGGGCCAAAAGCTCGGGCTCAGGAAAACAAGCAAACATTCTCCACCCCTTTTCCAGGCAGCAAATTTGAAAGGGAGCATTTTGAGCATTAGGTTCGGGGGCATCTCCTCCTCCCCAAAAGGCCTGTATTAGCACTTGTGGTTGTGATAGCAATGGGCTAACGTGACGTTTAAACCTTGTCGAGGCTGTGAATTCCTTGCTGGAGTGCAGTTCCCCTTGTAGATGTTCCAGAAGGCAGGTGTCGCCATCTTTTCAAACTGCGAAAAATGTGATTTTTTTAAATGAGAACTTTTTTCCCCAGTTGAAAACGTGCATTTCCCTCATTGACAAAAGTCTGAAAATACAGATTTGGGGAGATGTGCATATCTGTGTTTCTGGGAGTGCACAGTTGTGTAAGCGCTCACTTTTTGAAGTGAACAGAAATTCAGGAAAAGGCAAAACTCGCCCATTGCTGTTTGCACTCACACTGGGTTCTTGAACAGGACCTCTCTGCAAACAGATTAAATTTTCATAAACACCAAGGCAATGATCCTTTGGGTGGGTGTGGGTGCTCTATCTTAAGTTGCTGCGATTGTCCTCTTTTTGCTTATGCGGATCAGTCTGTACATTGCATCAGCATCCCAGCATGATGTTCTATGTTTGTCCTTCTTTGTACATTTGTGGTTTCAAAACCTTTGCTGGGCAAGGGTAAATCTTTCCCTTTTTTTTCTTTTAAGGAACACTACCAGTAGACTGTAACATGTTTAATTCTGCTTAACAGTCCGATGCAGAAGCATGGCCTCGCTACTTTCCATGACCCACATTGGGTCGTTGAAAAAGGTTATTCATACCACCAGCTAAGCTCAGGTGCCGTTGCAAGCGTGCTCACCTCACTCCAGAAGGATACGCTTTTGAGCCGAAAAGGCGTGTGGAAAAGCAGGCCTGGAGTGAGCATGGAGGCACCTGGACAGCTGCTGGGGCACCTGATTATTACCCAAACCCCATTCCCAGGAGCACCAAATGCCAATTCACCTGGAGGCCACAGTTTTGTTCTTCTGGGAAGGAGGCCAGGGAGTAGCGGAGAAACAACGGCCAGCTCCCAGTGAGGTCTGCCATGTTGTGCTTGTGGCAGCTGCCAGTTTGGCTTTCCCAGAGATCTCTGGACCAAGTGACTGCTCAAGGCCTTGCAATAGGGCCCTCCCTGCTGAGAGACCATCACCTGCAACAACTTGATTGTGCATCATGACTTAAAGAAACTGAAAAAGCCTGAGCAGAAAAGGAAACTCCTGGGGGGCAGGCACGGCAAGGAAGTTACCCTCTCTCCAGGCTTCCGCGCTCTGCAGAATCTCAGGCAAAGACTCCTTTATCACCGGATTTGTGACAAGGAACGTCAAGAACAGAACACAGAACCTTCTGTGTGCGAGTGTGAACTCTACCGCTGAGCCGTGAGGTCTCCTGCCCAGGGTCAGTGGGGAAGCCATGGAAGACGGGAGAAACACAGACAGGATCACTGCGAGAAAATAATCCTTGAGAAGGTCAGAGATGGCTCTCAGCAGAGACAGCGATGGTTCAGCGCAGGGCGAGCTCTCCTGTGCTCCCCCATCCCAGCAGGAGCATCAATAAATCGAATCAATAAACATAAGAGAGCACACAAGGCACCGAGGTCTGCCACATGCCAGCGCGCGCGCACATCTGTCCCTGTGCTGCACAGCATTCCCCGCCCTTTCTCTTTACCCCTGCAGCATCATACCCGCACAGGTAAATTCCCCGCTGCCTCTTCCACGGCGGCTCTGAGGAAGGCTGGCCTCTGCTTTCCGGGCCACCGTGCCGCTCCAAAGAGGCTGCTCTTCGGCTTGTGCCGAGACGATTCTCAGCATGACCCGGAGGGTAGATAGCGCGAGTCTTCACGACACCCTCTTCACCATGCGCATCAAGTGGTGTTCCAAAGGCACCATCCTGGGCGCGTCCCCCCCAGCAGCCTTCAGAGGTCAGCCCCATCCCCCTTGAGCATAAAGAGAGCATGGCTGCAGCATTCACGCGAGGGGTGGCCCAGGAAAAGGTTCGCACGTCATTTCAGTGCTCCAGAGCACCATTTGCAAGTGGCCGACGCACAGCTGCGTCCAGAGGAGCCGGTGCCCCTCCGAGGACCGGGCTGAGCTCAGAATGCCACCGCTTCCCCATTCTTTCCCAAGCCCAGGCAGAAACTCTACAGGTTTTTCTTTCACAGTAACACCCCCGCTCAGTCATGTTTCGGGGCACAACCAGCTCTACACCTCCGTAAAAAGGTTCCTTCTGCACATGGGCGCTTGTGCCCCAATGGGGCAGTTGAGACCTGCAGCGACAGCTGTGATCGAATCGCTCCGGCAAGTTAAAGGACTTCATGTTCTTACTTTCCAAGCACTTCTTCCGCAGTCGTGAAAACGCTTTCCCCCAGCAGTATTACTTATGATTTCTGTGTCTGTTAATGCTCCCAGCAAATGCCACCATTTTTCACACATGGGGATCTAAAGCCCAGAAGCATCTGAGGAGTCATCAGGGGCCGGCCTGCTCCAGTGCTCACCCTTCTTCCAGGGCTGCTCCTTCCCCTCCCCACTCCAAGAACATAAGACAAGTTCTCGGAGAAGCGTTTGCCAATGGCTTGATCTTTTCACTTGAGGGGCTCTGTGGATCGGGCCCCGAGGGAAAAGGAACGGATCAAGCCGCACTGACTGGGACAAGGAGGGCCCCTACTCAAAGCGTCTCTTCCAAGATCCCCTCAAAACCCGGCGCGAGCAACGTGCGTGGGGAACAAAATGTGCTTGCAAAATGGCCGAAAGTGGGCCAGGCGGGCTGGGCAACGACAGCTGTTTCCTGATAATATTTTGCCTCTGTTTCTGGACTCTTGTACATTCGGCTTGGACATGACCAGATGCATCCAAGGTTGACTATTCACGGATGAAACACAGCTGACATTTGCCACCTTGTGGATCAAATGCTGCAAACGACACGCTCAAACCGCAGTGGGAGGGCTTGGGTGGTGGGCCACGCGTTTGCCCAAGGCACTGTTGAATCCAACGCGTTCAGGACCCCAAGAGGTGAGGCGCTGAGGTGAATGTGGGGGGAGGGGGGATTTCTTTGGGCTTGGGCACCCATTCCGCAATAGTTTGTCCCCCTCCAACCAGCCACTTTGCCCACAGAAAGGTTGATGGGATGTTCAGCACATAGGCTGATGAAGCACAGATTCCAGTCCTGGAGTGGTGATCTTTTCAGAGGTGCCCAGGAATACCAGCTTGCACATCACGGTGCTCTGGAACTGCAGCCTCCTCCTGAAACAGGCTCCAGGGCATGGCCCCTCCAGCCCTGAGTTCACACAACCTCCCACCCAATAATGTCTGCATGCTTAGTGTAGGCATTGGGAGCCGACATGCATAGCCTTCCAGAGGACTGGACCCCAAGGTTCATCCAGGCTGTAAATGTGCAACGCCAGACATCTGTGGGGCCAGGAGAGGACTGCTCACTCCCCCTTCGGTTTGCATAGCCTCAAAATCCTAACTCACTCTGGAAATGGCCAGTACATACCCCTTCTTGCCCCTTCTTTGTGATGGGTTCTCCTCGCAGTTGCCAGGACGACCTTGGATGCGGCCAAGCTTTTGGGATTCCCCGTTAACAGAGGCACATGGACAAAAATTGAGTTCAACTTTGCAATGAATTGTAAGATTTGTTTGGTTTTATTGTTATTATCTTTGGGGAAAATGTGTTATTTTTATAGCTTTTTTTTAAATGCAATAAACGTATTTCAAATGTTGTTTGCCTGAGAAAGAAAATGAACAACCCTCTCTCTCTCACACACACTTCATTTTATGCTCCTGCACAAATGACAATCCACAGTAATATCCGAATCGCTGCCTAGGCCGCCCACCCCTAAGTTGGGCCTCTCCAGGTGTTTTCACCTACAGCTCGCATCCACTCAAGCCAACAGGGCTCATTTTCAGAGATGGCAGTCAGAAGCCTCCGGAGAGACTCAGGTTGGAGAAGGCTCGTCTCCCTGGCATGCTAGCCTTCCATGGGCGAGGGCTGCTTTTATACGAAGGAGCATTCAGTACTGTGGTCAGCACTGGTGATGCCCTGACACGGGAGCCCTGACACAGAAAAACGGCCATGGTGAAACAGGATGAATATTGGCCTTTCGGGATTGGAATAAGAAACCGCACCACTCCAGGCACAGAACAGTCTCGGAAGCAGAGCATTTCCCCCCTGCTCTGCCTCACAGCAAACACAAAAGAAACCGCGCACCCTGCACAATCCTAGCAAATCAAAAGGAAGCATCACCAAAATCAAGAAAACTTTGATCTAGGATAAAAGCCAGTGAAATGGCATCATTGACCCATCTCCGCCCTGGAGGGAAGCTGTTTGGGACCTGGCCTAGGGATTCTTGTCATCATTTGGGAACGCTGTGGTTTGTTTGGGTTCTTACACAAGTCACAAACCCAGAGCCCTTGGCCAGCTTCCCACAGCTGCTTCTTTTAAGATCAACCAGGTGCTTTGGCCATATCTTCGATGTTTTATACATTTACGATCTGTGGGATGCCCAGTTCCAGGGAAACATCCAACAGTCCAATGCCAGCCAGCCGTCTCTTGGCGAAATTTATACAGCTAACGGATTTTCTTCCAGTCTGCACTTAAAAAAAACATCCACAAACCACCCACCAATGGTGGAGATTTTATGGCTTCTGGCCAGCTGAGAACCATTCAGTCTAGATTTGCCAGGTGGCCCCGATCCTAGCTAGGCAGAGGGTGTTGGGCGCAATGTTGTGCCTATAAGCAGCCAGTCACTTACAGAAGCTGCAGTTCAGCCCTCCAATTCAGAGAACCCGAGGTGGCCGGTTACTGATCGTCTTCTGGATGCTGTGTGGGCCCAGGTCCGGTGACTCACTGGATCAGTTTCCCCGGTTTTGAAGATTCAGACGGTTGAGCCAGGTATTTGCAGAAAGCTTCCTGCATATAGAAGTAATCCAAAATTGAGCGATGAGGCAAGAGTGTGTCCAAAGCAACACTGCCGGCATTCTGCAACATTCTAGAAGAAAAGGCACGCATGGGTGGGATTCTATGGTACAATTTCATTTATAGCTTATTTTATTATATCCCACCTTCTTTCCTGCCAGGAGCCCCTGATGGGCTGTGGATTCCTTCTATTTCATCCTCACAACAACCTTGAGAAGTAGGTTAGGCTGAGCCCCAGTGGCTGGCCCAAAGTCACCGAGCGTCACAGCCAAGTGCCTCCCCAATTCCGGCTCCCCCATCCTGCTCTCCTGCCGGGGCCAGTGGAACAGATCCTGGATCTTCCCAGTCCCGGTCCAGAGCTCTGACCACAGGTCTCTCGTTTCCATGCTAGGGAAACTGACTCTCACAACTGGAGTGCTGTGTCCAGTGCTGGGCTCCACGTTACAAGAGGGGCACGGCAAGGCTGGAATCGGTTCGGCGCAAGGTCACAAGGATGGTAGCTGAGGATGCCGGGAATATGAGACGTGACGAGACGAGACGAGACAGAGGGAGCCGGGTCTCTTCAACCTGGAGGAGACTGGGAGGGGAACTTATGGAGACTTAGAGGCATGTGAGGGGGTGTCACACAGGGGAGGGTCATGACCTGATCTCCCCAGTGGTGCAGGGAAGGATGTGGTCCGATGGGGCAAAGCTCAAGGAACTGGGCTTCAGGTCGGATGCCAGGAAGCGCTTCCAGACAGTTAGGACCCTGGGATATGGAATGCGCTTCCATGGGAGGTGGTGGAGGCCCCATCAGTGAGGGAGTGCAAGGAACATAGAAACAGAGTGAGTCAGAAGGGGTCTCCCGGGCCATCTAGTCTGACCCCCGGCTCCAGCCACCTCTGCTCATGACACGCCTGCCATGTGCATGAGGAAAAGGTTGGACAGCCACATGTTGGGAATTACATGAGAAGAGCCGGGTAGAGCCAGGGGTCAGACTAGATGTCCCGAGAGGCCTCTTCTCACTCACTCTGTTTCTGTTACTAAAAAGTTGTCCAGGAACATTTTTTATCACAGCTACAGTACATTTAAAATGCGAAAGGAATGCATTTTAAAACAGAGCAATACAGCCTGAGCTACACATCCTGTTAAGTGTCGATTCGTATTTGTGATTTTTTTTTTTTCTAAAATAGCAGCGGTGGGAGAGGCAGTACCAGGAATTGGATCAGGGCCCCAGTGAGGGAAGGTGAGGGGCAATTCTACGCAACAGCTGCTTCTCTTTCGGAGAAGGAAATTCACTGGGAACACCCAATACCTGAGCCACAGCTCTGGTAGGGTCTGTTCTTGGCTTCCACGTCACGCTTGTGGCATCGCTCTGCCTCACCTTCAAGGCAGACCGTGGGGTGCAGAACCTGCTCCTGCCAAATGGCCAGCTCTGCCCCCCACGTCTCGGAAAACCGCCATTCAGGGACCCGCTCACACCACCATGTTCACAAGGCCAATGATTCCTGGCCTCCAAAATTATGTTCCAGTATTATGTCCAGTGGCATTGAAGACTTTAGGGATGCAGGGAATTCCACTAGGTTCATGTTTTAAGCGGGCTGGCCAAATTCAGATTTTCTGAACTCGCATGCAGACCACAGTGCCGTTATTCAGCGTACTGTGCACTTCCCGGAATTTTGTGATGTGGCTCTTGCCTCACAAATGGGGCAAACGTGCATCTTTTGAGTGGAAAGCACCCAAAGATACATTTGCGTGTGGGCAGAAAAAGGGACGGAATAAAATTTTGAACGCTTGGTCCGGGTACTATCCGTGTAGATGGCTGGTTCATGCTTGTCACAAGAGGGGGCGAATTTATAGTCCTTCAACAGTATTAGCAGCAAAGAGGCTGAGTGGACACTTCCGATGTCACAGAAATTCCTCCCACTGGTGCGGGAGTTTTCTGCTCGCGGCTGCATCCAGCGGCACGCTCCCTTGCAGCTTGCTCTCAGCAGAATGGTCCTTCCGTTCCATTTGCAAGAACCTGGCTGTTCTGCCCGCGGCGGAACCTGCCCTGCCACACAGACGCACCCATCGCCCCTCACCGGAAATCCGCAGGAGCGTTCCTCATAGCCATGGCCATGGCAGCCGCGTCCGCCGTGCTTCGGGGTGGGACTGCTGCACTGCCGTGACCGGCTCTCGACTCCGAGGCCGCAGGAGGAGGGGCAGGGGGTCCAAGGCTCCCAGGAAGACCACGTGCCGTCGACTGGACCAAGAGAATGCAGAGGTCTGTCTCACTTTCATTTCCTCTGTAACACTGGGTGGGGAAGCAGGGAGGCTGTTGCCCTCCAGCTCCCATCAGCCCGAAGCAGCACAAGCAGTGGCCCGGGAGGAGGGGAATCACAACCAAAGATCCGGAGGGACAAAGGTTCATAATACCCTATAATACTTACCAAAATTTTGAGTTGTTCTATGGAGGACTGGCTGAATTCATTGCCATGAGAGGCAGTCTTGCTAGTTGTAATATCACTTAATATATTTGAACTCTTTTAGTAATTAATGTGCATCCTACTTTTGGGGGGGGGAACCCGATGGCCCACCCAGTTAGCCCAAATGGAGGTGCGGAGGATTATGTCCCGCTGGGAGACACAGGTGGATCGTCTCTACCTGGGCACTGGCTGTCATCACACACGGCCACCTCGTCCTGCTCCCCTTCACATGGGAGACCCCCTCTGGCAGGGGCAGGGCTGTCGCACAGTCGGATCCTTTTCTTGACTCCTGAACATGTCGCTGAACAGGCCGACCAGGGCGACCACTCGGACCAGCGGCCATCGGCTGAAGAAAGCAAGGGAAGAAAGAGGGGAATCCATTACCTGACTTTGCTTCGGCTCAGGCTTCTGGCTTTGCCATGCATAACACTAGCATCACGCATCCCCACTTGGTAAGGGGATAAGATGTCCCCAGTTCTTTTCCTTTACTCTTAATTTTTCGTTCTTCTGACCTGCACCGCACTTACAGTTCTGCTTCTCCAGAATTCCCGTTTAGCCAGGAGCATTTCTATTAAAATATTTACAGAATGCCTTCAGGGAGTTTGCAAGCAGTCTGCCGTGATTACAGGTAAAATACAATCATGAATCCAAGTAACGAATGTCAGTTGCTCTCTCCAGGCTGAGAATGGAAGACGCTGCTTCCTGCCAAGGATTTTACAAAGTTTCTCCCTCCCGCTACTACAGATCCTGCGAGAGACATCTGGGCGCCCGCCCACCCACCTCTCCTAGGAGCAGAGCTGCGCAGAGGGGCAACAATACCGTTCTTGGCACAAAGGCAGACCTCACCTCCAGAAAGACTGGAGAAGGCAGCTTCCGGGCATGGCCTTCGATAAACTGCCCTGGCTTTCCGAGGCTGGGACAGCTCACTGCACTTCCAGCAGAACATGTTGTTCTTTCTTCGCTCTCTCTCTTCGTGCCACGTTAAGAGCTGTGAGGAAGTGCCTCAGCCAGCTCACCCTGCAGGCTGCCTTGAAGGACAGGCCCTCCCCAGCACTCAGCTGGCCTCCAGCCCTCGACGGGAGAACCAAGGCACGCTTGCCGCACAGCGGCGCCCTTCGCCGTGGACGGCGGCGCATCCCCGGCCTCTGGGGCTCGGCTTACTTGGGCAAGGGGGCAGGTTTGGGCAGAAGCGCAGGTCTGCGGAAGGGCCCCTGCAGCGCAGGCCACTCTCCGGGTGAGTGCAGCGCCGGATCCGCATCTGGCTGTGGATGCCGCAGGTGGCGGAGCAGAGGGACCAGGGCGACCACGGGGACCAGGTGCTTCTCGCTGCCGGGGGAGAGAAGCAGGGGGGGGGATGCCGTGAACGGAGGCGCCCCCGCTGGCCCCATTCACGCAATCGCATCTGCCAAGGGTATTGTGAGGAGGCGCGGGAGAGGTCAGTGGGGAGGGGCCAGAATGTGGGGCACTTCCCCACACGGGAAGCCTGGAGCGCTTCCGTCGTGGACCACTCACAGCTGGGGTCTGAGCCCGATGCCGGAGGGCCGCGTGCCGTCTTCAGCCCGCTTCCCGGCAGACTGCAGGGATGGGGGGACACGCGAGAGTCGGGAGGAAAGCAGCGAGTGGCGCGACTCGCAGTCCCGCGTCCCCCAACCCCCACCTGCTGGATCTACCCACTGCCCCCCAACAAACCACCCCAAGGAAGACGGTGGGAGGCCACCCGGCGGGCAGAGATTCGTGGGAGGTTCAGTACAGGCAGAACCCGGCTTTCCTCACGAAAAATTAAGCAATGGGACGGGCTGTCCTGAGAGGCAGCAGTACACCGCGGGGGTCTGGAAGGGGAAGGGAGGCGTCCGTGGCTACTGGCCACGTTAGCGAAGAGGCCAGCTAAGTGACAGGCAGTGAGAGGCGGCCGGCTGGTGAGAACGGGCACTTGCTGGGAGCGGCCAGAGGGGAGCGCGCGCCCGGCTTCATGCTTGGCCCGCGGGCTTCCCGGCGGCGCCCGGCCGGTCCCTGCCCAAAGCAGAATGCGGATCGACAAGGAACCGCGTGGTTACCTTCGCAGCGGAGGCCATCCCCCACAAATCCATCGCGGCACATGCAGAAGAAGGAGCCCAGCGTGTTCAGGCACGTCGCCCCTCGGCCGCAGCCATCCAGGCCCGTGGCGCACTCGTCTACGTCTGCGCACAAGAGGGAGGGGGGAGAAGACGCGCCGAAGCTTCACTCCCCCGCCAAGATCGCAGCCTCCAGTGGCAGGGCTGTGCCTGCGCCGGGTGAGGCAGGCTCTCCCTCTCCATCTGAAGCCTCTTCCTGCTGCTTCTCAGCCTGGCTGGCTGACACATGAGGAGGGGAAGCCTCTTCCCTGGCTCAGCAGCGGCTCCGAGGGGTGCTCTGATGCACGTGCTCGGCTCAGGAGCAGGATCCCCCCCCCCCCGGCCCTCTGCCCAGCTCCCCTTGCTTCTGCAGCCCCACTGAGGGCGGGGCTGGGGTTGGCCCCGATTCCAAGCCCACCCGGTGCAGCCTGAAGGGTGGCCCCAGGGTCTGCCTCGGCCCTGCTCCTGCAACGCTTCTGCTCGCTCAGAGGGGGCATGTTTCGAGGGCTACTTCCGGGTGACCAGGAAGCGCCCCGTCATGAAGGACAATGGGAGAGGTGCTCTACCTATGCAGCTGAAGAGGCCGTCTCCTTCTAAGCCTTTTGGGCAGCGGCAGAAGTAGGATCCGTGGGTGTTGACACACTCTGCCTCCGGCAGGCAGGTCACCGGCATCCCTTTCTCACACTCGTTTATGTCTTGGAGGAAAAGAAAATTAAACCTGAGGTTGGGTGCTTCAGCTTCGGCCTGAACAACCTGCCCGTCCTGCTAAGCGCTGGCTACTCTGGGCAGGGGCAGCCCGGCAGGGGCTCCGAGCAGCTGCTCCTGGCACTGAGCCGGGGTCTTCCGCAAGCGAAGCAAGGGCCTGCCTCGGAGCCATGGCCCATCCCGGAGCCGCCGGGCCTCAAACGCAGCCTTCCGGGAGGCAGGGCTCTTTGCTCCCCCGTCCCAGGATTGCCTTCTCCCACACGCAGCCGCTTTCCAGGTCACAGGGCAAAAACGGGCCTTGCCCATTGCCGGGAGATTTTGGCCACGTCGGTGCGGTGCTCCAGACAGGAAGGAGGGCAGGCTGGAGGGCTGCCAGAATACGCTGCGTCCTGCAGGGCCTGGACGCCCCACTGCTCCCTGTGCTCCAGACCACCCTCGTCTCCCCTTCTGCAAGGCCACTCCTATGACCCCAGAGACGCAGCCTGCCTGGGTAACAGGTGTGTGCGTGTGATGGGCAGGGGGAGAGAGACTGAGATCTGAGTGGAGATCCCCCAAAATCTGGAAATCCTTTTTCTAAAAAAATCCTATGTCCCAACAACATAGTCTTGCTCTGTCCGAGCTTCTTTTTAAAGATGAGTCTCAATGAGTTTGCGGATATTCCCCTTGTGTGCGAGGGGCTGTTTTAAGCTATCAAAGCAAGGATACTGACCCCTGAATGTCAGAGAGAGAGTGAATGACGGTCACGGCACGATTCCAAGTTTTTCTAAACACAGCGAGTGCGTAACAAGCCCTCCATTACGCACCCGATTCAGGGCCAGGAGGGCTCGGCTAACTTTGGCAATGGCAGCAGCTCAGTAGCTTTTGACAGCTCTCCCTTTTTCCCGTTGGAAAGGCCCAGATGTTGTGGCACTCTGAGGAAAAAGGGCAGCTGTCAGTGGGCTAGAGGGCCCACTGCTCCCCCGATAGGCAGCTGCAAAAATGCTGCACAAGATGAAAACAGAACCACCGAGCCTGCTGGTCTCGCGGAGGCTACGTGACGTTTCACAACAGACCTTGCGGATTTGGCTGCTGTCTCAGGCCAACCTGCATGCTGCCAAGATCTACAGGGGGAAAGCAACCTCCTTTTCACGAATGAGAGAAGTGAGGCATTCCCGGACGAAAGCAAAGGGAGCAGTGGAAGTGGGGGCAAGGGCAGGTTCCTTGCACGGAGGTGCCCCCATTGGCAGTTTGTGGCCAGCAGCCTGTGGGGAGGCAAGCGGACACGCAACCCGGGCACCACTCAGCCTGCTCCAGCCCCGAGAGGCAGTGCGAAAGCTGCCCTCGGTCCAGCTACCACAGTGGCTCTGTGAGGATCGTAAGCTCTCCTGCTCCCCAGGTTGTTGGCCTGAGGCCCCCTGACGTCTCGCAGAGCGAGACGGGTCCCCTCAGGAATCACAAGAAGTGTACGCATCCACGTGTTTGCCAGAAAGCGAGCAGCCGGCGAAGGTGCGGTACTCGGAGCATCGCTGCTGAGGCCCAGTGATGCCGGAATCGGTCCAAGCGGCAAGAAGCCAAGCTCTCAATGATTTACCCAGGCAGTGAACGCCGTTCCCCTCGAATCCTGGAGTGCAGCGGCAGTTCTTTTCATATCGACTTCCGCTGCAGTTTTTGCTGATATCTGATGGAAAACGGATACAAATACGGAAAAGTGAACAGACCCAGACAGAGCTACAGTAAAACCATCCGCTCAACCCTTTCTTTGGCCAAACTGGAATTATTTTGTTGAGGTCCTCTGGTTAGGCTTCAGATGTGAGAAATGCAAGCTGAAGTTCCTGCTCAGCAAATTACTCACGCACTACATTTATCTTGTGTTCTTTAAAAAAAACAACAACAACACCTGCTGGTGTCTATTATTCACCCACACATTGCAAGTGTCAAAGGACATGCATCTCACCACCTGACTTGGCCACGTTCGTCATCCTTCTCCAGCAGCCTTGTGCTGCCCGGAAGACCAATGCGGGCCTGCTTGCCGTGGAAGAGACACCGACTTTCTCAGCTGTTTTCACCTCAGCTGCACTGGTTTCTGCTCTGTGCCTGGATCAGTCGCCCAGATTTCCCTGCAGTGAGTGTCTCTCTAGCCTTCACCTCTGCCAAAGCAGGCCCGCCTCCACCACGTCAGTCACGTGCTTCGGAGAAAGAGGAGAACCCACCCTGCCTATTTCCATATTGCAAATATCAGCAAGTTGGTTTTTTTTTTTACCATGAGTATCACTAATTAGACAAGCAGGAAGCTCTCCAAGCACACTTGGAAAACCATTCAGAAGCTTGGCCATTTAAATGGGTCCACCATCCATGCAGACTTGGACATAGAAAGGTAAGGAAGAACCTCAATAAACCATCATGGGTGGTAATAATAATAATAAACATAAACAGCAAAAGGGTTACAAAGAGAACCGGTACCCTTCTTTATTAAGAACAGCCTCTGAGAAATCAACACTCGTCCTGGAACGCCCGGGCTAGAATTATAGACCAGTGCTCGGATAAAGCCGAAGTCAGTCTTCCTGAGAGAAGGAAAGGGAAGAAAGGGGTGAGAAATGACCCAGCTGATGATGCAGAGAAAGCAGAAATAATATGGTCTTAATTTCTTACAAATGCACATGCTCAACTTCTTGGCTTAAGCAAAGGCTGCCAGTTGAATAAGACCTGACTTAGACCATGCACCAGCCACCTGTATTTTAGGCTGGCTTTTGTTTTCAAAATCATCGTTCTGGCAGGAAGGGAGATAAAAATCGGGACTGAGGAGCTGACCCTGCTTCCCACCCAGCGGTGGCTGCAAATTTTTGTTCAGGATTTGCCTTTTTAAATAAACCGGCTTAGCATTCCAGACAAATAAGCAATTCTCCATTGGATTTCACATTTCTCCAAAATTTGCAATATGGAACATGTGTGCAGAAATGCACTTAAAATACATTTTAGAAAAAAACGCTTACGGAGATGCATCTCTGGGCAGCATACGTCCCAAAACGCTATCTAAGTACACATGTTTTGCTTTTTTAAAATCTTGGATGAACAGAGAAATGGGATGGAACAAACACACACGAGACTGACACAGACTAGAAATTGTCTGCGGCAGGGAAGGACAGGTGAGGCGAAGGACCCCTGCAAGGGGCCCTTCCCCAGCAGCAGATCCTGGTGGGCCACTGCATGCCAGGTGGCACTGAGTTTCTGGCTCCAGCCCCCGTTTCAAATGCCCATAGTGTCTGCAGTGCCTCTCAACAGATCGGCCCTTCCTGGGAAACAGACTAATGGTTGCTTCCGGGGCGGGCCTCCCTGCGCCTCTGCTTGCTTCCGACCCTTCCAAATATCATTCGGCGATTTTGGGATTTGACTGCTTGGCCGTCTTTGATGATGCGACCTGGCTATGGACCTCACTCAGCATGGGATGACATAGGCAAAAGCTTTTTCTTGCAGAAAGCTGCCCTCTAGAAACGGGAGTATGGAGAGGGGGGATGTGGCCCAAACTGGAGGGAGACTTTCAGGAATCATGTCCTCAGCAAAGAATGCGTCCACGCGCTTGCGGCAGTCCCTGAACTGAAGGAAACGTTACTTGTGCCGCTCTTTCCCTCCCTTTTCGATGCTGCTGCAGGTAGTGGCGGCAGCAGCATGGCAGATACCGCTTGGCATTTGCCCAGCCCTGCAAGTGTCCTGGAACAGGGGGAGCACGGTTGCAGTAAGATCCAAGGAACGTTCTGCCTACAAGGGGACCAGTGGACTCCAAAGGCAAAGGAAGTTAAAAAACAAATAGGTCGGCATCGACTGCCAGCAGAAAAGGTCTCAGTCCCAAAGTCCTCCCAAAAAAGGGTCAGAAACATTCACTCCACATTATTTCTACCTGAAAATAGGAATTGGATTTGGGAAAGAAGCCATTTCACACCAGGCCTAGTTCTCACACACACACACACACACACACACACTCCAAGTAGAATCGGCTTCCCTTAACCAAGCAACTTTTGATCCACTTCCCGCAAGACACGCAGCTTTCTACTCCAGCCTTCCCAGCTTGTTACCCCCAAAACATGCAACTCCCATCATCCTTAGCCAGCGTGACAAATCGCAGTCCGACTCAATTGGAGGGCAACATATTGGAGTAGAAAGGTGTGGATTTTGCGGAACTGGACCGAAAGCCGCTGTGTCCTTTTCTTCCGGAGCTCAGGCAATGCACTTGCTCGCTCCCTCGGATAAAGGTGGTTAAGGCTGCGGGAAGCCAGAGAACGCTTGTTGAGGATTCGCAGTTTACAAGCAAGCATACGTTAATCCTCTGATCTCAATTTCTTCTATGTCATTGGCTAGTACCACTGCGTGACTGTCCAGCAACGTCATGGGCCGGGGCTCCTGGATCCATCGGACAAAGGAGGAAGGAGGAAGCTGCAGGTACCGGGACAAGCGGATGGTCACGGGATCTCCTTCCAAGAACTCTCCAATCTCTAAAGGAAGAGAAGAGGATGGAAGAAAATTAGAGAAGATAATGGAGGGGAGGGGAGGGGAGGGGAGCCAACTAAAAACCCTCTAAACATACTGGAGCATTTCTACCCACACCGACCCATTCAAAGGTGCTTTCAAGCATCATTTAGAAAAAATAATAGGTAAAGCACGTATTTCATTTTTATAACGCATGATACCTTGCAGAGTTTGTGCTTCACAGACTTCAGCTTTGTTCTTTTCTGCTTATGAACAAAACTGTGCTTTATGGCTGGCCGGCTTTCACATCTCTGGGTCAAATTCCAGAGGAAGTTAATCCGCAGAGCCCCTGCCTTCCTTCTCCTGCTGCACCACTTCCCCAGGCAGGCGGCGACTGGCTGCCCGCCACATACCATGGAGGGGAAGTCGGCAACAGCAGCCAGTCTCTTTTGTCGATCTCATCTGGGGGGGGGGGGGTATTATGCTTTCATGGGATTGTTGCCAGCAAAATAAGCCGGAGCCCTAGAAGATGTCGTGGCCCCCCGAGATGGCTTGTGAGCCCTGCCAGGAAACACACACAGCTCTCCCTGATGGCCTAGCAGGCCACACAAATCCAGCCTGCGGAAATTACTCCATATGCTACTTTCTGCTGATACCCTCAAAAACACATGTATGTTTACCAGCAGTTCTTCTAGCACAGGGGTGGCCGAGTGCCTTTCCCTTGAGCAGCAAAAGGAGGACAAACCAAAGTAGTGCCCCCAGTCTCAGCAGGGCAGTTCCCCAGATATATCTAAATATCTAAAGTATCTAAATTTGTGATATTAAACTCACGAACACACACAGAGAGAAAAAGGGATGATTCTAGAGAAATTACCTGTAGAAGGCAAATTCCAGTTTCACACTAAAGGTCAAATTTGCTGAGGGAGGGTAGGGGACGAGTTAAGTTTGTGCCCAATCACAGCTAAACTCAGTTTTCTATGCCTGGTTCAAAGTTCTGCCACAGGGAAAGTGGCGAGGAAGTCAAAACGAAGAGGTTGGAAGATTAGCATTAGGTGAGGGGTGGAAATCTCGGGCCAGCAAACCAAACTGGCTCTCTGCGGTCCAGATATCGTGGGACCATGAGCTGCAAGCTGAAGCAGATGAGAACTGCAGTCAGGAGCATCAGAAAGGCTGCAGCAGGCTGCCTCCTGGGCATACGGTGCCCCGAGGGATGCGTTAGGGGCACGGAAACACCCCCTGCAGACGGTGCCTCTTCCCAATCTCTGAAGGGCTTGGAGTCCCCAGAGAGCCCAGGCCTCTATGGGACTGAATGGGCAACGCTGCCAGGCCCAAGAGGACGCGTGGGTTGACGCTTCCCCAGTCCCGCTCTGGGGGCTCATTTTCCGGAGCGGGTCTAGTCCGTAGAGTCTGGTCATGATACATGAACGAGCCGGTGAATCGGAGGCGGTCTTACCGACAGGCACGCTCTGCAACGCAAAGAAGTATCGCAGCTTGGAAGGATTTAACATCTGGAAGCTGCTCAGCTCATACGGCTCGACGGGGGCCGATTGCGTGGGTGGGAGGTGCAACTTCACTTCTGCCCAGAAGAGGTTCGGGTAAAAATCGTCCTCCAGAATGGAAAGCAGGGTCAGCGCATGGCCGTGGTCTGCCACAACGATGCGGGAGGACATGTTCTGCACAGGTGCCACTCGTCTTCGGTAGCTGTGGAGAAACCGTCCGGTGACCGGGGGATGCCGCGCGAGAGGGTTCAGAGAGAGACTTCGGTCGGGCCACGACGGATTGCTCTCCTGTCACCCATTCTATTATGCCCCGCCCTCTCCCAGAAGACCGCAGGGTTGCTTGGAACGGGAACAAGAAAACATGAGCCTCTATTGTGTTTTCCTAGAACCCTGCCAGGGTCCAGCAACGGCTTCAAAACAGTGGCGCGGGTGCATGGGTGCACGCCAAGGATGAGGCAGCAGGGTGCCTCTGGGTGGCGCCACTCCTGGGCTGCCGCCTGAGGCAGGCGATCCAGGGAGCGGCTGGCCCTGGCCTTCTCCTGAGCCTTCCCTTGGGGCACAGAGGCGTCTTCGTTCTCGTTATTGTTAGACAACTGGGACCAACTGCAGCTCACCCAGAGGCCTGCCAGCAGCCTCCGCGACATTTTGCCCATCCCTAGGGTAGAATAAAGTTCTTGCCAATTACATGTTAATCTGCCCTTCCTCCACAGCAGGGGTCCTCAAACTTTTTGAACAGGGGGCCAGTCCACTGTCCCTCAGACTGTTGTGGGGCCGGACTATAGTTTGAAAAAAATATGAACAAATCCCTATGCACACTGCATATTAAAAATTAATTAAAATGATTAAAATAAAAACAAATAAAAATGTTTGCTCCACTCGCTTGGGCTACAGCAGTAGCCCGAGATGAGGTGGGGAAGAGCACGTCCATATTCAAGGGACGTAGCTACAACGTCCGCAATCGTGCTGGGCGGGGAGGGGGAGGGGGAGATGGGTGCAGTCGCGCTCATGCAGGGAAGGTGGGCACAATCGTGGCCATGTGCCCCCCGCCCCAGCACGACTGCGATCGCGCCCACCTTCCCTGCACAAGCGCAACCATGATCGCGGCCATCTCCCCTGCCCCCCAGCACGATCGAGCAGGGAAGAAGGGCGCGATCGCGGCCATCTCCCCACTGAGTACACCTGCACCGGCTCAGAGCTTTTGCACTCGCTTGGAGATGGTTTCTTCCAAGCGAGTTCAAAGCAATGAGGTGGGCCGGAGAAATCAGCATGGTGGGCCAGATCCGGCCCGCGGGCTGTAGTTTGAGGACCTGTGTTCCACAGTAATGGACATTTCCTCATCTCCCTTTTATTCTCACAAACACTGAGAGTTCCAGGTCTAGAGAGTACACAAACACGGCATGGGGGAGGGGAGCATATGCACACACAGTTCAAGGCGCTGAGAGATTAGCTTTCACCAAAGGCATCGTCTTTCTAGACCGTATGGTTACAAACACACCTGTTGAAATGCGGGCTTTGGCCAGAGTAGTACTTGTACCATCTCACCACGTGAGAATGGCGCTTGCCGTAAGCAGACACGGAGACACGGAAGGTGACTTTCTCTTCTGTTACCTTGAGAAGGCAAACCTGCTCCCCAAAGCCGCTGCACGCCGATGCGTTGGAAGCGGTGATGTGGAATCCGGGGTCTGGAAAGCAAACAGCAGTGTCAGTTCAGGTTCTTTTTCTTTCTGGAGAGCTTACTATGCATAACTCAAACACTGCTTTTCAGCATACAGAGCATCTTTCCCCTTTCCCCTTTTCTTGTTCCCTTACAAAAACAATTTCATGAAGGAAGTGCTTAATAATATTCCCATTTGCCAGACGAGGAGCTGAGAGAAAGTTGCTCAGCCAAGAGCATGCAATGAGACCAAGGAGGAACTAAATGAACCTGAGATATTTATATAAAGTACGGCATACAAAAGTTTTTAATAAATAATAAATAAGATTGGAACTCTGGTCCTTCCAGATCCTGGGGATATGCAGTGCTAGCAGCAAATGTACAGCTGTGAAAGCTGGACCATAAGGAAGGCTGAGCGCCAAAGAACTGAGGCCTTTGAATTGTGGTGCTGGAGGAGACGCCTGCGAGTCCCTTGGACAGCAAGGCGATCAAACCGGTCAGTCCTAGAGGAGATCAACCCTGACTGCTCCTTAGAAGGCCAGATCCTGAAGATGAAGCTCAAATACTTTGTCCACCTAATGAGAAGGACTCCCTGGAGAAGAGCCTGATGCTGGGAACAATAGACGGCAAAAGAAGGAGGGGGCGGCAGAGGATGAGGTGGCTGGATGGAGTCACTGGGGCAGTCGGCGTGAGCTTAGCTGGACTCCGGGGGATGGTGGAGGACAGGAAGGCCTAGAGAAGCGTTGTCCATGGGGTCGCGATGGGTCGGGCACGACTTCGTGACTAACAGCAGCAGCAACAAATCCGCAGGTCCCTTGGACGAGGCATGTGCACAAGTCTGAAAGTTTTCAGGGTAGGACAGAAGGGCAAGTGGCGATTCTAGCCATGGTAGGGTTTGCTATGCTGGTTTATGGAATGTCTCGCTTGACGTACCAGGCCAAGGTGGCCAAGAACAGATGCGAGTGGATGTGGTGGACAGAGGAGCACTGCCATTGGTTCCTACAGACCCTGCCGATGAAACCACTGTGCACTGACAAAGGACTTAATATTTGATGCCCTTTCTTATATTCTTTTTCAAGTTGGAATTGTAGTAACAGCATTGATCAGGAAGGAAAGAGCAATCCAGGGTTCTAATCGCCAGATCCCTTCCATCCTTCCTCCTCGCCCATGGACAGACAAAAACGGTGCCCACAAAGATTAACTCACCTTGGCAGGAGTTAATTCCATCTCCCCTGTAGCCTGGCAGGCACTGGCAATAAAAATCAGACGTCAGCTCATCTTGTTGACAGATTGCCCTTGCGTGACAGTGAATCTTCCTGGTAACACACTCCAGTTTATACGGATCTGTGAAGATTAGGGGAGAGATGACAATTGTATCTTTACCACCCCATAAATATCTTCCCTTAGTACAGAGATGTGTAACTGAATCCACAGCCATTGGCGCTGGTTTGGAGTTTGATGAACGTGCTGTGGGTGCTAAAAGGGGGCAGAAAAGAACAAGTATCACCCGTGGGTAATGTGGAATATAATGGGTGGGCTCCAAACTACTAAGCTGTATTTAAGAGCAGAGACCAATGTAACTTGAATAAGCCCACAGTATTTTCAGCTAGGGATGCTAGCATCTCCTTGGGTCTCCAAAGTGGAACCGATCTGAACGCTGCTCAGAAGGAATCCTGGGGCCACTGGATGCAAAGGAACAGAGGAGAGGAAACCCTCCTTCCAGGTGGCATCCACATCACCTCAGCCGAAGCCTCTTGGGACCCACAGTCCGGCAGTGGACGTGGCCTGACCAAAACCAAGGCTGAGATAAGGATCAGGCAACCAGCCCTGCCGCTGGGGCACAGATCCCGGAGGAGGCATGGATTGTTTCCAGTTTTCCAACTGCAGAAGACAAGCCACGGAGACAATGGTTAGAATCTGGATGCTAGAATTCCCCACTAGCAGAACTGAGGCTTCCAAATCGCCTTCCCATTCTCCTTCTGCATTATGCCTCCTTCGATGGCAAGGGTGAGGGCAGGGCCTGCCACGCTTTGAGTTGTAGGACGCTTGGGGTGCCCTTCTGCCCAACGTGTGGCACGAATGGGAAAACGCCAAGCTTGCTCCCTGGGAGGTGCGTAGGATATAGAACACGCGGCGGGTGGATCAGGTTTTATTCCAGTGCACATTCGGGACTTACCGTGGATCTCGCTCAAGAGCCGTGCGGTGAAGAGGCAAAAGAGGAGCAGAGAAGCCCAGCAATTCACCAGCATTTTCTCTTAAACAGCCCTTCTGTGTGTGTACACAGCATTGTGCCGAATGTGGGCAGGATTAAGCCATCCTCGGGCTGCACGTCTCTCGGCCCGCTGACAAGGGCCGCTTGTGCACCGCTCTTCCTGGGACGCAGGACCTTCAGGTGCCAAGGCCCAGCACCTGAGAGAGAGAAGGTCTGTTTCAGTTGAAATGGTTCCAAGGGTTCTGATTCTGAGACTCAGAGGGCTACAGACGAGGAGCTGGAGTTCTATCGTTCTGGAATGCTGAGTTGCACTTTCCAGAGGGCACGACTGGGAATTCTGCACTTCCTTGCTCATCGAAGCTTTCCCAACAAGATCAGGACGATGGATCGGTGTTTCGGAAAGATCACTTGCCCACCACGTTCCTCTCTGGAAAGACCAAACCACAGGGGCTTTGGGAATGAGAGGCAACAGCGAAGTCCTGCAGGCTCTCCACCGTCGGGTGGAATTTGCACACAAAACCACACACAAGATGAAGACAGCCTTGCAGGAGCTACCGGTGTGTTTTCAGGAAAGCATCAAGTCCAGCTGGAACCTGGAAGAAAGAGTGGAGTGGGGCAGAGTCCATATATGGGGTGGGCCCCATTGCCTAATGGATCCCACAGTCCTCTCCTGGGCTGACTGGCATATACCAGTCCAACTTTACACCCAAATTACGACAGATCAGGGATGGCAACAACCTAATTTTCCTCTGCACGTGTGCGGCACTTCCGTTGCTAGAGTAGCAAGTCAGAAAGACATGGACGTCTTTCTGGAAGTCAGACGGAATTGCTGATCTACTGCAAATCCACTCGGTGACCCACCAGGAAAGCCTTCTGCTCACCCGTGCCCAGCTTGGCAGGGGCCTCGGACTGCTCAGTCCCCCCGTAAGGATGAATGGATAGACTAAGAACACGGGATGTGCTCATTAATGTTTTTAAATGGTCAGTAGAGAGGAGTTCCAAAACATGGGTATTCTAAGACCTTTGCTGGACCAACTCAGTGATCATAAAAATGGTGCAGCTCTCGACAGAAAGCCAGTCAGTGTGGGGAGATGGGACGGGGGGTGGGGGAGCCGACCACCTGTCCCAGTCCGGATGCCCACATGGTCAGTCTGGGAGGACATCTATAAGGAAGCAGTCTAATATATTAAGCAATGGAATTCATTGTGATTTGCATGGCCTTAAAGAATTGGGCAAATTCATGGAGCGGAAGGCTATTAATGGCTACTGGCTACAATGCCCCTTGTTGCCTTCGGCACTGGAGACACCATGGCTACGTGCAGCCGTGCTGGGGAACACAAGCCAGCTGGGAGTGGGGGGGGGGGGCATGCTGCCGCAGCCCTCGCTTCCCACAGGGAGCTGACCGGTCCACGTGAAGGAAGCACTGGTCTACATAACCCTGTGGTCGGATTCAGCACAACTCTTCTTGACTCCTGAGGAAGCAGCAGTTTCTCGGTCTGTGTTTTTCAGATGTTACTCCCCACTTTCCCAGGCTCACGTACATCATCTTGCACCAACCCACAGGTGCTAGGAAAAGTTCAGGAGATCCAACCCTCAGGAGATCTCCCGTATCACTAAATATATAGCTGGATCACGGCAGAGGCCCATCTGGCCAAGCGCTGCTGATTTCACAGGAACCAGCTGGATGTCCCAATGAGACATCCGCAAGCAGGACAGGCATGCAACAGAAATGCGGCTCTTCGACTCCCCACTGCGCCTGCCTCAGAGGGGCAGGGACATCTGCAGAGGCCAGCAGCCCATGCCCACGGCCCTGCCCGCCTGTCACTGGATCCATCATTCCCAAGGGATTTCCTTGCTGCATTCCACGGCCTCTCCAGGTCTCCATCATTCCCTTTCCAAGCTCCACTTGTCCAGAAGGAAACAGCAATATCAGGCTGGTTTGCTTTCTTCAGCACATCACCATTCCCCAAAAATATGCTGGGCTGTACCCATAGCTAAAGCACGCTATGCTAGAGACGTCTAGTTGGTTTCATAGTCCTTATTTCTCCCCAGAAAAAAACAGGTTCATCTTTTATGGGGTGGCTACACATTTCTAAGCGACCCTCACTGACCTGCAGCCCCCCCGTTTTCTCAGGATGACGGGCTCTGGTATCAAGCCGATACAGAGTTATTGTGCTGATGTGCCTCAAGATGGGAGAGGCCTAAAACGGATGGAAGGACACAACACCTCCAGCTCTCGGCTAAAACCACTGCAACCGACGATCAGAGCTCTATGCCAGAAAACAAGGCTGCTCTCTTGGAAGCCTCAGTGATCGGCCTGTCTTGGCTCACAAGGGAGACCTAAGCGAGGGCAGCTACCCCCCCCGCCACAGACAGAGCAGATCGTGCACACAGACCTGGATGCCAACTTCAGCCCCACATCATCGAACAGGACCCAGCAGCAGCCATAGTGTCAAGCATACTTTCAACCTGCCCAACCGTGAACAGTGGTAAATGCTCTTTGGCACAAATGTCCTCCCCCATTTTGCACAGAACAATAAGCAGCCTGGATGGATTTGACGACAAACGCCCCCATCCCTAACCACTGGCCGTGTTGCCGAGGGTGAACGGGAGCTGCAGTCCACAACATTTTTCATCGGGTTGCGGACGCTAAGAATCACAGGACACAATCTGATATCAGGAACACCGGCATTCAGACGATAAATGGTAACATGAAATGGCTGAATTAGTTTTTCAATGAATCCAATTCTATAATTAGGATCTGGACGGAGATCGTGGTTTCCTGCTCTGCCCTAGATCCTGATTAACTTAGCTCTGGTAAGTTGCGCTGACACCTATCACTGCCACAGTGGTTTCTATGCTCAAGCGCTAAGCCAACTGTCACTGTGGTTTTTCTATTTCATTTCCCCGTTTTCACCACTTACATCAGGTGTACATATACCCAGAAACAAGGATTTATGCTTTATGCGTTTGATGAGGTGCAAACCAGATTCGAGCGAGAGAGACAAGACAGGAATTGCTTCGTATACAAAGATACCAAGCATTTCAGAGTCCCCGCACCCACGACGCTGGTTCGGATTGCGAGGCGACATATCCCTCTCGGGAGGAAAGTAAAGACTGATTTTAAGGGGCTGCTCCCAGAGGTTAGAAAGCCACAAGAATCCACCATCAGCAGAAGTTTGCAGTGTGCTCCCTTTCCAGCCCCAGGCCACACGTGATGCAAAGCATGCACACACATGGACCCCCCCACACACACCAACCGCGCATTCTTAGCACATATCCTTTCCTTGCTGATGCATACTTCTCTGTATGTGGACTGCTGGGGGAGGTGGGGAGTTCGGTGTGGGGAGGGTCAAGGCACTCCTGGAGACTAATGTAAGCATGTGGGGGGGGGGGGGCAGGTTGTGCATTCATTATAAAGGGTTACAGGTCAGTCCCTCCGGCCTAGCCTCACAAACGGAACCATCGTGGATTCCCTCCACTGCACCTGTTAGCAGCCCTGCCCTCCCAGGAAGATTTGGAAGAAAATTAAGGAAATGTCTCCTCGCCACTGATGAACCTCTGAGCCGTTTTACAGCCACACGTTGGACTGTGGGCCTCGCTGTGCACAAACAGAAAACACCGGCGCAAGATGCAGCGGTAGTTTCTGACCCAGATGCCTTTGGAAGGGGTGAAGGCAAGTCCTTGGAGGAGGAGGGGGCGGCTACCAAGGGCTACTAGCCACAACGGCGGTGTGCTACATCCAACATGGCTCCGAACACCGCTTGCTGGGAGACCAACGCGGAAGACGGCCACTGCTGCCTGCCCCGAGGCATCTGCCAGGCGACGGAGAGAGAGAGGTGCCAGGCGAGAGGCGCCTTGGACCCCAGAGCCTGACTCTGCTTGTGCTGATTACATTCCGCATGCATTTGAACAACGTGGGGCCTTGTCATTTCTTCAAGACGCACACGGACAATATGCACTTCCCATTTGGGCATCGCTGTGATTAGCTGCTTAGTGCACTAGGAGGGGTGGGTTTCTGGACAGAAAGAGGGAAGGAACAACATGAGAAAACTAAACCTGAGTGCAATTCTTTAATGGGGAGTCAGGAGAAAAAATATCAAAAGGGGCTGGGAAAAGAGCAAAGTACTGAGGAGAGAACGTGGCAGCAGTGGCCTTTTTTCCATTCAGTATCCTCCTGAGTGCTGTTTTTGAAAAGCGGGAGAAACCATGGACACATGTTCAAAAGACACGAGTTGCTATTTGCTTGAGCCTTTTTTCTTATGGGAAGGCAGAGCAGAGGGTTCGGAGCTGAGCAGGGACGGGACTTTCACACCTTTCTGTCTCAACATCTGGTGAAAGTCCAGACGATCAGTTATTATTTTCTGGAAGACAGATCCACAGCGGAGCTCTCTGTTAGAAATGCGTGCGGCTGTTCTTTTGCCCAGCCTTGCCCTCTGACCCCTATTTTCTTTTGCCGGGCCCAACGTCCACAGGATGACTTTACCTGCAAGGCCTCTAAAACCTCATCATCTGTTATTTCTGTCTGGGGTGATTTGGTCCCTGGAGTACTGTAGGTAGCCTGGATAATTCTGCTTCGAAATCGGTCAAACTTTCAACAAAATAAAAGGAGGGGGAAACACACGGTGCTTTAGTTTAAAAAAAACAACAACCCCAAGATGATAACATTCTCTGGAATGAGAGCAACTTGGCAGCAACCAGCACCTGCCACTACTTCAAGACAGCAGTGGGTGATTAAAATGTTTCATGCCATCTGCCTTCTCTAGAGAGTTCTGCATTCATTAAAATGACATGGCTTTCTCCAAGTACCTCTGGGAACTACCATTTCACGAAGGCCGTCAGAATTTTATTCTTTGCCTGACCTAGTTAAACAAATGCTATCTATATGTAAACATACTTTAAACATAGATACTGATAGTTAAACAAAAACAAAAACAAAAACCCTCTGTGAGACAGAGATATCCGGAGACCAAGACCCAAACCTTTTGGGGGACACAATGGGATTCAAACCAGTCTACCAAAAATTGGGGCTGCTGTGCACAGTTCAGACCCAGCACCTGAAAGCACGTGAACAAACTCTTTCAGATGTGGCATCAAGGGCCGAGCTCTCTCAAGCGCCATTCCTGACAGAAAGCGGTCTCTGCGTCCCATAGGATGGAAAAATGCACCCATCGACGTATTTGAGGGTCCGCCCCAGCGTGATGTTTTCCACGATCTTTCAGTGACGCATCACCTGCTTCGCACACAGGCACTCGCAAGCTTGGTTCTCGGCATCGCTGGTTAAAAAGCTCAGGCAGCAGGTGGTGGGGACCTAAGAAGCCGAAGCCCTGGGCTGAGATCCCGGGGGGAGCCACTGCCTGCGTGGGCAGACAAGGGAGGGCTCCAGGACAGCCCTGGCCTGCAGCAGCCTGACAGCACAGGGAGCAGCCAGTTCAGCCCTGAGCTCTTCTCCGCTGGGGATGCTGGATCGCAGCTGCTGGGCCATCGTGGCTCCAGGGTGAAGCGACCTGATCCGGAAGGGAGGCACACCGCACACCGACTCACCCGGCACAAGGGGGCTCCCCCTGCCGCTGCCACCGAGACAGGCAGACGAGCGCGCGGACTTACCCTGGCGCTGATGCTCTCCAGCGTGACTCTGGTTTGCTGCTCTGCCCGCTGCAAGACCTCCAGCTGCCTCTGCAGCTCGTTCTGCTGGCTCAGCTGCTTCCCAGTGTGGCGCTGGTTCACCATCAGCTCCGCCTGGAGCCGGCCGACGTCGCTCTGCAAGTCACTGATCAGCTGGCTCTTGTCTGCCAGTTTCAGCTCCAGGTCGGAGACGTCCTGAGGAGTGGCCAAAGCGGAGGAGGAGGAGGAGACTGTGTCAGCTTCCGCGCCCCAGTGAGGTGCCCAAGCCCTTCCAGGCAGGGAAATAAGTCACTGGCTCCTGGAACGACCGGCTGTTGAGCTCTTCACACCCGCTCCTCACACTGTGAGGATGTGACAGCACAGAGTTGGACGAGCAGCCCCTGGAGCAAGCCATGGGCTACCAGGGTGCCTCCTCTGCCCCACCACAAGCCACTCTGTGGGCAGCCAGCCAGATTCACCTGGCAGGACAACTCACCGTGGCCAGGTACCTCTCGTGGGTTGCTGTGCCATGCAAACCCGGTCAGCATCGCCACAGACTACGCAGCCCCAGAATGGAGCCTCTCCCGCACTCTTCCTCCCTTGGTGCTTTTTTAGACCCCGAAAATCGCGGTTGCTCCACAACCGAGAGCAGCAGTAACCACATGACCAAGCCTCGCAAATGCCCTGCAGGGGGCCGACACCACCACGAGGTAAAGCATCTCGGCTGGAGTTCTTGGGACAATGTCTGCTGAAAGCCACTGCACCAGACCTGGATCTTGCGGAGCCCAGGCTACAGTTTGCCCCAGGCGAGGCTTGAAAGATCACTTTCTAAGCATGCGAAGCAGCTGAACTATTGCAGCTTCCAGTACCTTTCTGTCTGGTAGACATTCCTGTCTTTCTCTAAGGATTTTCAGTTTAGAATGCTAATTATTTTCAAACATACACACATTTATGTATGTATGTATGTATGACACATACTAAAGTTATCAATAAAATCGACCTCTTGCAGCTTTATGCTATTGCTATACACAGAGGGTTTGGCCCGTGCGCAGGATCTGAAGTACCAGGTGCCCTGTTATGTGGCTTCAGTGGAAAGCTGCGTTCCACTTATTTTTACTTAGCACAAAGAGCATCAATGGGAAACAGAGAGAGAGACATACGTTAAAGCAGAAGTGCATTTTTCTAGTTGGTACCTGGACTTGTAGAAGGTTGCAACAAAGGTCACAGAGGGTTCGGGTTAATCCTAACCCTTGCACCATCCAGCTCGGCAGCTCCATTAGCTTAGTGCCGCAGGGGATTGCCCACCCCAGCACCAGCCCTGCCTATGCCCCCTCCAGATATTCCGAGATTCCACGGCTGTCGGCCTCAGCCAACACGGCCAATGCTAAAGATGATGGGAGTTGCAATCCAGGAAGATCTGGAGGCTTCCCACTCTCGTGGCATGCCCTGATCTTCCTCCAGCAGCCCAGCCCCTTCCTGACTGTCCCAGTGGCTCACATTCTATCGTCTCACTGATGCTCCAGCACTCTCGCTCTTCTGCCTTCTCACTGCTTTACCCCATGGATAATGAAACAGAAACCAGAATAAAATCTCGGGGACTTTTCTTTGTTGGCCCCAGCCAATCAGAAGCACTTCTGCATTCATATGCTTTGTTCTGCCCTGTTGGGATACTGCCACCCCAAGCCTCGGCCCCTGTCCTAGCTATCCAGTGCTCTGGAGTCCATGGAACCTCCGAGTTTTGAAACAGAAACGTCCCCAAGGAAGAGGATCCGCACAGGGGATTTGGCATGACAGCCGTGGGACACCTCACCTGCCGGAGCTTGTAATTTTCTCTCTCGACAGAGCCCATCATTTCCTCATGCTTCCTGTCGTCCCTCAGATTGCAAAACTAAGAGAAAAAGCAACAACTGGCAGAAGGCTCCTGATCGCCATTCCTTCGCAAAGCACGTGCAACAAGGGCACCAAATAACCATCCAGTAGCCCAGAAGCGAAGGCTGGGCGAAGCAGGACAGGCCCCTGCCAACAGCCAACTTGGCAGCCTCAGTCCCAGAATGGAGGCCAAATAAAATGATCAAGGGTTGCTCTGTTTAGAGCTGTTTGGACTAGAGGGGGAAAGGCAAGTAAAACAAAGGCAGGATGATGGAGGCATATAAAATGACGCGTGGTGTGATGAGAGGGGATAGTTTTTACCTGTGTCTCATGACTCCGGGGGACATCCAATGAAACTAAAGGGTGGGGGAACAAAGGACGCCCTTCTTCATGTAGCAGATTGTCCAACTATGGAATTGGCCACTGGAAAAGGTACAGATGTCGACCAACCTGGACAGCCTTACCAGGGAACTGCACAGACTGATGGAGGGCAAGGCCACACATTGTACCTATGTGCGACGGCTCCGCACTTTTGCCCATTTCATGGCAGCCCCTCTCCATATTCCAGCTGCTCCGGGGACAAGAGCAGGAGAACGCTATTGCACATCCAGCTTATGAGCTTCCCAGCGGCTGCACCAGGCAGGCCTTGGCTCTGGTCCAGCCAAGCTTTTCCCATGCGCCTCAGAGGCAGCGGCTTGCCTCAGGCCACATCTCCCTCAGCTGCAGTGGGACACCCACTCCGCTCTTGCCACCCCACCCAGCCGACCACAACTGCCAACAGAGCTGTTCCTCGAGGTACCTTGTTGGACATGGCCTCCAGTTGAGCTCCCCGCTCTCGCAGCTCCTTCTGCAGTAACTCCCGCTCGGCGTGAGCTCTCCGGAGCTGGGATGCCTCAAAGGACAGCTGCCTTTGCAGGGAAGAAATCGTGCCTAGGGAAGCAGAAGGAAAGTGGCTAACGTGTCCAGAGACTCCTAGAGAGTGACTCCATTTCCCCCTTTCCAATATTTCTCCACTAGCAGGAGCAGGCTGAACGACTGGGGGTGGGAGAGGGGAATGGCAACAAAGTGCCGCACTGTACCCTTCTCTGCTTACGCAAATGCTGCTCTTCAGGAAGAGAACTAATCGGCCACCGGCCACCACCACGCTCTCCTCCAGGACACTCCTGAGTTCTCATCATGGAAGAGTAGAGCCGGAAGGGGCCAGGAAGGCCATCAGGTCCGACCCTCTGCCGTTGCAGGACACCAGGTCACACCCTCGCACTCTCGCTCTCCTAGTTTTCTGTTCACCCACATCCAACAGTCAGCATTCTAAGAGTATGAGCTGAACATACTCAACCTTACTAGTTTTGTTTGGTTTCACTTTCTAGAATATCTATATCTATCTATAAAAATTAGTATTTCTGGAATCGTTGGGTTTCCGCCTGAGTAGGCCTATTGATCTTTAGTGGCTCCCTTCTGGTGATGTTCAGTCAATGATCACCCTCAGTTTTCTTTTGATTAGTGGGGGTGAAACCAGTTTCCTGAGAATCTGATAAACTGGCATCCAAGCAAAACTTAAGAATTATCTCTGTTTTTCATACAACCCTCTCAGCTTCTCTGTGGTACCTGTGGCAACATCATAATCATTTTTCACTTTCTCCAGTTCGTCGCAGAGCTCGCTGTTCATTCTCTGGAACTCAAGAAACTTGTGGATGATCAATTCCCCTTCTGATTCCTCCAGTCCTTCAGGTTCCATCTCTCCTTCATAACCCACTTTTGATTCAGTGCCAGTGAGCATCTCTTCCTCAGTTTCCACTTGTCCTTTCTGCTGTATTTCTGTATACTGTGTGTGGGAAGTAAAGATTCAGCACGTGGTTTGGGAGAAAGAGAGCAGCTGGAACCAAACAGGAGAGCTGCGCTGAGCACACCATGTCTGTTTCAAGCTGCATTCGGCCATTTCAGCCTTCCACAAACCACGAAGGTCACTACCCAGTGGAGTGGCACAGGGAGGGCCGCCAGGAGCGGCAGAGTGACTCGCCCCTGGGGAGCAAGGCTCACCCCACGGGCCTTGGCTCACCTCCTTCTCCAGCTGCTCTAGTTCCGCCTGATCCTTCAACAGGGTTTCATTGAGCAGGACCATCTTGGAATCCAGGATCTTATCCGTCTGGGTTAGCTCCGATTTCAAGCGCTCCATCTCCTGGCGGAACTCTTCCGGGATGCTCTTCTGTCCCAGGTGGGCTGGCAGGGAGGCGACTCGCTTGCGCATCATTGCACTGCTCTCTTCCGCCAGACTTTTCTCATCAGAAAGATTCTGGAGTGAGGGTGTGGAAACGGGAAACAGAGAATTTGGCCCTTGTATTCCTTGGGCAAAAGCCACAACGCCCATTTTATAACTTGGGAGATACGACAGCAAACCTGCGGGAAAAACTTGGCTCGCAGGATGTGACACAACTGCAAGAATCTGGTTTATATCAGGGCAGCTCAGTGGTTCACCTTGCCCAGCTTTTCCTACTGCGCCGGCAGTGGCTCCCCAGGGTTCCTGGCAAGAGCCCTTTGCCGCCCCCGGATCGTTCAACTGGACCCTTCCACAGGCAGCTCGACCACTGAGCTGCGGCTCCTCCCCCATCTCAGCCAGTGACATGGGCTCCTCCCAGGGCTCGATGCTCGCCCAAGACCGTGCCTGGAACCCCTCCTCTTCCAGTTCGAACTTGCCCTCTCTTCCCTCTCCTCTCAGCCTCCATCAAGCAGCCAGTTCAGCAACTGGGCCACAAACATGGACGAGAAGGGAGCCTGAGGAGGAAAGGAGACAGCCCTCCTCTTGACTAACTCCAGGCTCTCAAGGTTCAGCTCCCTCTCTATAAAAAGTCTCTCTGCTTATAAAAGCCTTTAGCGGCGTTCCATCTAGAAGCTCACTATATGCAAGCTGCCTTCCGGGACTTTGCTCCGTTAGGGCAGCGGCAATGGACAAACCAGGAGGCTGCAGTCCCGTGCCTGTTTAGACAGGAAAAAGGCTGATGACTCCCAGCATGTCCCAGGCAGCCATGCCTTTTCTCAGCCCAAATGGTGTCCTGTAAGCATTACCTACACCTGGTTAGTTTGCATTAAGATGTCCTGCCCGGCAGCGTATCTTGAAGGCTACACAGTACCTGTGCTGCTGGCAGGACGGCACGCTGCGACAGGCATTCAGGGCCCTGCTGGGCAGAAGGAGAAGGCAGCCCCCGATGCGGCAATGGTTGGCTTTTACGCCTTCGGAAGCGAGAAACACTCTTCCTGCTGCCCTCTAAAGGACCCCCATTAATTCCAAGGGTCCACTGCCAACCAATTACAACCAAAGCAGGCCAGAAAGCAAAGGACACTCCGATGCCTTCTTTGGAAGAGGACAAAGTCTAGTCCCTTTGCAGCTCCAGAGAAGCAAAGGTCCAGCGCTTAAACTCTGGTGCCTGGAAATCCAGCACACATCACCATACAGCTGCCCCCAGCTGGAACAGTGCTTAGATTCGCCCTGTAAGCCCCACTGGGGCCTAGTGCCCACAGAATAAGCCTGTTGGACCCTTCTCAACTTTGCCAAGGTCCTAGGAAAGCCTCCAGCGGACAAAACACAGAGAGAAGTTGCTCAACCTTCTCCTCCAGACTCTCCTTGCAGATGACGACCCCCCGAGGGCGAAGCTGGTCGAGCTGCTTCTGCATTGCTTCCACCTCCTCCCGAAGGACAGCGATCACCTCGTCCTTCCGGGCACAATCTGCTTCGCAGGTGGCAAGGCGGGCGAGTTCTTCTGTCAGCTTATTTAGAGACAAGTCCTGGTGGGAAAGGAAGGAGGCTCACATGTGGAGACTGAAAAGCACTTCTGCTCACAGAATCGAGGATGCCACTGGGCTGCGGGTTACCTGGCACTAGCCTTTTTCTCTGGAACGGCTTTGTCAACTGGACTGTGATATCGTAAGAATAAACAGACTCCAAAAAATTTTTTACATCACGGATTGAAAATCCTTACTTTCCAAAGCAACCATGCACATATTCCTTGTGTCTCAATATCCTTTGTCACCCAAAATAAGCAAAAGAATTCACACCTGTAATTAAAGTGTTAACCAATCAGGATAAAGAAGGTGTGCCAAAGGTGTATAAAGAGTGTAACACTTCACACTGTTCTTTGTTATTATCTCTTTATGATGTTACTCTTTTGCATGCAAGATAATAAAGCTTTCCAGTAATTTTTTGTGAGGCAAGTATTTTACTTCGAAAGGACCTCCAGGTTTGAACCAGACAAGAGGCTTCAGGTTCTCCTGAGACTAATTTTGGAAGTCCCACAACATGGAGCAAGGAAACAGGGAAAACAGTTTTCCCCCTCTCCCACAATACTAGAAGCAAGCATCATTCAATGAACCTCATCAGGAGGGGGATTGGGACAGATAAAAGGAAGTCCTTCTTCACACAACTATGGAATCCCCTACAACTTAGAAAGCTTAAGTTGCCAGACATGATAGGAGAAGCTAACACTCTCAGTTGTTGGGAGAGAAACAACAGTTTTAACTCAATAACAAACTGTGGGTTAAAACTCTGGATTGTCTCTCTCCCAGCAGCTAGGAGTGCCATGTTTGGATGTAGCTACATAATGTTCCTGGGCTGCTTGCTAAACATGGTAAAAAGTGGGCGTGACAAAGAAATGGGAGGCAGCAGGCTGTCATGGGTGAAGAATCCATGGGTTATGTGACATGTGAACCAAGTCACTGGCTCAAACTTTCAACTGACTAAAAAGTGCCCACACTGAACTTGACTGAAGATAGCTTTAGTACAAGGACTTTTCAAAAGCACAAATGGCACGCACAACCTTAAAGGAACGGGATTCCTTTTCTAAGATGGATGTGCAACATACTTGCACATCATCTAGAACAACAGAAAAGAGAATCCTGGCTTCCAAGTGAGCTGTAGCCTTAAAAGGAATTCAAACTGTCTTGCTTAGCTCTGCACCCAAGCCCAAATGATGCAGGCAAACACCCATCGTTCTGTCTGTCCAAAATGGCCCGCTGCCCTCCAGGGCTACCTGGGTACACAGCCACTGCCCTCAGGAGCATGTCCTCATTCCTTTGCTCCCTCTCACTGCTTCTAGGCACTGGCATTCGTGGTCTCACCTTCTCACGAAGCACCGAGATGTACCACGGGATTCTGCTTCCCACGTGGCTCTTCGTTCTGGTGGGGTGCGGGTAGCCTTCCTTGGAAGTTCTCCACTTCGGCAATTCAGACAGGCTTTGGGTGGATGCAGATGGCCAGTCTGTGCACATGGAGCGGTGGGCAGAGCAGAGAAGAAACACATTGTCAAACATTACCCCCAGCTGCTAAGATTATCGTGAGCGGGCCAGAGGTGAAAGAGGACGCAGCTCCTGAGCCTTCAAAGCAAACAAAGCCTGCCGGAAGGTCTTCTGTGCGACTATGAAAGGTGCGGGAGCCCCGGCTTCCCTTGCATCAGGCCTCCCTGGTCATGCCTGAATGTTTACTGGATGCAGGGCAGGAACAGACGCATGCGCTGTTTTAACTCACTCTTTGACAATTGCTCTACCGCCCTCACGCCACACACCCACCCCTTCAAGCTTGCTTGCCTTGCTTGCCACATGGGAGACAGACCCTCCCTCGGGAGAAGACAGAGTCAACATGGGAGCTGAGCAGCTCCCCTATCATTACTGAGCACACATCCCAAGAAACCCTTTTCCTTATTTTTGGCACCCCTCGCCTGCCTCAGCTGCTTCTCGGCTTTAACCTTCCTGGCACCACCTCTGCAATTTGAAGCTATATTCCTTGACACTGTTTAGTGCTATCTTACTCCACCCACCTCCTCATATTTAAGTCATTACTTTTAGTTCCTGCCTTGTCTCTTACAAGGAATCCAATGCAATTTACATGGCCCTTCTATGTTATCCTCACAACAGCAGCCCTGTGAGGTATATGAGGCTGAGCATCATGACGGGCCCAAAGTCACCCAGAGAGCTGGAGGGCTGTGGAGGGTCTAGGATCCAGCCCCCCCGAGTCCCAGGCCAGCACTCTCACTGCTAGGCCACACCAGTTCCATGCCCTCCTTGGTGTCCAGGTCATTCCTAAGCTCTGCACAGCCACACTGGCTTCTTCTGCAGCCTTCTGTTTTTCCCCTCATTTGGCTGTTCCTTATTGTAACTTTAACAGCTCCCTATCTAAGGAACTCCAATTCTCCCTACACTCTTCCTTCCACTAGATTCTCTTCCTATGGAATGCTAATTATCATTTATCTGAGTTCACTGAAAACCACTTTCCTGAAGCCCAAGGTACTCATCTGATTCCACTCCACTTCAGTTTTCCCCAGAGATTCAGGAGCTTGTGCATTTACAAGGAAATTTTCTGCCTGAGTTCCCGCTACTTTTAACTCATCAGTGCTTTGGTCTTGCTCAGAGTCATATCAAGGAAGGCTGATCCCCTTGTTCTTCCCCCATCCCCCAAAAGGAAAAGTTTTCAGCAAGGCAGATCAGACATTTCCTTGAGAGTACATATTGGTCAGACTCCATTACCCAACAGATAAAAAGCGACTTCGCAATTACTAAGGGAAGAGCCTGGCTTCATTGGTGCTCACAATCTCCTGGCACAAACATTCGTGTAATAAAAAGCATAAGCAAAAACCCGCTGATCAGAAAAAGACACTTACATTTGATGTAACTCTTTGAATCCAAGGGTTCCTGATTCTGAAAGAGCATGTTCCAATCATCCAAAGATATCTGGGAAGACAAACTTAGGGTGCTAATGTTACTGGGCAGCTCAGCAAGTCTTCCAAAGTTAGCTTCTGTGGGTAAAAGGAGGAAAAATATCTTCCTTATGCCATTCAAAGAAAACATCAGTCTCTGAGGCACAAGAATTTAATGACCCCAACACTGTCCCTGCATTGGGATTTCATAGGTTGCTTAATCTCTGAAAACAGGGCCCTACCCTCTTCTCCAAGACAGGCTTGAAAGACAAATTCATTGGATTTATTGCAGGGGGAGGCTATGGAAGCTGGGAAATGAAGCCCTAGCACAGATACAACTTGTTGGCGCCCATCTTTAAAATGGAACTAAGAACTCTTTACACCTATGCACAAAGAGCTAATACTCTGAACTGTGTACTTCAACATTTCATGATTCAGTTTATTTCTGAATGTTTCCATGTAAAGAGGAAAAAATACCCCGCTGCAAGTTATAAAACAGCACATTAGGTATTGACAAAATCCTTCTACCTACTGGGTTTCAGTCCAAGTGAACCAGAAGGAGATGACTAGTCAGTTGAACATGGGGGCAAATGCCACAACAAATCCAGGCTGGAGTCAAGCTCCGATGGAACAGGCAGTAGCCTCGAACCAGGAAACAGCTACCCAGACTGAGAAGCCAAGTGCAGAGGCTATAACTTCACAGCAAGTGTGGGGATCTCAAGCCCGCAATTAAATCTGGCTCAGCTGGGCCAAATCCTGCTCTCCAAATAGCTCAGACCCAGCTCTCCGAACAAACAAACAATGAGCTTCTGCCACTGCACCCAAGGGACTCTTCTCATTTTTAGCCTGACTGTGGTTGAGCTTATTGTCTGGCTTTGGAAGCATGATTAAGCCACAGAAGGCTTTTTAAATACCACAACAAGCCACAGCTACTTGGGAAAGCTTATACATCAAGTGGGGAACGAGCTTCTACAGAACATACTAAGCCAACGCACCTCCAGGCAGTTTAGCACATCATGTGAACCCAGTTATTATTTCTCCCTTCTAAGCCTTACCAAGGTGAGATGTTGAAGTTGCCCTGTGGCTGTACCTTGGGCATCCAGGGCGCATCAGGAAGCATTTCTGTAATTCCTCCACTTCAGGTGTGTAGCCTGATGCCAAGAGACTTGCTGTTTGACCCTCAGCCTGGGTAAGAAGAGGAACTGAGAGTGACATGGGTGACAAAGTAGGTTCTGACCTGTGGGTGTCAATTGGAAATGTCCCTCACAAACAGTGGAAGCTGTTCTTATATGGAGTTAGGACATTGCTCCATCAAGTGCCAGACTGTCTACAGACTGGAAAAGGCTCTTGGAGGTTTCAAACAGGAACCTTCCCTGCCTCCATCTGCAGAGGCCAGGCATATACATGCTGTGTGCAAAGATCAGCTGCATTGGCCAACACAACACTTGCCAACAGAGGCCTTCCCAGAAATGTTCTAGAACATTCATTTATCTGTTACTTTATAAACAACACCACAACTGCTGTGCAAACATGTTCTTACAGCACCGCAAATAATACAATCCAAACCCTACGTACCTGCCTCCGATAGTATTGCTCAACTGCTTTGGATGCTTTGCTGGGGGCCATTTTGCTGTGGTTTAGAGGATTCCACATGGTATTCTGATGCTGGCGGCTACCCATCTCCTGCAGTTCATTGAAGCCCCTCCTCATCAAGCTCACTGGTTTCTCCATGATCTTATCAATGGAGCTGCTTCCATACAGAAAAGTTAAAAGAGCCTTAAAAGGTTGAAAAGCTACCAGAAAAGAACACTTTGTTTTTAAATATACAGAGGACAGATAGGAAATGGACTAAAGGCTGTGAGTCTATATACACCAACTGTTATTACTACTAGCTTTTACTAGCTAACTAGCTTTGGAGTGTATTTTAGAGCACTAATAAAAACATAAGAAAAGCCATGCTGGATCAGACCAAGTGTCCATCTAACCAACTGACTGACTGACCAATTAATATTTTATACCATACAACAGACAAAGCTCTCCAGGTGGTTCACAACAATTAAAAGCAGAGTCTACCCTTTTAAAGACATAAGAGGACAGTATAAAATAAAGGTGAGAACTGCAAAAGGAGCAGCAGTACAGAGATGGAATATACAAGACAGAATTTCAAAACAGACTAAAACTAGCACGCTTTGGAAAATAAGGTGCCTGCCACCTAGTGTCAGAAAGCACGCAATGCAGGGGCCAGGTGAGCGTTTCTGGGGTGCTTGAACCTGGGACTCCTGCAATGAGCAGCGGGGTGGACGAGATGGCCTCCCTGATCCCCTCCAGCCCTACAAATGAGGACCAATGCTAATGAGGGTGTGGACCGGGAGATCCGGGCTCGGCCATGCGTCTCCCTGGGTGACTTGCGGGCCGCTCACTCTCGGCCTAACCTACAGGGCTGTTGTGAGGACAAACGGGACCGGAGGGGGAGGCGGATGCAAGGCGCCGGAGGTCCCTGCGGGAGGAAGCACGGCGGGACGCCAACGCCGAGCAACAATCGTCCCACCGTCCTTCTCCCCGCTTCCGCGACGCGACGCCTGGCCCCGCACCCTCCCCACGTGGGACCTTTCCTGGCTTCGCGGCCAGGAAAGGTCCCGCCACCTCCTCCCCGCATCGGACAGGCCGCCGCGGGAGCGGGCTGGCCGCCAGGAGGAGGGCGCCGGGCCCAGCGGGGCCGGGAGCTCCCCTCCCCTCCACCCCGCGGCCGGCCCTCTCTTCCAGCCTCCGCGTGCGGGCACGGCCCGCCGGGGGCGGTTTCCTGCCCGGGCCGGCTCAGCCCCTTCGGCTCACCTGCGCCGCCCACGGCCTCCCCAGCGGCTCGGTCGGGAGAACGCCTACGCCCCAAGCCGCTGTCGCTTAGCAACGCGGCACACTTCCGGCGGAAGCTGCTGGAGAGGCGGACCCAGAACGCCAGGGCTCGCGCAGGGATTGGTCGGCGAGATATGCTCGGCCGGCGGCCCGCCCAGGCAGGCACAGCGCGCATGCGCCGGAGACGTCGCGCGGGTTTGAGGTCATTTCCGACCTCGGCGGGCTGGTGAGCGGCGCCGCGGGTGCCCTTGTCTCCCGAGCCGCGGCGTGGAGCGCGCAGGGCGGGCCAGGCAGACATTCAGCAGGGAGAGCTGGGCCTCCCTCCTGCTCCTGCGGGTCCTGCCGGGGAACACAGCTGCGTCCTCAGCTGCTCTTTTGCAGTCGTAGATGCCGAGGGCCTGACTACCTCGTTGCCTCGCCTTCTCTCCGCCAAGGGGCCGCCATGGTTCACCTGGGTAAGTCCGCTTGGAGAGTGCATGGCGTAGTCATCACTGCCTTCACAGGAGCCCTGCAAGGTAGGCCAGGATTAGCTCCCCTGTGTTGCAGAACTGCGCAGTGCTAAGGCTCAGCGGTCTTCTAGTCAGTCAGTCTGAAAGACGCAGGGGCCTGAGAAGTTAATAGCTCACAGTGCGAATCAAAATGCCTTCCACCAGACAGGTTGGGAGAGAAGGTACAGAGCTGAGGGAGAGCCTCTCTCTCACCTGCAGAATGTATGGAAACAAGGCGGCCTAACAGAGGAACAGAATGATCGGACCACTTGGCCGCTCCGCTGCAAAAATTCCTGCTCCCTTACGGCCACAAGGTGAATGCTTAAATAAAAGTGCCCCTGTGCAGTTAAGGACATGATGCCTTAAGAAGTTCTCCCCTAGAAGGCCACTTATTTTCTAAGATTCCCATGCCACACAGTTTTAAAATCAATGAAATAGTCAGATAATATTGCTATAAACACAAGCATAGCTGAAAGATTTGTATTAATGGATCTAGAAATTGCTTGCTTAACAGATTGGGAAAGGGGGCTTCTTTTTGAAAAAGTTTGCTTTTACATGGTCTCCAATACAGGGCAATGCCTCATGAAAAGGTACCACAAAGTACGTGTTGTCATCCGTCTTGCTCTTGGTGGCTGTGCCAACAGGCCTTACTATCGGATTGTGGCTGCACACAACAAGCGACCCCGGGATGGCAAGTACTTAGATCAAATTGGCTGCTATGACCCACTTCCCAATAACCACGGAGAAAAAATAGTAGGCCTGAACATAGAGCGGCTGAAATTCTGGCTTGCCAATGGTGTCCTCCTCACCAAGCCTGTTGAAAAGCTTCTGGGTAAGCCACCTTGTTTCTGATTACCAATTGCAAAAGGCCTTTTGCAGCTTTAATGCTTGGACATTTGTGTTCTACTCCTCTGTCAAAGGAATATATAGCAATTTCCCTTATGCTGTTGCATCAGTCCTCCACCACTCCCCCCCAAAAAAAAAACACTTTAACACTCAGAATTGCCTTGAGACATAATTCTGCTGTAGTTTTAACTTTTCCCAGCTTGCTGTAATCTATCCTCGGAGCTGTTTTTCATGTTGTGTACAATTATGTGTTCAGTCAGAATTATAGAAGCCTCTTTGAGTGCCTGATAGAAAAAAAGTGGGATATACGTAATAAAAATAGATATTAAAATCAAAGGCCATATTGTTTGTTTTTTAAGTTGCCATGGGGAAGCTAAGTGGCTATGACATCAGTCTTCAAGTGGAATCCAAAAGGGCCAATCATATGTATGTGTATAGCTGAGTTTTGATGAATATATTTTGACTCACTTCTTTTAACTTGAGACAATTGAGCTCAGGACATGACAGTAAACAGAGATAACAAAATGCCTTGCTTTTTGTTCCTTAGGACTCGCAGGATTCTTCCCCCTGCATCCTATGACCATTACAAATGCTGAGAGAGAGAGAAAGAAGAGAGCCCTGGAGGCCGCAAAGGCGGCTCAGGAAGAAAACCTGGCTGTGAAAGAGTAAGACAAGAGATGCAAAGATGACACCTGCCACCAGTTCAGAGGGCAGTACCAGGGTACATGAGGAACATCTGCCCTGCCAAGGAAGTGAAAAGCAGCAACTTGGACAGCCGAACACTTCCACCCCACGGCTACAGAGCCATGGCCTATTGGATCCCACATTTCAGCTTGTGCTGTAGCTCTCAGCTGTTGAATTACCGCCTTCAATTAAATAATTTTACAAGCTTAACCCAGCTTTCAGACTGTTAGTATGGGGGAACCTGGAAGCTGCAGAACATCTTACAGTGCTCTTGCTCATCAGTCCAGCCAAGTTACTAGCTTGCAGATCCTTTTATCAGCCTGCTGGGGCCTGGCAGAGGGCACAGAATTCCATCGCTCCTGGGTCAGCCCACTGCGTTTCAGTGTGGCTTGTGAACAAGAGAGAACACGCTCTGCCGAGCCACTCACTAGTCTCCCTGCAGTCCCTTGTCCTCTATAGCTAGCCATAACTAGACTTACACTCACAGCCAGAGTGTCATTTTAGTTTCTGCACCACTGACCTTCTATAAAAACACCTCAACCATTTACAAGATCAAAATACATCCTACTATGAAACTATGAATGTTGTCCATGGGGTCGCGATGGGTCAGACATGACTTCGCGACTAACAACAACATGAAACTACTCTGCCTTGCAAACATTTACCCCACTTTGGTAACGGCACCAATCCAATCCATCTACATTCCAGGGTATAACAAAAGGTGGGAAAGTCAGAGGAGAAAAGTGGGTGAGAGTACTCTTGCAGGCACTGTAAAATACGTAAAATCAGAACTAAAAATCACAGTGCTAAATCAACTTACTGGAAGGCTCAGTCAGTTCAGGGCAGAGATGAGACTAACAGAAATCTAAAACATGCTCCTGTTGGCACTTCTCAAGTACCAGGGAGGATGACATACCTTACGGTGGGCGCCACCATGGAGATAACCCACTTGTAGTTGAAGTCATGAGGTGGTTATTTGCTCTGGATAGTATTTAAAATTTGAACAAGCCCTCCTGACTGAAATGCGTAGTTGACACAGCAGCCTTCTTGCCTTCCGCTTTGAACCAGCGTTACAAGAAGCTAGTTTAACAGCGTTTTGGTGCAAGTTCTTTTCCCTACCCACAACTACACAGATGCTGTCGTCAAGCTTCTACATATAAGGCTGAGCAAGACAGTGAACTCTGCATTTTAAGACCGTAAACTCAGGAAACTGTTCTGCAAAAGCAATTCAAAACCACGGAGCTCTGTCTTGCGTACCAAAAGCATGTCACTATGCCATTATTTTCATTCACACAAACATCCAGTGGCACTTGGCACCATAAAAAATTATGCATATGTCCTTAAATCACTGAAATGCAAACTCTTCTCACTATTTCAATAGGATGTACCCAAGATTCTTGCTGGAAGAGAACGTGAACTTTAAAGCCAGGCTGCAGATCAAGTGCGATTTAGCGCTCTGTTCCTTCGATGATAAAGCAGTGGTGGAGTGTGGGCTGAGGTGCTGTCATTTTTCCAGAAACACAACCTTCTCTTCTCTCCGTGATCTCTCTGCCTCAAACACTAGGAGGTGAGAGTTTAAGGTCTCGTCCGCACCGGTCCGAATCAGGGTTGGATTATTCTCCTATTTCAACATTTAGAAAAGCAAAGAGGTTCAGTCTGAATCAAGGAGGGAAACGTGCTGGCTTATTGTAAAAGAAATACCTACTATTTTGTTAATTTTATGAGAGATAGACTAATAGATTTTACAAATAAAAATGGTTTAAAATACTGAATTTCCACATTGGACAACTTCTACACAGAGCAGCTTTCAAAATCAACACTACCATCCTCGATATAGCATCAGTTCAAGCATAATGAGCTCGGGGAATTTTAAAAAGTCAGCAGCTCGCTCTAACCCCCTCCCCCAATTAAATGCTGTGTCAAGGTTCTTGAGGATTTAAGAAAAGCCCGGCTGGATCAGACCCAAAGTCCATCCAGCCCAGCATTCTGCACACGTGGTGGCAAACCAGCTCCCACAGGATCCCTCCAGCAGGACGGGTGCAAGGCCACCTTGCTCCTCAGCAACAGGTATATGCAGGCACGCTGCTTCTGCTGGAGGAGGTAGCCCATGGCCAGCAAGGCTAGCTTCTTGGATGAGGGAAATCCAAAGGTGTGGCAACACCACTGAAAAAAGTCCAGGGCCAAGTTCCTAGTCCTTATGATACGTCGGAAGCAACAGGGATGGACCAAACAAGAATGTCAAACAATTTCCATACCACTATTCCTTTAAAAGTAAATCCTAACATTGTTCATAAAATAAAATAACGACAAATACCGTGACGACAGAGGTAGCTGGTGATGGCTAGCAAGGAAATACTTAAACAACTGTAGTCAACCGTGCAACACTCCACACAAAGAGAGCATTTCACACAGCCGGTCCCACAATGCAGAAGCCACAAGCAAGGAAACAATAATTGGTTGCAACACAGAGGAGGCCTCTCCTGGAAAAAGTCTGGTCTAGTGTGGTCTATATGGGGAAAGGCAGACTCTCAGATATCACAACTCTACTCACTGGGGGCAAGAGAGCTTCTTGATAGTTTTGCTGGTGTGCAAACTGGATTATGGTTTGAACACTTCTTTCTCCCAGCAATCCATATTGAGCACTGTATATTGCTGATACAACCAAAAATACTGGATGTGCTTTAAAATAACCAGCTGCTAGACACCAGCGGCATCTTCGAACTCAGCTGCAACAGTAAAGGATATGGGCGATGTATTCCATGCGTTGTGGGGGGATTAAAAAGAAAAAGCCACTGGAGTAAGCAAAACTTACAGCAATCGCTGAAACAAAGCTCTCCATCAGGTAGTAATCTGCCCCTTCGTGGCCACTTAAGCATTCTGGGATACCAGGTGCCTTCTCAGGAGAAAAGAATTGTTTCTTCTTTTGGAGGAAATCAAAGACCTCCACAGGTCCTGCACCTTCACAGTGGAGCTCTCCCTAAAACCAGAATTACATCAGAATGTTACGGTATCTGTTAGTGTTCTAGGTATTCGTTCTACAGGAATGGATTTCTGAAGGAGCGCTTCCTTCCATATATATATACACCTCCAAGATCTGGAGCTTTTTTCATTTTGGCACCAGGCCAAACCCTTTTTATTTTCCCAGTATTTTAAAAGTTAGTGTTGTTTTAAGTATTGATTTTATATTTTATGTGTGATGCTGTGTCCTGTTTATTTATGTTATCGCCGCCCTGAGACATTGTAAAGGGCAGCATACAAACATTTTAAATAAATAAAATAAAATAAAGGCAAAGCTCACAAGGCCCAGCCTGGAAGAACACCCATTTAGTTTGGCAGATAAGCTAGGTCCAAATTTTCCCAGCATCCTACAGATGAGTGTACAAATCAAGGTTTCTCAAAATTAAGACGGTACATTCCCATGGTCCAGGGATGCCCAAGAAGATGCTAAAGGTCACTCAAATAAATACCCCTTATTGTTTTTATCATAACCCCCTAACCCTTCCATTTATAAGTGGACTTGATGGACTTATGTAGGTGGCAGACATGGGGACACCAATATTGTTTTTCCCACCCCGACATTGCCATGTTTTACAGCTATTTCTAAAGGTCCCATCTGGGCAAAATAGAACCAATTCATTCCAAGGCTGTGATAATGCAGACCTGAGCGACGCACTGAGTCAGTCAACTGACACAGAGGGACGCATGAGAAGCATTTCAGTTGCTGCAAACTTTGCCATTGATTAAGCGCCAGGTCATGCATTTTAAAAAATTAGTCTTCAGGGACGTATGAAACAATCCGAGGCAAGCCTCTCTCAGAAGAGAGGTGCGTGTAAACATGAGCAAGAGGGGAAAAGTGTGAAGCTGAGAAATGCTGCGTTTCCCCAAGGTAAACGTTAACTTAGAATCCCACCTAAGAATCCCTCCCTCCCTCCGTGTGTGTGTGTGTGTGTGTGTGTGTGTGTGTGTGTGTGTGTGTGTGTGGTGAACACAATTTTTATTTATGTAGAACTTCTCTGTTCTTAGCTTTATCCAATCCATAGATTAAAACTCACGAAACCCGAAGAATCACAGTGCAATCTCATACTGTATATAAGCCACTCAAACAGAAGCCCAATTAAGTTCTGCAAAACCAGTCACAGGTAAGCAGATGGAAGGCTGCAATCCTGGACTCATTTACCTGGATGGACAGTAAGCCTGGCCATACTCAGCCACGTAGAACTGAACTGCAAGGCATCCTTAACGGAGAGACTTTCCCACTGGCTCGGGCAGAATGCAAAGGGTGGGCTGTGCCTGCAGAATTGTACGCATTGTTAAGCACGCGGAAAAGTTGCTCAGTTCTACCTTCGTTCCATAGATGGTGGTTTTTCTCACGCCCAGCTGCTTGGTGAAGGCAACCATTGTAAAGGCCGCCGTTGCTCCTCCTTCAAATTCCATATTGACAACCTGAAAAGAGTTTAAATGAGTAAAAGTCAGGATCAAGTGGTAGCAGAGGAGGGCTGGCAGAAGATGGCTCCATTCTTTCTTCAATTAAAAAAGGAGTTTCTGATTCTTGAGACTGGAAATACGGGTTTCAACACGTGTAGACAATGTCTAGTGAAGTCTCAGAAGCCAAAAGGGGGTTAGGTGCGTCTCTACAAAACTTAATGAACTAAGATACATTAGTTCATTAATATACAATTTTATATTGTTATTTCTTGTATTTTAATTATGTTGTGAGCCACCCCGAGGCTTCGGCGAATGGGGCAGCATAGAAATGTTTTAATAAATAAATAAATAATAAATAAGAGGCTAACAACATTCTGCCAAGAAAAATGGACACTTCACTATTCTTGTTTGGCTTTCAAAATCGAAAGTAACATCAGCATGCTAAGTATTAGGTCGTCGTCATCATCCTCTTCATTATGCAGCCTTTATATCCCGCCATTTTACCTCTCGCAAGAAACTGAACACAACTTGCGTAATCGTCCTGCACTCCATTTCATCCTCACAACAACCACCTTGTAAGGTAGGTTAGGCTGAGAGACGCTAACTAGCCAGTGAGCTGCATGGATGAGTGGGGACTTGAACCCAGATCTCTGCAGTTCCCAGTCCAACACTCCCTCAACCACACCAGCTCTCAATCATTTTTGAATTATCATTTTTGATGGGTTAAAAGAGATGCATGAAATGAATTCAAAACAGCAGTCCGGCAACTGCCAAGATGTTGTCTCCGACATTGAGTTGTCAGATGTGACTGGCACTGCACAATCAGCTGCTGAAGTTAAATATCGAATATTCATATTTCTAAAGCTGAAGGTTTTTCTACAGGAGGCTCTTAAACGGCAGTCATCCAGTGCATCTGCTTTTGGCCTTGTTACAGAACTGAGATCCTGGCCATGAATGATTTCCTTTCCCATTACCTAAGCCACTAAGTGACATAATTAAACAAATACACAAGAGGAAACTGCTCACTTATTTTCCCTGCAAGGTTCTCGCTCCTCTAAAGAGAATTGCAGAAAGTGCTGGTTCCACGCACAGGTGAAAGTGAGGGGTCATGACGCCACCTAAAAACCCATAAACAACTGTGCAGGGAAACCCGAGTCTACCATAAATGTAGAAAAGCCCCCAGGGAATGCAGAGGATAACTCTTTGCAGACGAGGGAGAAAGAGCATCTTCGTGCTCGCCATGCAACGAGCAAGACTTAAAAAACCGAGGATTAAAAGCAAGGTGAGTCTAACACGGCGTACCTGATTACTAACAACATCGTTGTCGCATTCGTAAACGCACCTTCCGTACGGGCCACTGCGCAACTCTTCGGTCAGTGATTCTATGTCGTACTCACCGCCCTTACACACCACTGACACGGGCCACCAAAAGTAACCCTGGAACGAAATAAAACGGCACTTGCTTAACGGGTGTCACGCTGTATCAGACCAAGAAGTAGTTCATCTTGCCAGCTTCCAGCACCCTCTTCCCGGCCAGATGCGTCTGGGAGGCCTACAAGAAGGATAAACACTGTAAGGCTCTCTCCCAGTAGCTCACTGAGTGATCCTACCTTCTCGGCCCTCTCCAGGTAGATCTTCTTAGCAGAATACGGGCAGGATTGTTCCACTGGACAGTCTAAGCAGCGACTGGCAGCTCCTTTGGGCTAAAGGAGAACAGTCACAAGGGCATTGCTGGGGAATTCTTGGTGCCGATCGGTGTTCGTGACAAATACAGTTGTGGGAAAAGGAAGAAAGTCGTAAAAAAAACCAAAAACCCAGTTCTGTTCGTGTGTGTTTCTGATTGAAATGCAAAGATAACCTGTCACAATCCTCTTCCAGGAAATATAGCTGCATTATATCCACTGAAGTAAATGCAAAATAAAGGGTGTGTTTCCATGTCGGGTTGGTGGTTGTTTTGTTTTAGGAAATTGAAATTCAACTCAATCAGTGATTAGGAATTCAATTAGCATTTGGAATTAAAAGGGCAGCAAAGCTGTTAAACAAACCAAAGACATAGCAATACAGTTTGGCGGCCGATGGATTAAAGCGTCATTTTTTAGGTCTGAATCCTAATGGAATCACTACTAATGGGGGCAGACGTGCAAATCTTAGCTAACGCATCTCCAGCAGCATCACAAAAGAAAAGGGAATCTCACATTTCTAACCAATAAACAAGCCAAGCAAATCCATTTTAAGTAGCAACAGGGAAGGAGTGGGAACTACAGTCAAAGGAAAATACTGAGCAAAAGTATGCATTATTGTTCCGGAACCTTTAAATACATAAGAAAAAACCCGGCTGGATCAGACCCAAGGTCCATCCAGCCCAGCGCTCCGCACACACAGTGGCAAAGCAGCTGCCCCAGGACCCCTCCCGCAGGATGGGTGCAAGGCCTCTTCCTGCCCAGCCCCTCGGCAGCCGGTGTGTGCAGGCGGGCCGCTGCTGGGGAAGGAGGAAGCCCATGGCCAGCAAGGCCAGTAGCCACTGGCGGCCTCCTCCCTCACGAATCTGTCCAGACCCCTCCTAACACCATCCGGACTGGCAGCCATCACATGGCAACAAATTTCGCAGTTTAATTACATGCTGAGCGAAGGAATATTTCCTTTTATCAGTCCTAAACCTCCCAGCACGAGCTTCTTGGGATGCCCCTGGACTTGCGCGTTATGGGAGAGAAAGTATTTGAGTGTTACGGTAGACAGAGCAGAGAGTCCCTCTCTACTTCCTCTACACCATGCATAATTTCGAACGCCCCTATCATGTCTCTCCTGACTTGCCTCTTGATCCTGCCTAATCTTGGAAGCTAAGCAGGGTCAGGCCTGGGCAGAAGTGGGATGGGTGACTTGAGTGTATGATTCTATGATTATTGCTGTCAACTGCCTAGAGAGCTTTGGCTATGGGCAGTATAAAAATAATAATAACAACAACAACAGTCCCAGCTGTTGCTGCTGCTCCTCATGGGAGAGCGGCTCCAGCCCCGATCATTTTCCTGCCCTTCTCGGTATTTTTTCCAACTCAGTAACGCCCATTTTCAGGTAAGGTGACTAGAAGTGGTCACAAACAGAGCAACACACGGCGTACCTCTGTCTCTGAGCAGATCGACATATGGTAGGAAAACGGAACAAACCTTGTTCTTGCTCGTGAAATGGGACAGACTGCCAAAAGAAGACACTTTCACACATCTGAAAGAAAAAAACCAAATGAGGCATTTTGAGGTCGAGCCAAGAAGCTCAACAACTCCTCTTCTCTAGAACCGGGGGTCATCCCATGGACCTGCATGGTGGGACACCTGGGAACGAGAATGGACTTCCTCATGCAGCACCTATCTCACCTATGAAATTGACGAATTAACTAGGATGGTCTCTGGTTCAGTCCCCAGTTCAAGAGACGAACCAGCAGGCCATGGAGAAGTTCTCCACCCCAGGACACACGATCCCGGCCTAGACAGACATAAGGGTGGCTGCTACTCCGGACAGCAGGCCAAGCGTACACGCATGGTCACTTGTGAATGTTCACCTTTAGGGCAGCTGGAGTGAAATTCATCTCGGCTTAAGGCAGAATGAACCTCTCACTGATTCCCACAGGAAACTGTAGATAGAGAGAGCGCGTATCATTCTACCTTTTGCTGCCCATCCAAAAATTGATGAGGTCGATGTCATGGCAGGACTTCGTCAGCAGAGAAAAAGAACTCTGGGCTTCGTTCCGCCAGTTGCCCCGCACGAACGAGTGTGCAAAATGCCAGAATCCAACCTGGATGAAAGAAGAACGAGAAGAGAAGTTCTGCAGAGCCATATTCCAGCGATGGGCAAAAGCAGTGGGTCAGCGCCCTCCAAACAAGTCCAGGGAAAACACTGCCAAAAGTGGGGAGATGACAAAAATGTTAATCATCGGATGGGAAGAAGGGAGGCTTCTGGGTGGCCATGCCTTGTGAGAGCCACGAAAGGCCATGAATCCGCAGGCCCACAGAATAGGAAGGGCCCAAAGTGGCCATCAGGACCAGCCCCCTGCTCGGTGCAGGACTCCCAGCTAAACCACCACTTCCAGGGGGCTGTCCAGCTGCACCAGGAATGCTTCTAGTGCGGGAGAGCCCATCACTTCCTGAGGTCGTGGGCTCCGTTGTCATACTGCTCTAACAGTCGGGAAGTTCTTCCCGATATCTAACTGGAATCTGGCTTCCTGTCACTTGAGCCCGTTATTCCGTGTCTGTCACGATCCAGAAGAGATCCTGGCTTTTCTGTGTGACAACCTTTCAGGTACATGTAGAGCACGATCGCATTTGGTCATATTTCTATGTTTCTATTGTTCAAAGATAGGCTGGACATGCGCATGGTGGGCGTGTCGCGAGCGGAGTTGGCTGGTGCCGGAGGTCAGACTAGATGGCCCAGGAGACCCCTTCTGACTCGCTGTTTCTTTGTTTCTGTCCTGCCTTTTCCTCCACGGAGCCCAGTGATGTTCAACTTTTTCTTCCCATCTGTTTAACCTCACAACAACAACCCTGTGAGGTAGGTGAGGCTAAGACTCAGTAACTTCCCCAACATGAGCATCATCTTGCAAGGCCTCATCTAAGAGAGACTAGAGACGTTCAGAAAGAACCTGGGCAGCCCCTCCGAGTGGGATTGGTGTGACTTGGTGTCCTGCAACAGCAGGGGGTGGACTCGATGGCCTCCGTGGCCCCTTCCGACTCAACCATTCTATGATTCTAAGACTCGAATCACTGCACAGTTCAGGTGCTCCCAATGGCAATGGGCTACCTTCAGGTCAGAGACCATATGCCTGTGTACAAGCATGTGGGGATGGACTGTCCTGCTTGGGATCTTCCCACTGGGATATTGGTCCTCCACTGTAGGAATGGAGCCCTGACTTAGGAGGACTCCTGGTATGATGCAGTTCTTTTCTCATCTTCTTAGGTCCTCAAGTTCCTTCACTGAAACGCATCCCTTGAGGAATGGCTCTCTTCCTCCACCCCAATTCCCACCCCATGGGGCACGATGTGAGCCCCACATTCCCCACTCCTGCTTTCAAAACAGAAAAATGGGTTCATTTCGATCTGGGGCTGGAAGGAGAACGACTTCAGCACCCATCTGGGCAGAGCTTTCAAAAAATGGGCCGTCCCCAGAGGGAAGTCCTCTTCCTCGGGAACAGCAGCCCAAAAAACATGGGCTTACAGCCATGGTCACATTGTACAGTCATGGTAGACCAGGCTGAAAGTCAGTGACTATGTTGGAGTCACCCAGTGAGTTCCATGGCCAAATAAAGACTAGAGCCCACATCTCCTGAGTCCCATTGCAATACTCTAACCACTTCACCACACTGCCTGTGGGCACAGAACTGTGTTCATTACCTGAATTTGCTGTCAGAGGCACTGATTTCCTGGTTTCTCTTTTGTACTTCTCATTTATGATTCCAAACTACTTTTAGATCCTTCCTGGGTCAGAATGGGGGATTATCCCATTCAACGCAATGGGTTAGCGACTGCTCAAAATCATGCTTGGAGCCGGAGTGGCAAAGGTTGTTTGCTCATTTGGAGAGACTCGTGTTCAAGTCTCTCCTCAACCCCAAACAGAACCCGCGTGGCGAAGTGCTTGGGGTCCTGCAACAGGACGCGGGTTCAAATCTCCATGTGGCCACGAAGTACAACAGACGATCTTGGGATCGTCTCTCCGCATGACCAAGAGGCTGATGGAAGGACAGACCGGAGGACGGGCTGGACACATGAGCAAGCAGACCGATGCTGAAACGCACGGCTGGAATTTCTCTGGCTACAAGACGTGATGGGAGCAGATGGCGAGTTCTCCGGACATCCTCACGCATCACCTGAGCAGTACTTACAGGTTCCAGGTGTTGAATGTGGCAGATGTCCCCAATACATCCAGCGTCCAGCAGTTCCTAATGAAAAATTGGGGCAAGCCATCAACACCACTCCTCTCACTCTTTGTACCTCCAAGTAGCCATCAAAGTTACAGTAAAACCTTGGACTGCGAGCAGAATTCGTTCCGGAAACATGCTTGTAATCCAAAGCACTTGTATATCAAAGCGAATTTCCCCATAAGGTCCAGTGTAAAAAAGGGTTAATCTGTTCTGTAACTTTTTTTTTTTTTTAATCACCAAAATTTGAAGTGGGCGCGCTCGGGGAGTGGGGAAGGCAGGCGCAATCACGGGCATGCTGCGGGGGGAGACGATGCTGTGCTCACCCCCGCAGCGAGGGAGAAAAGAACCAGCTCTCAGTTTTGCCTGCCGAGCGTCACGTCACAGCGCACATAAAATTCATACGGCAAGACATTGCTCGTGTATCAAGTTAAAATTTAGAAAAGCTTTTTGCTCATCTTGCAAAACACTCGCAGACCAAGCTACTCGCAATCCAAGGTTTTACTGTATCTGCTTTATTGAGCTCTGGATTCCTAAGCTGTCCTTCAAGTTAACTTATAAACAAGCACTGGAAACAATGACAAATAATCTTTAAGTGCTGAATAAATAAGCAAATAAACTCTAAGTGCTTTTCGATGTCATTGCTTACTTGTATTATTGTGACTTTCTATCATTGCATGTTACAGAAATTTTCAGTTCTATGCACTGCTGTAAGTCTCTCTAGGGGAAGCAGATACACTTAAATGATTATATGGATGCAATTGATTTGTCAGTATAAAATTATATCGATCCACTATTACCTGCAATGAATAGCAAAGGAGAATCCCTCTGGGGGCGGGGGGGGGGGGGGGGCAAGTTTGGTCCAGTCATGGGTTACAGCAGCCACGGTTGTGTGCAGAACGGAATCTAAGTTTTTTTTGTAGTCCTATAAACCTTGGGCTTCCCCTGAAGATGCCAACATTTGCTCAAGTTTCTCCAGGCCCTTGTCTGGCTCTAATTCTTGGCCCCTGGCTAGGTGGGTTTGCTATTAGAAGAAGCAGTACTTTTTTTGTCATAAAACACACTGGAACAGAGTTTTGGCACCTTTCTTCAACAGATTTTCCAAGTTTTAAAAGTAACTTTTGAAAATGTGATGTTTGGTCCATGTGGATTTGAATCGACCTGTCGAGTGTAGCAGGTCGGTGGCAAAATCATTAAAATGGTGCGTGCGGGCTGCTTGTGCGTCGAGCCCGATGCGTGCGCACTTCGTCCACGCTGGTTGCGATGGCGCTGCTCGGCTTGCGAGTGGTCGTGTGGTCGCGCGCTGAGTGCTTACTGTGGGCGGTGACCGTTATGTTTCGTTACACAACTGACGTGTGTGGGTGTGCGTACAGTGATTGACTATGTGCAAAAGGTAAATAATTTCATGAGTTCCGGCACCTTTTTTCTTACGGAAAAAGCACTAAGTATTATTTTTCTGAGTGCCATCCCTGCTAGCTTGGCTCACATACCTTGACCTTCAAAACAACCGGGTGGTAACGCAGGACGTGGCATACCAAGAGCTTCACATTACTGGATTTGCAAGTTAGAACGATTTCTTTACAGTCCTCCAGTGTGACCTAATGGAGCAAAAGAAAAAGAGACAACAAACTTGGACCTGGTGAACACTCATTACCTTGTTTATTTTAATTAGAGCAGAGCAAAAATCGTCCAGATGCCAAGATCCTGTGGAAAACTGAGGGGTTTTCTTTTCCTTACCTTACAAAACGAAAACACAAGAAGAATTGTCTCCAAATATTCCACACCATTTCCATGTGTGGCAGCTGCCCTTCCCCTCTCACAACAGACCCAAAACCACCCACAACACAATGCATAAGAGCCAGGTGGGTTAAGTAGCTGCACAAGGTGTCTTCTCCCATCTCTGTAAATCCATTTTCCCCTTCTATTTATCCCTGCCCTTCCTCCAAGAAACTCATACTGGGATGTCAGTTCCCCAATGCCACCGTATCCTCACAGAAAATTCCCCCCAAATCAGGCCAGTGCTCCTCAAGACATCCTACATAAAATTTGAGTGCGCTCAGAAATGCACTTCATCCTTGCAACCAGGTGTGCGGCTCAGCAATGCAGTGCTGGGGGAGAGAAAGACCTGGGCACACGTTCCCAGGGCCTCTTGGCTGGACTTTGGAGGAGGAAACAGCACCAGAGGGGCCTGGGAATGTCGGCCAGTTCCAGATGCTGAGAGGAGAGAAGCGGAGATGCTTCTCTCAAGGCCAGGCTTCTCAGGCTCTCCAGGTGGGCAGTCAAGTCCCTGGGAATAACCAAGATGTACAATCGGTGGGATGGGACTTGGAGCAGGGGAGTTTCCTTGACCACACGATGCAATGTTGGCAGAGGAGGGCAACCAGGTAAAGGACTGGCTTGCAGAGAGGAGGCAAACTTCTTCTCAGAAGGTCCCCCAAAGGGATGGGGCCCAGGCAAGCTCCTAAGGAGGGTTCCTGGAGGTAAACACTAGATTGGGTTTGCCAATCCACTCACTGCATGCTCAGAGATTCCCCCCGGGTGGTTTGCACCCAGAAAACACTTTTGTCAATACAGAACATTTTGCAAAAGAGATCTGTGGCTTTGCATGTGTGAGAGGAGGAGCCCTGGCTCATGGCATACAGCCTCCGTGGCCCAGGCATCTTCCTCCCTCCACGGCCAGAGCTACAATCCACCCACACTCACCGCCATGGGCTTCTCCAGCAAGATGTGATATCCTTTGCGGGCAAAAGCCACTGCCGGTGCCTGATGGGAAATGAACCACAAGTCAGCGTGGCACAGCTGGCATTTTAATTCACCCTCCATGTAGAGAGAAATGAGATCTTTTGTCACAAGCACACACACACCATTTCAGAGTGAAATTTTTGGCTGCATAACCCCATCAAAGCCAGCAGAAACCAATCCGCCAAGTTTAGTAATAGTCACAGTTACACCTGGCAAATTGATTAGTTCATGCATCCCCAACAGACCCATATCCTCTCCCTTCTCAGGGAGCCTTTACACCAGTGCTAATTGGTTGGACTTTGGGTCACTCAAGGCACCATCCTCCACCTGTTCTTCAAACCGGTTTTAGAGAGTTTGTAACTAAGCTTTGGGGGAAAGGCATTGAACCAATGTTTGTGTAAATAAACCTGCAGGGTACTTTGGGGATACCCAAAGCAGGCAGCCCCACAAAGTTTTGGGGGAGCAGTGCGAGATAGAAGCACATGTGCTTGCACACATGTGTGGACATGTGTGTAATTAAAGGAGTGAAGGTGGAAGATGTCTGTGTAAGGAAGGGGGCAAAACTCTCTCCAGAGCAGAAAAACCCACAGAAAAACTCTTGCAAAGTAATCACCGTGCTCAGTTTTCCATTCACACCCAGGACAAAGTTTGTCAACACAAAGCATAAAGCAGCGCTCCAGGGACTAAATACATTCCAGTTAATCCCGAGTGGGAGACACGGACCGTACCTTATGGAGGATGTCGGGGGTGGCTATGATCACAGCATCTGCAAAACGCTCCCTCTCGGCCGCAGCGCTCCAGTCTTAAAGGAATAAGAGTTCACAGTCAAGGAGCACGCAGTGACAATGGAGGGTGTCGGTACAAAAAGGCTGCATGCCTAAAGTTATCACTTTGCATTGTTGTGTTAGAAACACAGAAACAGAGCGAGTCGGAAGGGGCTCCCCAGGCCATCTAGTCTGACCCCCGGCTCCGCTCACGACATGCCCACCAAGACTGATATCCTGTCTTTTTTCTTACAAGGAACTCCAAAGAGGTAAGGGTGAATGGGGAGGGGGAAAAGAATGGCAAGTGCGGCTGTGCAGTGCAGGGGATGGGCAAGATAAGGTACCATCAAAGACGTTGTTCTTGTCAATCCGGTGAGCCTCTTGGAGTTCTCTTCTGGCAAATGTGCAAGGATCTGCCACGCCCACCACCTAGCAAGGAGAGAGAGCAGATCATGTCCCCAACTGCACTGACACTTCCTGTACCGGCTCTGGCCAAAATGCTTCCTAAATCTCGTACCCTGGTTTCAGCCAAGCCCAGGCTGTGTGCTTTGGGGTGAAGTGGCCTGAAGGTCATGAAGGATGTACAGATCTTGATCTGGATGGGACTGGTTTAGGGGTCTATGCAAGATGCTGAACAAAGCTCACCACCTTAAATGTGTTCCCCTAAGAACATGGGGTGTCTCTGCTGGAACGGTGGTCCCAGCTCACTTTGGGCCCAGGGCGTTGACTGAGCGAACCTGGAGATGGCTCAGGAACCACCTGCTCCTGGGGAGTTGGGGAGAAAAGCCCAGGACTGGAGAGAAGGACGTCTGCAGGAAAACCAGGACCTTCTCAGCAGACCCTCGACATTTGTCCCCAGCCACAGGAGGGCGTGCAGCCAGGACTGAAAGACGAGTTCCCACCACGCCTGAACGATGACAGCAGCTCACGAGGAAGGCCCAGGCGCTCCATCTGAGCCCTCCCCCAGAACGACAACATTGCAAGCAACCTCCGAATGCCACAGGCATGGGATCAGGGACTGGCACTCTCGCTGCCATGAAGGACCAGCTTTGAGGACCAGCTGGTGGTGCACTGCAGCACGTCAGGGTCCGTCTGAGCGCCCCACTCCTCCTCTCTCGAATGGCCAGCTCCCGTTCGCAGCCCTGCTCCTGCCTCCTCCTCGCTCTCAGAGCACCGATTTATGATCTCAGCTGCCCAACCGGCCAAGCTGTCCGCCTCATTTTCCCTTTGGATTTATGGCCGATTACTCCTCACAAGGATGCAGCATGACCCTTGCTGGAAACACAGCGAGCGGCAGAGAAAGTAAAGGAACAGCATCTCCCCGCACCAAACACAATTTTTCCCACAATGCCTTGCCTTCCTGTACATCCCGACACTGCTATTCCACTGTGTTGCTCTTTCTACCCTGAACAGAGTTTCTGCATCAATTTAAAAAAGATACCGAAGCATCACAGGGACCCCTCCCTCCCTCCCTCCCCCCCTTTCAGTGTTGGTAAATGAACAAAGCATAACATTTCCCCCACAAAGGGCTCTCCTGCAGCTCACAGCCCTCATTAGCAACAAGAATGCCCTTAATCCCATGATGCAAACGGCCAAGAACGGACTTTGTCTTCTGCAGGATTCCAGAAATGAGCAAGGGAAATCGGGTCTGCGGCCACAGGAAGTCAGCCTCTTCAGACACTTTCCATGCACTGCACCTGAATTCTCAAGGTTTTGTCCAAGAAGAAAACCAAGTCTCTAAGCTGACCTCCTCCTCTCTCGTTCTTCCCAAAGCCCTTGGGAAGCTACAAGACAGGAAGACACAGGCCAGTCTGCTGCTCTGTATTACTCCTAAGAATTAAACCCACTGTTTCCATTGCTGTGGACAATGAGCGACAAAGCATCAGGATAACAGGTAAGCACAGGGCAGATACCTTTTAACGTAATTAATATGCCATTTCAGTTACAAAGCAACTTCATACAGTTAAAGGGAGAAGCTTGTGGTTATGGCTGTGCTTTGTAGCGGTAAGTTATTCAGTGTACTCACCTTCCAAAACTCCCCTAAACCTCCTCCCTACAAGAAAAATTCTGCCAATAGATGAATGGGGGAGCCACTGAAAAGGTTTCCAATATCTCTCCTCCACATGGAGTTTAATTCGCCAGGTGCATCATTTCAATGGCATTGTTATTTGAAACTCTAAACCCTTGACAGAAGTGCATGCACACACACAAACACACACCCTGAAACACAATTGCATACGTCAAGAAGAATTTTTACCTTCATGCGAGTAGGATAACTCAGTGCATAGGAGGAATAATTCTTCCCTCTGTTTCCTGCTCCAACAACCAGAACGGTGATTTGGCGTGACATTACTCAAAATATGGCTTTTTGCTCAAGTCTAAAAAATTAAAGAACAGTTTAGAAAAAGGAAGGGCCTTTCTTTGCTCAACCAAGCCGGCCTGTTTGGGCTAATTTTCCTGCCTCTTCATGGTTCCGGGGTTTAAGGCTAATCTCAAAAGGTGGGCAAAAGGATCACATGGCCTGCAGCAGAGGGGGCCTCCCGCTGGCCAACTGCAAAGGTGAGAAGCTACAAATTCAGAAGGGGTTTCCCACGGGGTTGGAAGCCCTGACCCCACTGCTCACTAGGTTGTTCAGACCAAGTGCACAGGGCAAACCCTCCAGCAGAGGTCCAGTCCCAAACTAAACGCTTGCAAAACCATGCATTTTGGAGCCCTGGAGACCGGCTTACTCTCCTCCCCTAGAAGCACGTGTTACCCCAGTTAATCTCCACCCCCCCGCCACACACCCATTTTTAATGGCTTTCTATGGGGAAAGATTTTCTATGGGGAGAGATTTTAAAACCCGTAACCTGCAGCGCAATTACAAAGCGAACGAGGCGCTGATCTAGCCACCGTCTCCCACGCCGCTTCCGCTTGAACCTGCCCAAGCTCAGCCCCGGGCTGGAGTGTCCTCGCTGGCAGGGGCAGTCCTTTAGCGGACGGGCTCTCATGCCAGGAGGGCTCCTGCCAAGGGAAGGGAAGGGAAGGGCTCGGCTCGGCCCAGCGCCCCGCCCCGGGGAAGAGCGACCCGACGCCGCCGGGACCGGTGCAACCGCGGCAGCGCGACGCGCGCGGTCACAGTCGTGCCCCCGGCCGCTGCCCTTCCCGGACAACCCGCCCGGCGCCGCACATTCGCGCCGCGCTTCCCCGGGCGAGGCAGCGCCCCCGGGAAGCTCACCCTGGGCTGCGGCGGCCCTGCAGCGGAAGCGCCTTCGTCTCCAAGCCCCGAGCCAATCCATGGGCGAAAAAACTGCGATTCAGAGCGGAGGGGACGGGTCGCTCCTCCCCGACTGGCTCCACGGCTGGCGCACTAGCTGGTGGAGGGCGGCGATTTGCGGTTTGCTTGCCTAAAGGAAACCGGGCTCCGGGCTGCAGGTGCGTCCGGCGTGAGCGCAGGTGGCGATGCTTCTCGCGCCGGACCCACCGGATGCACAAGCCCTGCGCTGCGCTTAAGGCAATTAACTGGGACTTACTTCCGAGCAGGCGCGCCTGCTTGCAAAGCTCCCCGCCTTAAGCCTCGCAACCACCAGCCGGAGAGGAGAGGCCGTGACGGGCCCGGTGAGCTTCACGCTGAGCGGGGGACCAGGACTCCCCTGGTCGCAGTCCGGAAATTCCCAGGAGCAGTAAAGCACCACCTTCCCGACCAGAGATCTCTCAGCTGCTGATGCGCAAAGGGGAAAGGATTTGCTCAGAAGTAAATTCTTCTAAGTTCAAGGCAGACTACTCCTGAGGAATTGCGCAGGCTTGCGGGCTATCAACGTATCTTCGAGGCTATGTCTTATTTATGTTATCGCCTCTCGGAAACATTGTAAAGGGCAGGATACAAAAAACTTAAATACACTACAAATAAATAAAATATATTTAGATAAAATATAAATACAAATACAATACATGCCTGCGATGTCCCTTCCAATGTTGAGCTTGCAATCCCTTCTGGATTTAGCCCTCAAAGACCAAGGAAAAGTCCAACCGCACGGAGGATAACTCTGAGCCCACCACAACGAGGTCCTTGCATTCCTCAGTCCAGAAAGCAAGCAAAGGGTTAATTGGGCTGCCTTCTGCAACCCTGACTTGTTAGGATTTCTAATTATGCGCATGTGCAGGCTGCCGTATTCAAATCCGTGCTCCTGTTTATCCAAGGGGCGTGAGCCCTGAAGCTTTTTGGGGGTGTGATGGGTTTAAAGCGATCGATGCCATTTACGGAGGAGGAGACCAGCCGCCGCTACCCATCTGGAGGGCTTTACGCTGCCTCCAGGATCAGAGACAGTGTTCCTGCGCTCACCAGCTGCTGGGGAACATGGACAGGGGGTGCAGCGGCAGGGATGCCTTCCCTGCAGGGCAGCTGCCTGGCCGCTGTGTGGATGCGCTTCTGGTACGATCCACCATGGCTCTTCCCAGTTCACTATCACCTGACTGGTGGGTGACTGGCAGCGACCACCAGGGCTTTGGACAGGGGTCTTTAAGACCCCCAGCCCTCCATGGGGAAGTCTCGGATTGCAACTGGACCATCTGCAAGCACAGAACGTGCCCATACCTCCAAACAGGTTTAATATTTTTTAAAAAAACCGGAGAGCAACTCCATCTTCAGCAGAAGCCTACGGACAAAGGAAGAGCTTTGCTTTCGCGACTTCATGCATTTGCCTTTAAAGTTTAGAAACTGAAGATGGGACTTTGAATGGGAGGGGCCCCTAGTCCTAATTCCAGCTGTCGCTGCGCCTACAGGCAATGTGGAGTTCCAGGTACCTCCATTCATGGTACCCAAGAGTGACTTTCTCACTTCCCCTTCTATAAGGCAGCGATTACGAAGAATGCACACCTGAGAAGCCAAGGCCCACTTGGACTAACCTGCTCTAAGAATGCTAAACAGTATTACTGGCCAGAGCTGCATCAAAATAAAATATTTTTCTTTTCTTTTATAACTTCTTTTATATCTTTTATATCTTTTATTTATTTTATATTGTTAGTTTTAATTTGATATTGTTATTTTTGTATTTTACTGTATTTTATTGTGTTGTAAGCCGCCCCGAGGCTTCGGCAAGGGGCGGCATAGAAATGTTCTAATAAATAAAAAAAATAAAAAAAATGATGCAGCATGAAGTTTCTGGCGAGGGTGTTTAAGGACAGGCTGGACGTGCACAGGAGCGGAGCCAGGGTCAGCCTCGATGGCCCAGAAGGCCCCTTCTGACTCGCTCTGTGTCCATCTTTCCAGCCAGCCAAAGTTTTCCCTTTTCCCCCGCACATTGTCCATTTTCCCATTTCAGCACACAACTGCCCCTGCCTACGTGGGGCTGAGCACAAGGGCTGGCAGCTTCGGATTTGCACAAGCCCTGGGGCGCCCTGAGCAGGCCTTCCATTGGGGCCGATCAATCTATCCAGGCCGGTAGTGCCAGCACAGACTGGCAGAAGTTCTCCAGAACTGCAGGTAGTGTTCTCTTTATTGTTCATTTCTGTCCAGTCTTTTTCCTCCCACAAGGAAAAACCCAAGATGGCCTACATGCCTGCCTTCCTTTTCATTTTTATCACAACAGCCCTACAAGGTAGGCCACACTGAAAGTCAGTGACTACGTGGAAGTCACCGGGTGAGTTCCATGGCCAAATAAAGACTAGAGCCCACATCTCCTGAGTCCCAGTGCAATACTCTAACCACTTCACCACACTGCCTGTGGGCACAGAACTGTGTTCATTCCCTGAATTTGCTGTCAGAGGCACCGATTTCCTGGTTTCTCTTTTGTACTTCTCATTTATGATTCCAAACTACTTTTAGATCCTTCCTGGGTCAGAATGGGGGATTATCCCATTCAACGCAATGGGTTAGCGACTGCTCAAAATCATGCTTGGAGCCAGAGTGGCAAAGGTTGTTTGATTATTTGGAGAGACTCGTGTTCAAGTCTCCCCTCAACGCCAAACAGAACCCGCGTGGCGAAGTGCTTGGGGTCCTGCCACAGGACCCGTGTTCAAATCTCCATTTGGCCACGAAGTACAACAGACGATCTTGGGATCGTCTCTCCGCATGACCAAGAGGCTGATGGAAGGACAGACTGGAGGACGGGCTGGACACATGAGCAAGCAGACCGATGCCGAAACGCACGGCTGGAATTTCTCCGAGAAGCCTTGGTCCGCTTCCTTGAAAGACTCCAAGACAGCCAGGTGTGGTGTTTTAATGTTTTATTAGACGCATGTTTCCACGGTTCTCCTTGCGTTGCCTTCCCACTGTGCCGGGCTGTCCTCATAGACCTCGACATGAAACAGCCCCCCGGCCGCTGGGCCCGCTCCGAAGTCACGCACTCAGCATCAGGGGCTGCTGCTCTTCCGCCAGCTCCTCGCCCGGTGAGATCTCGTAAACGACGCAGAGCGACGAATACAGGCAGCCGGCGAACGACACCACGCTGGAGAAGTACATCACCCCGTTGGCACTGCCCACCAGCGCTGTCAGGGGCCCCATGACCATCGAGACGAGGATCTGGGCCAGGAAATACTGGCAGCTGAGCAGGGAGATGTCCACTCCCATCCCTCGCTTCGTGCAGTCCTCGTTCAGACCGGTAAACTGTTCGGAGAGGAGGAGAATGTGTTGGCTTTGCTCCTTTGGTTTGTGACGTGAACCAAAAGCCTCTTCTGGGGGTGGGGGGGGGGGGGGAGGATGAGGAACCAAACAAGCCCAGGGGTAATAATTCTAACAGAAGAACATGGGCCAAACATCTGGTGAAGGCCAGCAGTTTGTAGATGGCCTTGAAGGCAAATTCTTGGGGAGGAAAGTCATTCACCACTAGAACAACATCTAGACTCCAGTTCCCAACATCCTTGCCAACTTACTGGCTGTCTTGGCTGGTGGTGATGGATACTGGACTCCACCAGCGTCAGAAGAGCCAAGATTCCCCCCCCCCCCACCCCGTGCCTTAAAACATAGAACCAGTGAGCCTATTTATTATAACCTTGGGGTCTTCTGTATTTAAACTTCGATTTATTTATTTATTAGATTTATATCACACACCTTTCTCCTTTTTTTTACAGAACCCAAGGCAGCTTATACCATTTGCTCAAGGTTAGTAGAAAACAACAGAAGTGTTTTAGATTAGATTTCAGTGCATGTTTTAAATCAAAATGTATCCATGCTTATTCCATAAGCTAAAACAGATGTTTCCTGGTGGGCGTTTGACTCACCCTCTTGAGCTGGTGCATAATGCAGAATTTCTGAATGGGGAGTCTGCTCACTTGGATAAAACATAGGCAGGCAAAGTGATAAAGATAAGGGAAGAATGCCCTACTCCCTTCTTCTTCAGTGGAAACCTAGGAACACTCGCTGTGGCTGCCAAGGAGGCACAATTCTGGATGCCAACTTTGGAGAGCATCGCCTGGGAAACAGCAGTTGCAGTGGTTCCTTTTACCTGGCTGTGGGGTCTCCAACCCGGTGCTCACAGCTCAAATGGGCAGCTCTCTCAATGGCCTGCTTCCCTGCCCAGGCTCTCGGCTCTCCTAATTTTAGGTTTTTTCCCCAGATATTATTTCTAAATGGCCTCCAACACCAATTTTGTTTCCAGGAATGCCTCCAAGTCCAACATGACACTTACAGCCAAATTCATTCTCTCCATGATTCATCAGCATGTGTGGAAAACCAAAGCTTCGAAAGACTGGCTGTGTTTTGGAGGTCAGATGCTCACCCCTGCCCTGTTCTTGTCTAAGTTGCTTTTCTTTAGCCTCACCTGTTTGCCTTCTAGAAAATAGAAGCTTGTGAGTAACCGCATCTACCATGGAAGTCTCCTTTATTTATTTATTTTATTTATTTTTCGATTTATATCCTGCCTTTTTCCTACAAAGGGCTCAAGGCAGCTTACATCTCCTCCTCCATCTTATCCTCACAACAACAACCCTGTGAGGTTGGTTGGGCTGAGAGTCTGTGACTGGCCCAAAGTCACCCAGTTGGCCCCATGGCTGAGCGGGGACTAGAACCCAGATCGCCTGAGTCCCAGTCCCATGCTCTTCACCACTACACCACACTGGGGCAGCCATTTTGTGAGAGTGCCAGCATATTCTTCCACAGTTCCAAGCATGCCCACCAAAAAGGCCAGAGACCCCTGGATTTCCATGGGCATCAAGACTGCCCGCTGTGGGAAGAAGGATGCCAAACTCAATGGGCCTTTTGTCTGATCCATCTTCAGGTTCTCCTCACAGTCTTACGATTGCTGGATCAGGGCCATTTCTTCCCACCTTCCCTTCCACCACATGCTCTGGCCTTCGGACAGCCATCATGCCCATTTCAGAAATTCACTCCTCTCCATGCTGCTCAGAAGCAAACCCCACCGAATTCAGTGGGGCTTATTTCTCAGTAAAAATGCACACAACCGAAACCTTACGTCGCCATTTTGCAGTCACCTCTTCAGCAGTGACTGGCCAGACTCAGCTGAGAAACTCGTCCAAAGCAAACCAGCTAGAATTTGCTCCCTATAGTCAGATGCCAACAGGAATGCAAAGGCTCTGAAAGGCAGCGTGGTGCAGTGGTTAGCAAGCCCATCAGACTTGGAGACACTCAATCCCTCATCAGCGATTCTTCAGCTCTCCCTGGATCTAGTACTCACCACCTCTCAACCGATCCTACCACACACGGTTTCTGTGAGGATAAAATCACATCTGCCAGCCTGAACAACTTAGAGAAAAGGTGGGGCATTCATTAATAGCCGAATAAGGTCCATATTTCCCTCATTTGTCTATTTTTGAAGGGTTCCTTTTTAAGAATTAAACAGAGTCGCTTCTAGGGGAGCTTTTGGGCCATGTTGGAGAGTCTCTGTTTTTATACCCCACGCCTTAAAACCTGTTTCCCATCAGGAAGGGGAAGACACACCATGGCTGTTAATGTGTCAAGAATGACTGACTTGGCACTTTGAAAGAACCTTAGAGGTTTTACGTAATATTTAGCAGTGCAGAAGGAATACAATTATCATGCAAAATAAATGATCGGCTAGGCTGCCAACCGGAAGCTTACCTTTTTACTCTGGTAATAGTCGCACAACAGGGAATATGGAAGTGTGCAGAGTGTGGAAAATAAAATACCATATGTTACACACAGGGATAAAATCACATAGATGTTTTTGGACAGTGTAGCTAGTCCGGTGCCAAGTCCAAAGGCAAGATACGCTATAAAATACAGAGTGCGGATGCTGAAGCATTCCTCCAGTTTTTCTAGAGAGGCTGTAAAACAGAGCAAACGAGGATGAGCTGTTGAAGAGGGCAGGTTAGTCCAAGATATTTTGCTTCCCAAAGCCGCTGGGTGGTGGGGCCATTTTAAAAACATAGAATGGTAGAGTTGGAAGGGGCCATGAAGGCCATCTGGTCCACCCCCCTGCTGTTGCAAGTCATGGATTGACACCATGAAACTCAGCCCAGTCCAATTTTTTTGATGCCTCCAGTGTGGGACAGCTCTAAAGTCATAGAGTCAAAGAAGAGTAGAGTTGGAAGGGGCCACAAAGGCCATCTAGTCCACTCCCCTGCTGTTGCAGGACTCCAAGTCACACCATCCCACTCAGGTGGCTGCCCAGTTTCTTCTTGGATGTCTCTAGAGTGGGAGAGCCCACCACCTCTCCAGGAAGCTGGTTCCACTGGCATATTGCTCCAACAGTGAGGAAACTTCTCCTGGTATCTAGTCTGGACCTGAGTTGTTGCAACTTGACCTGATTATTCTATGTCCTACACTCTGGGATCAACAAAAAGAGATCTTGACCTTCCTTTTTGTGACAGTCTTTGAGGTGCTTACAGAGGGATATCATATCTCCCCTCAGTCTTCTCTTCTAAGAATTAACGGGCCCAGTTCTCTCAGTCTCTTCTCCGTGTTTCCAAACCCTGGATCATTTTTGCTGCCCTCCTCTGGACCTTTCCAAATTTTTCTGCATTGGTTTTCATTCCTCGTGCCCAGAACTGGACACAGTAATCCAGATGGGGTCTGACTAGCGAAGAGTATCGGGGAACTATTTAGACCTCGGATTAGTAGTCTTGTGGCTCAGGGCAGGCCTGAAGGAGAAACACGTGGTGTTGCTACCCCTCCGTGGCACCCCCACAAGCCTCCCACCCCTTCCACTCATCTCAGGACCCCCTTTCCTTGGCCACAGCTTCAGCTCTGTGGAGAGCCGTGTGAGCAGAAGCTGGAGCCCCGTGGGTGAAAGAGGAGAGCAGGAGCTGGGGCTTCCAACTGCACCAACCAAGGTTGTCACAGTGGGTCCTTCTGCGGCAACAAAGCAGCCCCTCAGTTAGCCATGCGGCGTTCGAATGTGATTTGTATTTAGCAACATCGCTGCTCACCACGAGTGAGCCGAGATCCCATGCAGGTGAGTAGGGAGGCTGGCAGGGAAAGGAAAGCTGCTTCTCCTAAGACTCACACAGAGTCACAATGGGAGCACGCCCTACCCCAAGTTCCTGCCTGCTGACGGGGGGCTTCCTCTGGCCTCCACTCAGGTAGCCCATCGCCTGCCTCCCCACCCGATTGCCACCATCCAGGGCCTTTTCATACCTGAGTAGAGCGCAGCACTGAACGCGTAGATACACATCCCCCAGCAGCCCATGGTCACGCCAGCGTTGTACTTGTGATACTCCGCAGAGTCGTGCGGGGCTTTGGGGTCGCCCTGAAACACCACTTCCCCCATGAAGTCTGTGTAGAAGAGGAGCATTCCTTCAAAAGAGAGCCACCCTGGGAAACAAGAGAGCGCAAGCCTGGTCAAAAGCACGGAACGGTTCTGGGCGGAGAAAATCACAGCCGGTTCCACGATGCGGCATCTGCTGGTTGTGGACATCAAGAGGCCTTGCCAGTGATCCTTCACGGCACCATCGGGCGGCGGTTCTCCCTGCACAGTCCAGAAATCCACAATCTCAAGAAAAGCAAACAGCTGCTGTGCAGGAAACCAAAGCTGCGAGGAGCCTTCCTCATTCCAACAAAACAAAGCAAAACCGCCTCTCCCTGTCCTAGATTGCTCTACGAAGATTAAACCTGGTACTTTTTCTCCTATGTGGTGGACTTGTGTTAAGGCAAAAAAATACTGGGCTAAATACATAAATGGCTTGAGGAAATGCTACAAAAACCTTTAATATTGAAACCTGCAGTATTTCTATTAGGTATCATTCCTGATGATTTTGATAAACAAGTATATATTTAATCTTACAGGTCATTACTGGGGTGAGGAGTGTATTTGCTCAAGTATTGGAAGAATGAAGAGCCACCGACTGAAGGGCTGATTCTCAAAAAGATTCTGGACTGTGCGGAAATGGATAGACTGACTCTGTCTTTGAAGGAGAAGGAAGATACTTCTATCAAACTTGGAATTCCTTTTATCATTGGTTAGAGAAATGGGACTATATGTAGAACTGAATATGGTTATTAATTGTAATAAGAATAAGATGTCAACCCAGTATGTCCGATGTCTCGGGAATAATTGCTGTTTTAGTTTAAACTTGTAGAGAAAAAAAATAAAAATTTGGTAACCGAGAAGATTAGGGGCTGAACTGGGCACACCAAATGTCTCCAAGAAAGACAACTATTTCTTTTGGCAAGGCTCACCTTTGCCTTTCCTTTCTTCTGCCACTGCCAAAGCAAAGTGGGAAACGTCACAATTAAATGGTGAAAATATCTGGGAAATATACTACGATGTGGCCCTCTTGCAGAGAGAACAAAGAACATGCAGAAATACACTCGCAAGAAATGCCTTCTGAGAAATTGCAGGACAGCTCCCTTTCCAAGGTAAAGCAAACCACTCACTCTAGCAAGAAGAATGCCAGCTAGTTTGCTCAGTTCTCCACTTAGCAGCAGATGGAAAAATGGCAGAAACTGGACCTTAAAAGCAACAGCCTGGAGTCACTCCAAAGTTCCCCAGTCCCACACAACCCCAAAGGTGGTCCATGCAGCAGGACACAAGTTTACCTAGGAAATGGTTGATGCAAAGGTTGCGCAGGGCTTTGGGCATGTGGCAGATGGTTGAGCAGAGCATCTTCATTGAAAGGGGCTGCTCAGAGAGTTCGCTCGACCCATTCAGTTCACTCTCATACTTCACCCCGTTCAGCAAAATATTTGCCACCTGCATCACAGCGATGATTCTCAAGTCAGCAGAGGAGGAGGACAAAAAACCGACAGACACCACCAAATTGTATGTTGCAATTGAGTCTCCCTACAAGTCCCAAGGTGGCCTGCCAAGACCCATTGTCTTCCAACACCTCTGCAATGATCTCCAGGGCAGCTTATATGAAGAGATACATTCCAGTGATGCGAGGATGGCTATCATTTCCTTCAGCACATGGCATAGCACAGGGCTCACGCAGTATCTTTATCCTCTCTTCTCTTTTCGGATTTTATTTGTGGAGATTTCACCCACATAAAATGCACTTGCATGCCCAACTATTAACACTTTTCGGAGCTATTGTCCCTTTAATCAGAAGCTTCCTTCTTGCTGCATCTGTCTGTAATGGCTTCCTGTGTTTCTTTGCCCAAGGTAACTCATAAATTGGCCCTTGACCTTATTAATAGACAGGTCCTGTTTCCCATGGAGAGAAGTTCCATGTCTAATATATAGCTTGTTGTCATTAAATGCATTAATTGCTTAAGAAACATGCAATTAAAGCTCCATCTCTGGGAAGAAAACTCAACTCATTAAAGGTCAATTAAGAGGTGAATAATTCACCAGTAATTTGCCAGGGCTAAGCTGAACAGGAAAAAATTATGAGCAGAAACTGCAAAAAAAAGCTGCTAATTAAAGTTGCAGGGGAGTGGTCTTTGTTGAACTTGACTTACTAGCATTGCACCCACATTATAGAAGGTTACCTGTCATGGGGACAGAAGTGGCATCCACATCCGGCATTTTAAATGCAGTCCTAAAGGGCACTGGTGCAGATGTGACCCTAGTCCAGCTTTTTGCTGTCCAGAAGAAGCCGGCCCAGAGGCCCCTGGGAACATGCTCAGCAGTGCATGAAGAAGATGGCCTTCTTCTCTTATCTCCTCAGCAACTGGCTGCACCCAAATATAGAGTGTCTCCTAACAGAGAGGGCCCATTTGCAGCCGTTAATAGGCCTCTCTGTCAGTTTGTTGAATCATTTCTGGAGTCCCTCAAGCTGCATAAGCATTGACCTCAGGCTCTGGAGGATATGAGTGGAGACACCCTCTTTCAGGAGACAATACCCACTCCATTTCCTTTCCTTACCTGCTGGCTGAACGTCACATTCCTTCTCCTATTGCTCTCTGGGAGGTTGCCAGTGATAATATCCGGAATGGCCAAAGTCTGCGGCCTTTTCAGGATTCCTGAGGACCGGGGCCTTATTGTGTCCAGGGAGCCCACCCTCAGATCCTCTCCGTCTGGCCTGGGCATCCCTAAGCCAGCATCCCCGGCTTCCATGCTGGCACTGTCTTGGCAGTAGAACCCCTCCGGCGCTCGGGGGAAGCTGACACTTATCGTCTGCCGGGGCAAGCTGGACGGGACGGCCAGGTATCCGTCGTGACCTCCTGTGAAGCAGTCTATGAGCACGCTGTCAATATTTGAGGTGCCGAAGGAGGAGGCGAACTCGCTCAGCCCCGTCAGAGAGCTGTCCCGGCTGATGAAGCTGCCGTACTTGGGCGTGAGGGGGCTGAGGGGGGAAATGGGGCTGGTGAAGCTTGTATATAAATGGGCGGGGTTTTGCGACGGGGGGCCTTCCTCCGGACAGTCTTCGAAGAGAAGGGGCGGCGAGGGAGGGAGGGGCAAGCTGGGGCTCTTCATCACTTTTTTCTTCCGAATGCCAGACGGCAAGGTTCTTTCTGGAATGCTGATCAGAGTCAAGACGGTTGCAATTGTCAGCGTGATGGAGGTGAAGATGTAGATGACGCGAAGCTGGCCCCCCACCGCCTTTCCGAAGCCCGTTCTGTCCCAGTTAATTCCTCCGACGACGTAGCCAAACCCTCCTCCAAGACCTGAAGGACAGAATCGAAACAGAAACGCGCTCACGCTCTTTTAATTTGGCCATCGCCTCACCTGCACTGTGCTTTGTAAAGATTAGAGGTCTGTGCCCCGAGGGGCTTACGGCTGATAATTCAATCCAGGGGAGGGAAATGGAGGTGCCATAAGCAGGGAGAAAGATGTTTTTATTTTGGTTGTGCATGACTGGGCTTAGTTACGGCTGGCTGCTGGCAGGGGTCAGCTGATTCCGGGTGGGCGGGCGAGCTCTTTTTCTTACGGCAGGTTTGAAGGACACCAGGCCAGGTCATGTGCAACGTAATGGCTTGGGAAGGGGTCGGGCCACTTACAGAAAGAAGAACTCTGCACCCAGGTTATTACAGGTTGAGGATTCCTATGCGCTCCTCTAGTCTGGACAGCAAACGCGTACAAAACCTAGCCAAAAAGAAAGGACCGCTGTCTCCCCCGATCTGTACTGCTATCTCCCCCGAGATTTGGCATACCTAACTGATAAAGAGACACGCACATTTGGAAATGGTATCTATCCTTTAATTAGGAGTGCAATGCAGCTCACCGCAGCTGGGAAGGCTGTGACCCGGGAACCCATGTGCCTGCTCAGTCAGCTGTCTGGGGGCTAAGATGGGTCGGGCCACTTCGAGGCCCTGCTGGCCTGTTTCAGGGTTCTCTAACTTCAAACCAGCTTGGACAGGGTAGTCCTTCAGACAGAGGACTGTGCTCCATAAAGTAGGCCACCCTACTATTGGTATTTGTGGGTTGTGCCAAGAGCTTTACCCAGCAGGAGAAACTGATAGACTTGGATTGGTACAGGCTGGTTTATACAACGAAGAACATGCGGCGAAGAAGCTCATCCTTTGCTGCACCATTTCGGCTGAGAGCCAACGTGGTGTCGGGGTCCAGAGCACAGATCTGGGGCTCAGGAGATCCGGGTTCGAGTCCCCGCTCAGCCATGGAACCCACTGGGTGACTTTGGGCCAGCCACAGACTCTCAGCCCAGCCTACCTCACAGGGTTGTTGTTGTGGGGATAAGACTGAGAGCAGCAGGGGAAGAATCACAGAAGCCACTTTGAGTTTTTTTTTTTTTTTTTAGGAAAAACAGACATCCAATAAATAAAGAAAACATGCTCTCTAAAGGCACATGCGTGTTGTTTGGCTAAACTTTTCTCCTGGGTAATTTTTGATAGACAGGAAGATCGGTATCGATATAATGTATATCTATCCATAGGTAAACAAAGAACACACTGGCACACAACCAAAACACCGACAATAAATGCAAAGCAGAGGCAGCCAACAGTTCAAAACGAGGCAGGCGGCCGAAAAGCCCTAACGCAGCTCTCACCTCCGCCATGCGCTGGCCTAAACAGCTTTGCCCAGAGCCTCTCTCTTTCCGAATCCGCTGTCCACCTGTCTGATACCCTGAGCACTATTCCATGGCGCTGATGTGTCTCTGACGCAGGGTGGGCAAATTCAGAAGGCCTGGAGGGGAATACGGTGGCCCCAGAAGCCACTGTGGGCCACCGAGTTCACCCCACCACCACATCACATCCGGGGCTGCGAGCTCAGTATTACCCCCTCGGCTCTACAAGGCGGCGCCTTTCAAAAGCGGGACTCACCTGCCAGCAGAGCGTGGATGTTGAGGCCCCGGTCCTGGTCGGAGGGGCTGCATACGTCCATCATGTAGGCGTGGCTCGGGTTGTCTGCTGAATCGGCACAGAAATCCATGAGGATCACCCCACAGATGGTGAACAGGATCCCCCACTTGTGGTTGCTGGCCGTGTCGGTCAAAGCCATGCCGATGTCCTTCCCGTTGAGCATCAGAGAGAGCCCAGCCAGGGCCCCTGCGGAGGAAGAACCCAAGGAGAAGGAAATCCAATCTGGAACTTCCTTGGGAAGCGTAAAAGCGCCCGGACGGCGACTGGAATGCCCTTTCTCGGGTAGGGATACCCATCTGGAGGGCTTTCGAAGGGGAGCAGGCTAAATTGTGGCCGGCAAGACCACTGGTCCCGATGGCTCCGGGCGACCTCCAGGACCAGAAGCAGAATCCCTGCACACACCCGTTGCTCAGGAGCATGGGTGGGGAGGTGGTGCTGGATTCATGCCGGGCTTAGCAGAGCCCTGGACTAAACGGACCCTGCGTGGCCCTCCTTTCGCAGGTATCAGCACAGGTTGGCTGCCTTCCTGTGCGTGAGAGCTGGAGAGCTGCTAAGTCCTTCCGGAGTTGTGACTAACTCCACACACACCAAAGCAGACTTCGAACCGCTTTCCCAAGGGCTTGGAGCAAGCGCTTCGTGGACACCTTGGTCCATGAGCACTTGGAGTGATCACCAGCCAAAGACTTTTAGTCTGGAGTCTATCATCCGCCAACAGGGCAGGCCTGCCATGGAAAAGACTCCAGGAATTGCCAGAGGGAGAAGTACGGAAATGGGGAATAGACAGGGCAGGGCAGGTGGTCCGAAAGGGTGAAGCCAGGCGGGACCTCCATCTCGGACCACCCCAGGTCTTGCATGAGCATCTTCCAGAAGCACCCTTGCTTTAGTTATGGTCCCGTTGCTTTAGCTGCTTTTGTGCATTCAAGGATGTGAGCAGGGGGAGTTAGAAACATGGAAGCAGGGCGAGTCAGAAGGGGCCTCCCAGGCCATCTAGTCTGACCCCCGGCTCCAGTCACTCCACTCACGACATGCCCACCATGGCATGAGTTTTTTAGTATTTACACACAAACACTTTTCAGATCATATTCCTGTTAGATTGTGTTGGTGCTATTTATTTTCCTTCATGTGTTTGTGTGGATTTTTTTTTAAACCTGGTTCTCTTTTCCCCTGTTATATTGATCATGGATTTCTTTAGCACATATCCATTTAAACAGAATAACAGCAGGAGGAAAAAGGGGCATTTTTGTATAATGAGGGGTGGGTTGAGAGAACTCCCTTAACAGTAGTAAGACTGTTGATTTGCAGTCAAGCACATCAATACAATTAACTGTACAACTACAGCTCGCTATTCTTTGTATTGTCGCTTCCACCCTTCGCCTGCCCCTTTGCCTTCACACGAACCCACCGACTGCATTTTCCCCAAATGGGAACTCATATCGTGCTCTGGAGGAGGTTACCCACCAGTCCTTGGATGTTGGACCATCTCTGTGGACTCCAAAATGGGACAGCCATAACTTACTCCCTGAATGAAGAAGAGGAAGGGCCCACATATTTACCTGCTACGATTTCCCCGTGACAACAGGGAAATGGCCCGGTTTGTGTTGTGTCCACAATCGCTTGCAAAAGCTGCATGGACTGGGGAGAACAGAACTTAAAAATGAATTACCAATTGCCAGGACCAAGATGAAGGGTCTCCTTCGGCCAAAAGGTGAGGTGCACCTGTCACTCCAGGCCCCCATCAAGGGCTGCAGCAGGAAACCTGAAAGACAAGAAGCCAGCCCTCCTGAGTCCCGGTCCAGCGCTCCAGCTACACCACCACACGGGCTCTCTTGTTAACCATCCATGGCTCCTGAGCACAACTGAAATTACCTGCATCAGAAGCAGCGTTGTTGGGGCAAAAGGATGGGAGATGGCGACCAAGCGTTCTTGCATCCCAGGTGGGCTTCCCTAGGTCCCTGGCTGGCCACGGCAAACCCGTTTCCACAGCTGGGAAACCGGTTGCTTGACCAAATGAGATGCTCTCACACTAACGGTGGAGAAGTTAGCATGACTTCCTTGGCGTCCAGCAGATCCTCTCCCCACTCAAAGATGCCACCAAGTCCCATCGGTCTGCAGAGGCCTTCGCCAACATTCCCTTTCTCGGGAGCAGTGCTTTTTTTTGTCATAGAACGCACCGGAACAGAGTTCCGGCACCTTTCTTCAACAGATTTTCCAAGTTTTAAAAGCAACTTTTGAAAATGTGATGTTTGGTCCACGTGGATTTGAATCGACCTGTCGAGCGTAGCAGGTCGGCAGCAAAATCATTAAAACGGTGCATGCGGGCTGCTTGTGCGTCGAGCCCGATGCGTGCGCACTTCGTCCGCGCTGGTTGCGATGGTGCTGCTCAGCTTGCGACTGGTTGTGCGGTCGCGCGCTGAGTGCTTATTGTGGGCGGCGACCGTTATGTTTCGTTACACAACTGGCATGTGTGGGTGTGCGTACAGTGATTGACTATGTGCAAAAGGTAAATAATTTCATGAGTTCCGGCACCTTTTTTCTTACAAAAAAGGCACTGCTCAGGAGTAGGGCCATGATCCCTTTTCTGTTATTTATCTGTTTCATTTTGATTTCATATACAACCCCACTCCCATAAGCTCTGGGCAGTTTACAAGAGATTAAAGCCAACAGTAGTTAACATTCCAACTGCAACAAGCATATTGAATAAAACGATTCGGGGAACTAATCTGGGAAGACATGTTGGAAGAGATAGTTCTTTTCTCCCTCCCGAAGGTGGCAGGCTGGGATATCAGGTGCATTTCCCCTGGAAAATCATTCCATAGTTTGGGAGCAACCACTGAGAAAGTCTTCTGGGTTGTTGGCAGTAATCTGGCAGAGGCAAATTTCGGAAGATTGTCCTTAGATGACCTTAGTGGGCAAGATGGCCTATATCAGCAAAGATGCTCCTGAAGGTATTTTGGACCTGAGCCACTAAGGTAATTACCAACACCTTGTACTGCATCCAGAAATGTATTGGCAGTACAAATATATTAAACCACTGTAATATTTTCAATACGGTGTCTTTTTCATTGTGTTTTAATGGGCCGTCGTCAACTGCCCAGAGAGCTTGAGCTGTATAGAAATTAATAAATCAATTAATTAATTAAAACAAAAAATGGGCAGCCAGCGCTGAGGCTTTGATATCGGTGATATGTCACCTCTCCGTGACGTTTCAGAGACCAGTCTGGCTGCCATCTTTCCTACCAGTGGCAATTTCCAGAGCAAGATCCCGATCATTCCTATCTATCGCGCGTGGCGGGGCCTGAGCCCAGAAGTGACCAGCGTGACACGAGGTCTTCCAGGTCCTTCCCCTCGGCGAGGGACGCCATCGGCACGTCAGCAGAGGCTGTCGGAGGCTTCCCCCCACTCACCCAGGATCGGGCTGATGAACCAAACCATCCCATAGAGCTGGTCTGGGAGGCCCATCTGGAGCAGCGCGGGGGTCACATAGGCAGTCTCCATGGCGTAGCTGAACTCGATCCCGAAAAGGATGCAGCCATTGAACAAGAGTTCCAGGAAGGTTCTCGGCGGGTCGACCTCGCCGAAGCGAATGCGGTCGATGGGACACGGGGTGTTGGGGGGAGGGGGAGGGGACGGGCGGATGTGCTTCTTCCTCTTCGGGTGCCTCTTGAAGTTGTTGGCCCGGTGGCTGATGTGGTGTGTGATGGACCTGCCATATCCCGCCACTTGCGACCGCCACAGTTCCTGAGAAGACAGAGTGGGGAAGAGCAGGTCACTGGAAGGGCTGGCTGTGGTGGGAGGAATCATGGTGGATGTGCCTGCAAAGGAAAGGCAGAGTTCAGCAACATCCAGGCAGAGCTTTTCCTGGAGGCAAATCCAATGAATCTGACACTTGGGGCGCATCCCGAGGAGGCAAGTCTCTCTGGAGAAGACAACTGCACTATGAGAAGGCGAAGGCAGAAGAGAAGGACAAGCCAAGATGAAATGCATCCATTCCATCAAGGAAGTCACAGGATGGAGTCAACCATCGCTGAGCGGGGCTGTCCAGGACAGGGCGTTGTGGAGAGCTCCCATCCACGGGCACACCAAAAGTCGGTTTGGTGGCACACAATGACGACAACCGTAAGGAAAAGCTTCTGGGACAAGAACACTGCAAATAACCTTCCTCTCGCATGTAGAATGGTTCTTCTCTGCTTCTAAAGGCCACGTCCGCATGTGCAGCAAGCTGAGGTGGCTAGGAAAGGACTGTACCACTTGCAGGATGCATAGATGAGTGTCCACAAGAACGGAAGAGAGGGAGGGAAGTGGAAGTGTGCCAAGGGACAAATCCCATTTCGGAGAAGGCTTTGGGGGATTCACTGGAGTGGGGGCACCCCAAGGGCAAATGGGTGGGGCAATCCCCCAGAAGGACCCGCCTATTCTAGCTTAAAGTTGTGAGACCCTCTACATAACCCTCAGGAGAAAAGCTCAGCGTTTAAAGTGCTGATTATTCCTAGCTGGGAAATGGGCACGGCCACCCAGGACGTCCTGGTGCATCGAACTGAGGGCTGGATACACCCCCAGACCATCATACCAATACAGAAACAGGTGAACTCCACCTGCAGCACGTGGCACAAAGAGTCCGTTTTGGCACGTTTTGTATTTTTATTGTATTATTTGCGCTGCTGCGAGCATCTCGTAAAGCTTCAGCTATTGGTGCTACAGAAACAAACCAACAAAGAGGTTCTAGTTCATTATGTAGGGATCTTGCCTGTAAGGACCAGTTTATATAACCAACAGAGGCAGGGGGTGAATTTTTTTCTCTGTGCTGCATCGCCTCATCTGCAGGTGATGCGGACAGCATCTTCTTTCAGGCTTTCCTGAGATGCTAGATTTCTATGGGCGGGGTATGTGGCTTTTGTGGGGGGCATACAATTCCCGCCTCGGGTCTGCAGTGCTGTGCGAAACAGGACACCTACACGCAACAAACCTGAGGTTTGGGGGGCGGGGGGATCTACAGACCAGCAGCCCAAAGTGTTTGCAGTTACAGGCTGAATTAAATATTTTCAGATCTACTGGGAACCCAGTAACCAATGCTGAAATAACAAGAACTCAGCCTAACCACAAGAAACCTGATATAGGCAGAGGTATTTGCTTGATAAAATTGTGTTAGATCACATATAAAAAATGCCACCCTGAGCAATGCCACCATCTATCAGTCATTGTCCAGAAAGCTGAAAGGTGGGAACAAATTTGCTCCTCACTGAGTCATGATTTCCCTTCTGAAGCCAAAGGACTAGAAACTTGAAAAGCAAGGACTCGAACCCCAAAAATGCAGGAAAGGATCCTGTGTCCAAAGGCTCTTGCAGCATCCATAGGAGCAAAGGCCCCGGCAGGTGCATCTGATCTCAGAGCAGGAAAAATCCTCAGTCATCGCCGTTTTCTCTGAGAGAGCGACAAAGTCCCACACACCCACAGATTCCCCCCCCCCCCACCACCACCACAAGGGGCTGCTCCTCTGCGAGGGAAAGTGCTGGAGGAGGCAACCTGGCCATTCCCAGTTCCACCTCCAAAGCATCCTCTCAGCCCTGCATCCCTGCCCATCAGGCCTGATACCCAAGTTCCCGGAACCAGCCTTAAGGATCCAGCCGGAAATCTTACCTGTATTAAGCAAGCCAGTGCAGCATCCTCGAGCCAGATGCTCTTTCCCCCGAATTCCCCGTGTCTTCAGCCGAGTCCCGACTGGGGAGGAGGCTGGCTGGCTGGCTGGCTGGCTGGCTGGCGTGGGGTGATGTCACTGAGCATCGGGTCCTCCCAGCAGCTCTGCAGAAACACATCCGCCTTCCCTCCATCCCAGCCACCCTGCCTTAAAGTGGCAGGACACCGGCGAGATGCAGCCCCCACCTGCATGCATGATGCAGGGAAGATAGCAGGGAAAATAGGTCTGCGAGGATGGAAATGAGCCGCCCCGGTTCCTTTTGCAGACAAGCACCGGATCGCACAACAGAAATGCTGCCTCTCTGGGGAAGATGCTCGTTCAGGGATGCTTCGGGTGGTTGCTGAGACACCTGGCTGGGGAGGATGGAACTGAAGTCCCGGCACAGTTGGAGCCTGCCACGCTGGGGAAGGCTGAATGTAGCAGTGCCCGCTGCTCCAGCGAGCTGAAACCAAGGTCTGGAAAAACCGCGTGACCTTTTTCGAAAATGCTGGAGTGGGGCTGGTTGCATCACCGTTTGCTGGGAAGTAGCATCAGAGTGCAGGGAACAAATTAACTCATTCGCAAGAGCCCTGTGTCTTCTCAAAACAGTGACTGACTGAGTGGGAGAATGGGACATACAATGCCTTTTTCTAAAACTTGTATGATGCGGAGAAAATGCCCGAACAGACTTATTTCCAATTTATATCCTGCCTTTTTCCTACAAAGGGCTCAAGGCAGCTTACATCATTCTCCTCCTCCATCTTATCCCCAGAACAACAACCCTGCGAGGTAGGTTGGGCCAAGAGCCTGCGACTGGCCTAGAGTCACCCAGGTGGCTCCATGGCTGAGTGGGGACTCGAACCCGGATCTTCTGAGTCCCAGTCCCACGCTCTGAACCACGACGCCACACTGGCTCTCCCTCTTGCGCTTGGAGTCATCCAAGTCTGCATGGGCGATTCAGGGAATATCAAAAAGGAAGGGCTTTTGTACACTGCACATCATTAGCCTAAGGGACTCCCTGCCACTGGGTGTTGTGATGGACATGAGCTCAGCCTGGTTTTACAGGAATTAGACCCTTCGAAGCTGATCTCTCAATGCCTCTGAGACACACCAGGACAAAAATCACTGTGTGAAAACACATCTCCATTCCTGGGCCACTCTCTGCCTGGATGCAAGATTCAAATGGTCAACTTCTCAGGGATATTCGTCAAATCGTCTTTATACATATTCTGGCGCCAGACTAAGACTTTTTTTTATTCAAGGAGCATTTTAACTGTTAACAATTTAAATGGGAATTTAATTTAATTTTAATGTAAATTTTAGTTACTTAATTTGACATCGTTCCAATCGGCTGTTAATCCATCACTTGGTGCTCCTGCTGTGCATGCTGTTATTTATCATTGCTTTTCTGGATTTAATTGTTTAAACTGTATGTATTTTAGGATGTTTTATGCTGTTGGTTTTTATCCTGTAAACCGTCCAGAGAGAGCCATGTGGCTATGAGACAGTATACAAAAGTGTTAATTAATTAATGGCGTCTCCTTTCTGGAATTCACTTCAGGCAGCAGGGAAAGGTCTGTATTTAATGCTCTGGGCATGTGCAAAAACGCTACAAAACAAAACCTTCCCCTGGGACCACGGTGGGTTCCTTTGGGGCCTGCTAAGCAGGGCTAACGTTGCCCCTTTCCTTTGTGCGAATGTGCCATTGCCGCTTGCCAGGCGTGCAATGGGATGCGAGCACGTGCAAAATGCCTTCCGAAGCCACCACGCCCAGGACGGCTCCACGCAGAAGCAGCGTGCGGCTGCCTTCTCTCCCGCACTGCCAGGATGAAGAAGGGGAAAGGCGAGCTTTTTCCAACACAGCCGGCACTTCACCCTCCTTCTCCAGACAAGTTTTCAGGTGGTTCCTCCTCGGGCTGCGGAGGCGAAGGGAGCCCAGCCGAGGGCCCTTCAGAGGAGTGCTTTTATCCCTCCACCAGGGGGAACAGTGGCCTTGGCTAAGTGCCTGCCAGGAGTCCAGTCTGCTTGGGTTGCGGCTCGAGGAGGGCAGGGGTTTTCGCGAAGGCAGATCTTCAGCCACATGCCACGGAAATCCCAGCCATGGCCGCGGCAGCACGCGCTCTCGCTCCGCTCCTGGGCAGCCTGGGCCTCCTGCTCCTGGTGCTGTGCGCCAAATCGGACTGCTGGCGGGTAAGGAGTCGGCGGACCGTGTGGCCACTGGGTCTCTTGTGCGTGAGGGTGGCAGTGCTGGGAGAGCTGATGGCCCGGGGCTGCACCCCCTTCCCTGCCTGGGAGTCCACGGTGCTTGGGATGCAAGGGCGGGAAAGGGCTGGCTGGCGGGGAGCGTTTTCTCGCATCGTTGCAATGCTCGGGCCACTTCTCCAAGCAGAGACCATTCCAGGGTGCTCAGTCGCCGGCATTTCATTTCTTTTGAGAAGAGGCGATCCCCGGAGGAGCAAAACTGCAAGCAGCCTCACACGGCCTCCCTGCTAGACCACGCTGTCTTTAGCCAGAATCGGGAAATGGAAGAAGGGCACCGTCCCTATGAAATATTCCCTGGCCACACATTCCCAGGGTTTTTCACGCTGTGTGGCCAAGCCAGGCCTCAGGCCACATGCTGTTTCTGAGCACCTTACAGTCAAAGTTTATTTGCAGGAACAGGAGAGTGAAACACATTCCATGATGAATCTAAATATATTTACCATCAGTTACGACTAATTATTTATCCTATCCCCCAAGTTCACTGTTTGAAAAACAGGGCAGGCTTAGGACTGTTCCAGTGGAGGATATTTGGTTGGTCTCCCAGTAGGAGGTTCAAAGGACCCTCTCCGCACTGGGATGAACTACAAGAAGCTGAGTTCTATCGCTTCTTATTTATGGCTCCTTTCCTGGAATACGTTCTCCTGGAATCGGCACCTCCGACACTGCTCCCTCGTCCCACGGCACAGTCCCTGGTCCCATTCCTTCCCTGTTGCTCTAGGAGCGGGCAGGATGCGCCTGTTATGCCCTTGCAGAAAGCGAGGCTGAGTTGCCATAGAAATGCTGAGAAATCCCTTCATGGCAGCAGCGCTGCTTAAGCTCCAGGAAAGGTCAAAGCCACTTGCTGTGACTTGGGCAAAGCGGGAATCGCTCCCCACTCTTGCCCTTCCTGGAATTTGCCACCAAATCACTCCTTCACCCTCCCTCTTGGGATAATCGTAGGGTGGACAGTGCAATGGGGAGGGGGCTGCGGCCTCCTCTGCAGTCAGTGCACAAAATGCAGAGCCTGCCCAAAGCTGTGAGGCAGGTCACAAAATACAAGTGACAATTCCCCCCCACCCCCAAAATGCATCACCGAGGTGCCCCATTTTACCGTCTTCATGATTCTCCGAGCATCCTTGAAGTCCTGGCTTGAGAGGTAGATGGGGAGGTTGAGGCGGCGTTCCCAAAAAATCGTAAAGCAGGGAGAGATATTCTCTCAGGTGCATGGACCTCGCAGGCCCTTGAAGCGATCGTTCAGTCGAGACTGGCAGAAACGTAACATTGGAGCAGAAACTAGAATGAGGAGCGCAGCTTTTTTCCTGGGATGTTTCTCCAAACTGCAATCGAGGACAAAAAGATGTAGCAAGGTGGGTGTTAAAATAAAGGAGGCTCCGAGGAGAGACCTTATTAGAGTCGGGCTTTGGGGTCTGGCCAGTTCTCTGAGCCTCTGCACCAGCTACTTTCCTTTGGGTGACTGCCATGTGAGAACCAGCCACAGGGAGACCCGATAGACATCATCATCATCATCTTCATCATCATCTTCATCATCATGTCTGTTCCAAATGGCTTCTGACAAAAGTTCATCTTCAAACACCCTCGGAATAAGAAGGGCAGGGCTTCTCTTATGGTTCACGGATTACAGAACAGGAGACAGAGAGTGGGAATAATTTCACCCAATGGCGGGATGAGACCAGTGGAGTTTCATGGGGTTCTTTATTAGGGTTTTGAAGGTATTCATTAATGATCTGGAATCTGAAGTCAGCAGTGAGGTGGCCAAGTTTGCTGATGACACCAAGTTTGCTCACTTTAGTTTTAGAGTGATTAAAACTAAAAAGGATTGTGAGATGGTCTGAAGAGCTCTCTCCAAGCTGGGAAAAGGGGCATCTAATTAGGAAATGCAGTTCAGTATAAGCAAGCGTACAGCAAAGCACCTTGGGGCAAAACATCCCAATTGTATACGGAATCCAAGTTGGTAGTCACTGACTGGGACAAGGATCATGGGATTTTGTGGACAGCTCAATAGAAAAAGTCAGCCCTGGGTATTCATAGATTAATAGAGTCATATATGGCTGCTGGGATAAAAACAGGTTAGGCATAATTAGGAAAGGCATAATAAATCTGAACTGGAAGAGGAGGCAGGACCAGATTGCTTAGCTGAAATGCTAAGGCTGGTGAGCTTCGAGATAAGTTAAATGGCTGGTGAGAACTAGGTGACTTCTGGTTTGTGGAACAGGAAGCGCCGGGGGAAGGGATACAACTTAATTAGGCCCATCCTTTGATGGACTATCAAGAGAGCTAGTCTGCTAAGTGACATCTGGCATTCTAGCTGTCCAGCCACAAGCAGCAGGAACCTTCATGAGGGTGGAACTTACTCTGTTTGGTGGGGAAGGGTGGTGGATTCAACTTCTAGCAGGAGTAGCACCCAGTCCCTAAATAACTGGCTCATTAGCTTGATGGAGATTTCTTGCTAATGACCTCTTTGTATCCCAAAGTCAGCCTGGCTAGACAGTTTTAGCATAATAAAGGACCAGTTGCTAGAAACTTCTTTGATCTGCTGGGAAGGAAAAAGAAGAGAAGTTTCTGGGAGAGAGGCCAGTCACAGCAGTAACCCAGCGTGGTGCTTCCTGTGTCCTTCTGCCAGCCTTCCGCAACTGCGTATCCTTCAGATGAGCGCACTGCTGTTCTGACCATCCCCAGTCGGGATGCCATGATAGGCATCGTAGTCTAGGAGATCTGGAGGACACTGAGTTGAGGAGAGCCATACTCGTAAGCAAACACTCCCTCTTGGAGCAGCACTGAGATCTCACAGGCGATCTGCTTCCCTATACACATGCACTATGTGGCTCATGCCCAGAGCATGGCCTGAAGGCACACGAGGCATCCATCCCACTGAAGCTAAGCATCTCTCGGCCTGGCCTGAACTTGGAAGGGAGACCAGCAGTGAACTGTGTGTGGCCAGCTTGAGTTCCACATGGGGAGAAAGGTGGAGCAGAAATATAATACTTAAATTATGGTGTCCATGCCCCTCCACTTACCGGCTGCTATCAAGTCTCATTCCTGAATAAAGTCGCTGTCTTTCTTTAGCAAGACGCCAAGGACCCGCTCTCTTCCGTGGGCTTGAGCATCCGGTGCCGGGGCCTGTGGCGCGAGTGCATCTTTGATAACGTGGCCAGCCTCTGGACGTGTGACATTCCCGTGTCCTATCTCAGCGACCATCCTGGTAAGGGAAAGGAAATTGACTCCCTGAGGTTGGGCCAAGCCGCCACAGCGGTGGGCTGCGTTTGCTTATCATAATACTTGTGGACACCGGACTCGCCTCACGTCCGGGTAGGATGCCCACTGCCAATGCCCGTATCATGTTCCCCGCTCGGTTCCTCTCTCTGCTAGCCCTGCCTTCTTCCAGGGGTCAAGCAGTAGGGATAAACAGAGGGCGCTTTTAAAGAGAGGACTGTCTTCATGACGTGGGATACACTGCAGAGCATGGGGTCTCCTCCCACTCATTGCAAACTGTTCCGATAGACTCATCCTGAGCAGGTGCTGATACAGAGGCAAGCAGGGAGAATGCTTTGAATCGCACAGTTGTCTGGTGAAGGTTCTTGGCAGAGCGTGGGAGTCAGCCTGCTTTGGAAGGGTTTCTGGAGTGGCGGGTGGAGCAGATGTGAGAACCAGCGTGGCCAGAGGGCTTTGCCTTCGCTCCTCTTTCCCTCCAGCTGCAAAAGCCACCCGGACGGTGGAGTCAGAAGCTTAACTGCAAGAGAAGGACCACAGGGAAATTTCCAGTTTGGATTCAACTCTTGACATGGGCAGAAGCTTCTCCCTCAATTTTGGTAGAAGCCCATTAGAGTTCAGACTGTTCTGTAATCTTCTGAGTTTCAGTAAATGGACTGTACTTCAAAGGATTTTCTCACATGTGAAATGAGAAGGATGAAGCAACACTGTTACACAGAAACAGAGTGAGTCAGAAGGGGCCTCCTGGGCCATCTAGTCTGACCCCTGGCTCCACTCGCTGCATGCCTTCCATGTGCATGTCCAGCCTATTCTTGAACACTGTCACGGATGGGGCCTCAACCACCTCCCATGGAAGCCCGTTCCACACCCTCGGGGCCCTAACTGTCAGGAGTACCATTCCTTCTAAAGCAGATGTGGGAAGATTCCAACTTCCTGGAATCACTTTGCTGGGCTGGTTTTGTCTAGAAACCCACGATCCACTCACTGAAGCCAAGTGGAAAATGGTAGCTTCGGGGTGGATTCAGATGTCAAGGGGCAGTTCCGGGGGAGCCCACAGACTGGGCCAAGCGACGTATAAACACCACCCAACACCTGCAGGACAAGAATTTCGAACAGCTTGATTCAGGGGTGACAACAAATGACGTTTGGCTTCGGTATTGCTGAACAGTGGGAGCAAGACCCCTTGCTGAGTTGATCTGTTGAAGATCTGCTAAACTTGGCTGACACACATCTGCCTTTTCGAAAGCGTCTTCTCTCTCTCTCTCCTTCCCAGCTGTCCTCGTGGTCACTCGAGTCCTGGTGATTCTTTCCGGCTCTCTGGTTCTTTGTGCGATCCCTCCCTCCATTGCAGGGATGAAATGCACCAAGCTCACGCAGGGCAGGCGCCTCCGGAAACACAACTTCTCCCTCACTGCTGGGATCCTGCTCCTCCTGGGAGGTAAGGCCCCCCCCCCCCCGGCTCTTTTTAGAAGTAACATGCAGCCCTTTTCCAGAACCAACCTGTACCTGTCCAATTAATTGTTTCGGGACTATTTCTCTCTCGGTATTAACCACCCCTCAGTCACATGCAACCAGTTCCGGATTAAAGCAACTGGGAGTCCTGGGCTAGGAGACCCTTGGGCGGCCCAAACTTTAGGATCTGATCATGGGAAGCAAAAGCTCGTTCTCTTCTTTATCTGCTCAAAGTGGAACATTGCTTTGTAAATTTATAACTGTCTTTTTTATCAGCCTTTAATAGGTTGGTGGAAGTATGGAATTATTAAAGTCACACAGAACATTCATAGGAGAATCATAGCTATATTATTGCATTATACTATATACAAAGTCAGCAAAGTTTCTTTTGAGCTTTTTGGGAGCAAACTTATTATATCTTTAAAACCAGTAAGTTGCAGTTTATAATTTTCTGTGCGGAGAATGCTTAGATCACACAACCAATCTTGGAACATTGTTGACCGTAGATCATTCTTTATCCTTTTTAGCCTAGAAAATGATCTTTTGCCTAGGTACGCCCCTGATTTTTATTGTTACAAATAAAGTAAAATTAATTGTGATATTTGGAGGGGGGCAGGAGACCAAAGCCCACCAGCTTATGAGGCTCTGGGCTGCAGCCCACTCAGTCCATATGTAAATCCATCATTGCGTGCAATCCAAACATAATTTATCAATGGGAGTGGCTTTAAAGCTCTTATATTCTTGTGCAACATTTCTCCATTTTCTTTCTCGCCAGCAGACCCACAACTTTCTCTTCAGCCTCCTCCCTTTCCCTGCTCCTCCCATGCATGGATGTTGACGGCAGGAAATGTGATATTTGAAAACTGTTTACTGCACACCCTGTGTAGCTGTGTATGACCACACAGTTACTTTTCACTTTGCATCCTTCCGGTTGCAAAGTTGCATGTGCAGGTACTGGATTTTTAAAAGCAAATAACCTAAAATGATGACATAACCTCCTCACGTTCTTCCCTTTCTGCTACCCCTCCCCAAATAGCAAGGGGACAGAAACACCCCTTTTATTCAGGCTCATTTTCCACTATGCATCTACAGAGCTGTACGTGTGGGAGTTCCTTCTAAAAAGCAAGGTGTATCTGCCCACTTTCCCTCCGCATCAGCCGTCCGCTCTGCCTGATCACATGCACTCTTGTTTAAGGACAGGATGAAACACAAGAGCTTTTGAACGTGGCCTCCTTCTCCTGCAGGTCCAATGCCTACCATGCTGCAGACCTTGGCATGAGTGCGTGGTGCTTGCCCACAGGGCAACAGATGCCAAGGGCCAGGAGAAGCGTGCACAGGGCTCCCGCTGACAATCCGGAGATCCTGCTTTCGGGAGGGCTTTCCAGTTTGTTTTTAGCCATAGATTCTTTTTATAATAATATTGCTGACAGGACACTGCCTCGCTGCTAAGGCTTTTCTTCACTTCATGACAAGGACACAGGCGCACGACATGGTAGAGCCAGAAGGGACTCACGGCCATGGAGTCCACCCCCTGCTCAGCGCAGGCCTCCAAGTTCAAGCACCCCCAACAGATGGGTGCCCCAGCTGCCTTCTGAGCACCTCCGGTGTGGGCAAGCTTCCTAGGTCAAGGCCCCCATTCCTGTGTTGCTCCATCAGGCAGGAAGCTTTTCTGGAGCTCAGCCAGGATGTGGCATTCTGGATGTGGCTCGTGATTGCATGCCCTGGGTTCTAGAGTGTTCCGGACTGATTTGGAGAGGTTCTGGGTACCAGCATTTCAAGCTGACCTGTTACTGGGCAACTGCAGAATACCCTGTTCGTTTAACCATCCCTGCTAATCCATGGATGCTGTAGGAACCTCGGATGCAGGCGAGATCCTTTTCAAAAAGCGTAGCATTGTATTTTTCCCAGCAGAGGGACCCCCTCGGAGCAGCGCCACCAGAGGCCCCTCACGAAGAATTCTCTCTCTTCTGCAGGACTATCCGCAGCAGTTGCCGTTCTCTGGTATGGCATTGATACGGTCCAGAAATACAAGCTAGAGGTAAATACGCGTCGCCTCCATGAAGCAGAGGACGCTGCTAAGAACAGAGTTGAGAAATCCAGGAAGCTTTGCTGGTTCTTTAAAATCACTGAAGGTTAGAGTTGGAAGGGATAACTAGGGATAATTTAATCAAATCCTTTGCTACATCCTGTGTGGAATCTTTAGTGAAGGATGCAATGAAAGCATTGTGATATAAAGGGCTAAAATAGGGATGTCAAAAACTCATGATCGGAATTTCCAGCTTGGTTCTCCCCCTATTTTTACAGCTTAATCCTAACTCAGGTGGAAGTCCATGGTGTTTCAGTGGGGTTGGTGCCAGGTAAGCACAGAAGATGACTGCAGTCTTAAAGCTACTCCAGTCTGCTCTGGTTTTAACTGGAGCAGATCTTAAACCCTCTTACAAGACGGTTTTCCCAGTCCAATGTCCCCTTTCCCTGTAGGGAGTCTTAGACCAGCAGTGGGGTGGGATGGGGGGTGGAATACAAGCCTGACACTCATTTTTTCTTTGCAACATTGCCATACTGTGACGTTTGCTAAGATGCTATCCAGGTGAAGTACAACAATCGAAAACCAGCTTGCCTTAAATGCTAAGAAAAGCAGGAAAAACTTCATGCAATGAAGAACAGGGCGTTTCAAACAGGAAATATTGAACTGAGGTCAAATGCAGCAAATGGAAATCGGGGAAATAGAAGTTCCTAAGGGAATGGCATCTCCAAGAAGGCCTCTATTGCAGATCTTAAAGAACTGGGTAGGCTAAGCTCAGTCCCAGCGCTTAGATTCAACTCTCTCTGTGGGTCTAACCGGAATTTTAACAGGACAGAATGGTGGAATTTAGGTTTAAAAAACTGTGTTGGTAGAAGACTGCTATTTGAAAAGGGAGGGGACTGATCCTGTGTCCATTTTCTACTTGAATATTTGCATGATTATATGCTGATTACTAAGGCTTAGAGAGTTATACAGGGACAGAGCAAAAACTAGCAACTTTAAATCCACCCTGTATTGCATCATTCTGAATTATTTGGGTTTATATGTATTTATTGGATATTGACTTGTAAGCCGTCCAGAGACCCGCAACGTATTGGACGGGGTAAGAATACCCAAATAAATAAAAAATCATCTTCTTGCCCACGAAATCTAAAAAAGAGCATCTCTGCAATGAAGATGGTACCATTTTTCTTGCTGCACTTTGGAGATTTTCCTGTATCTGCTGAGCAAGGAGAAGTCACCCTGAGTCCTGGAGCTGGAGAAGTCCTGCACAGAGCAAGAGATTGGACTAGATGTCCTCTGGGGTCCCTTCCAACTCCAAAACGTTGTGATTCTTTAATTCTATGAAAGGGAATGGTCCCCTGATGATTTTTTGCAAATCAGCCTGCTGTTCAAAGCACAAGGCATAGGTTCCCCTGCTCCGCCTCCCTGCTTAGCCGGCAAGGTGAAGTAGGTGGAATTCCTAAGGAAGATTGCAAAGCCTGCAATTTCAGCGAGATTAAATGGCAGATGAAAAAGCACTTTGTGTGGCTTCCCAGTAGTTAAAGCAATGCTAATCAGCACAGGTCAACTTTTTCTCCAGGGCTCCCCCCCGCACCCCCGAAGCAAGAGTATGGGCCGCTTCAGCACTGGAGTTTGCTACCAAGTCCCATTTAATTGTTTAAAGGTCACTCATTACCAGATAGGGTGGCCAGAGAGATAGGGTCCTCAAGAAGAGACCATCCATACTGGGGGGGGGGGAGAAGAGACACCCCCATGTCCTGCTACGGTTGCCAGCTTTCCAACCAGCCGCATAGCTTTGCGATTAAAAGTGCCTTCTGCCGCTGCCAGAGGAAGTGACGGGGTTTTGTCTCCCACAGTGCCAAAACAATTCTCCTGCCGATTTCTCCAGCTTAACTTTTAGTCTATGGATATGCCACTTTCCACACAGGGGACCACACAGTGCCTGGTTTGTAACATCCATCAGATAAACGTCACACTTGGAAAAGAATAGCCCAGCTGGAAGAGGCATGACAGCCAGGCCAGGCCAGGCCAGGCCAGGCTGGGTGGTAGACCTCACCCCTCTCCTTCCCCCCAAACCCTCTAAAGCAGCACCCCCCGATGGCTGGATTTTGCGGGCTTCAGCATTCAGGGTTGCTTCCTTGTGCCACCTCAGCACTCTGGTGCCATCTGGCTCCTGTTCGCCTGACCGGGAGAGGTTCTTCAAGGGTTCATCTTGCCCTGCCCTGCCTGGAGATGCCCGCCATTGAACCTGGCGTCTTTAGCATGCAAAGTCTAACCCCCACCACTAACTATGGATGCTCCCAACGAATTAGACCTAATTAGAGCAGTGCGCCATCTAATTCATCAGTGCCTGCTCTGGTCACCAGGAGCTTTCCGGAGTCTCAGGCAGCAACACTTTGAACTTCGTCCTGGAGATTCTGAGGCCCTCCTCTAGGACCTTCCATGGAAGAAGCCCTGAGCCAGAAGCTGTCCTTGAACAGTTCAAATGGAGCTGCCCTTGAACGTGTTTGCTTTGCTTTCCTAGGGAATGCAGAAGTTCCTGGCTTGCTTACCACTCAGCTCTCTTCCAGGTCGCCCTTGGCATCCCTGGCGTGACTTACGAGCTTGGCTATTCCTACTGGACGGCCGCTGCCGGTGCGGCATGTGCTACCTCCGGTGGGACCTTGCTGATCGCTGCGAGCTTCTCAGAGGCCCAGACGCCAAGAGAGGAGCGGAACTTCGTAGGCAGCCTTCCTGTGGCCAAAGGGCAGCAGACGTACCTGTGAAGGATGTCCGGCTCTCGCTGCTCAGTGCCAATGTTAAAAATGAGCAGGGCTTTTGGCTTCATTACAAGATACCTATTAAACCAGAAGATGCTGCTGGAGAAACTGCCTCTTGGGTTTTGTTATTGCTGGGCTGGTTTGCGCCTTCGCCTCTGCAGCTTGCTGACGGGTCGCACCAAGCGACGGCTCGTGGGGGTGGATCAGCCATTGCAGGTCACCGTATGCTTCCCCTCCTTTCAGGGTGGCGTATCTGTCCCTCCCAACCCGAATCCATGTGGTAAGAATCTGAGCAACTCCATTTACTACAAGATGCTCCAGCTGAGAGGCCAGCTGCCAACGTCTTTTAAAATTCTGGCTTTCTAGAACAACCCAATTCTGCTGAGCTGAATCTGTCTGCATGCAGGTGCTTCAGGCAGGAGAAAGAGCGATGAGGCTTCCATGCCAGGGAACATGCCATTCACACATTTCCAAAAATGAGGAAGTGTGTCACGAAAGATGCAAAAAGATGGCTCCTGTTTGCTTAAAACTGGTGTGTGTGGGTCTGTGCTAGGGCCAGACTCACAAGCCTTGTGCAAGTAGTTGGAAATCAGAGATATGTTTAGATAGAGGTAGAATGCATTTCTGCTGGAGGAGACGCCTGCGAGTCCCTTGGACCGCAAGGCGATCCAACTGGTCAGTCCTAGAGGAGATCAACCCTGACTGCTCCTTGGAAGGCCAGATAGTGAAGAGGAAGCTCAAATACTTTGGCCACCTAATGAGAAGGAAGGACTCCCTGGAGAAGAGCTTGATGCTGGGAACAATAGATGGCAAAAGAAGAAGGGGGCGGCAGAGGATGAGGTGGCTGGATGGGGACACTGAAGCAGTCGGCGTGAGCTTAGCTGGACTCCGGGGGATGGTGAGGACAGGAAGGCCTGGAGGAATGTTGTCCATGGGGTTGTGATGGGTCGGACGCGACTTTGCAACTAGCAAGCAAGCAAGAATACATTTCAGCATAACAGGGAATGGGTGTCTCTACAGGGTTTGGCATCTGTCTGCTCGCTACAGACAGGGAACTTCAGTTCCTGAGCCTCCTCAGGCTTCTAACCATTGGACCAACTGTTCATCAGATAGAAAACTGTCCCCTGCCGCTGGCCAGCCAACCTCTCTGGGATCCGCTGCTCGGAATACCAGTGCCCTTCAGGGCCAGGAAGCGAGCAGGGAAAAGGACGGGAGTCATCCTAAAACTGTCCCAAGGCTGGGCAGGTGCTACAGGTGCAGTGCCAGGGCCTGGGACCACAGGGGTTCCTTGAATGATGCAGCGGAGCTGGAGGCAACGTCAGGAGCATGCAAGGGCAGCTGCCAAGAAAGCTTGGCAGGTCCCACAGCAAAGGCAGAATTAGGCAGAACCAGAGGCAAGCTGAGGTCAGAAAGCAGCAAGAGAAAGCAAGCCGGAAGCAAAACAGGGTCAGAGAGAACTCGCAGCAGGTACCTGCAAGGCATGGTCAGGCTGAAGCTGAAGGTCCCAGAAGCCAAGATGCCGCTGAGGACCAGCCCAGAAGCATCCCGCAGCCACAGGGAAGGCTTGGCACACTGCAGCCGAGCTGAGCAGGGCAGGGAAACCTTTAATAGACCCCAGCTGTGCCGGGATCACAGCGGCTCCTATCCCTGCACGTCCCCGCAGAAGTGCTCCTGATCCTGCATGCACTTGTAGGGTGCACACAACAGCTGTCACCAGCGGGGCTCTGTTGTGGCTTCACATCCTGACAGATTCCTCCTATATCTGCAAATGAGAGCCAGTGTGGCGCAGTGGTTCAGAGCATGGGACTGGGACTCAGGGGATCCGGGTTCGAGTCCCCGCTCAGCCATGGGGCCAACTGGGTGACTTTGGGCCAGTCATAGACTCTCAGCCCAGCCTACCTCGCAGGGTTGTTGTTGTGGGGATAAGACGGAGGAGGAGAATGATATATGCTGTCTTGAGCCCTTTGTAGGAAAAAGGCTGGACATACATTGGGGGAAAAAATTAAAGGACCTCTCGGGAACAGAAAGAGAGAAAGAGAAAGAAAGAGTACCCCAGAAAGAGACCTCTGTGCCAGAAACTGAGCCAGCGAAAGCAGGGGGCGCAGGCAGAGGAAGTGAAGTGCTTTCCAGAATGAAGCACCATTAAACTGAACTTAAAATGCTGGGATTGCTCCCTCCCTGTGTGTGTGTGTGTGTGTGTGTGTGTGTGTGTGCGCGCGCGCACGCGCCTGGCATGGGCAGTTGCGAGCTAGCAAGGGTATACGAACCAGGGTTGCTCATGGCCACTGGAATTTGCTGAACTTCATTCCAGAGCTCAGCTTGCTTTCCTTCTTCAAAGGGGGCAAGAAGAAACTACAGTGTAGAAACATAAATTTTAAAAAGTCAGCCATTTAAAGTGTGTTCTTCCCCCTGAAAGTGCAAAAAAGTGCGTTCTGAAATGCACACTTTAAAAAGGCACCACCATTTTTCGATCGTGCATTTTCCCAAGGGCCCTTCTGTGAACGCAGGCGCAAGCTCGGGACCTTGCGAACATGTTCGGAGAACACGTGCTCCCACACACGTCCCGAACGAGGGTCTTCTTGAGTGCCTTGTGCAATGAAGCAAAATTCTTGCGCCCCCCCCTTCTGCTGGGTCCAATCGAGGAATTTTGCCAGGCAAGCCCCTCCTCTCGCAAGTGGCCCTTGTGCGTTTCCACTCCTCTGCAAGGGATTCTCCCACATCCAAAGAACGAATCGCTAGGATTGTTCTTTGCGTCTGTCCTGACAGTCATTTTGGGGTGGGGGGGCAGTGCCTCCTCCAGGTGTGGGGGCCCTAGAGATGACAGGTGAGCAAGCAGAGAGCTTTGGGGAGAAAGAGCAAGACAACCGGGCTCCCGGGAATTGGCAGTTGGCGCCCGGCAGGGCTGTGGGTCCCCAAGGCTGACCCCAGGCAGAATGGGGATGGTGGAGGAGATTTTGCTGCCCCCGGCCTCAAACTGGCGCCCCACCAACGATGCTGCCAGCCGTGGGGTGAAGAAGGCACCCATCCGCAGGCTTCAAGGTGCACCTTGCCTCCCCTCCGAAGTCGGGATGTGGAGAAAGGGCTCCGCTCGTGGGCCAGGCATCCGTGGCTGCATCACACTCGGGAAGCGACCGCGTACATCTTGCAAGGGAAGGCCTGGGGCCGGTTTGGGGTGCGTTGAGGCCTCCTGGAGGGGGCAGCCTCTGCCTCAGAAAGTAAAAGAGAAACGTACATTCCGGCCCACGTATGCATCATTCACATGCGCTTGGATGTTTCGAATACATTCTCTTGCATTTGCCACAACAATCCTGTAAGGTAGGATGGTATCACTGCCACACCGGTGGGAGGGGTTGTCTCGTGCGGAGAGAGGGAGGGGAAGCCTTGCCTAGGGGCTTTTCAGCCTGGGGCTTTCTGATCCATAGCTCCACCTTCTGGCCAGGCGACTCTCCTAGACCCGAAGCACAGAGGGTGCTTTCCAATGGCCCTGCTTTTGCATTTTCAGAGGAAGACCTGACTCGTCTGGCCACGCCTCTTGCAAACCACCTGCCGTTTTATTTTGCATTAATGACTCTGTATTTTTCCTTACAGAATCAGTCAGAATCTTGTAGGTACAAAGGGGATTCGAATTTTCAGACCCCAGAAGGATGAGGGCGAACCTTCTGATTACTCAGATCTTTTCCGCATCAGGAGTAAAATCTGCTAGGAGAATGCCGTTTAGTGGGGAAAGCGCCTGCGGGAAAAAGGGGCTAGGGTTGCTTTCTTGTTTCAGACTGCAGCTTCGGCTGCTGCCTTGTGGAAAAAGCCAGTCTGGTGAAGCAAGCAGAGAGGCGGGCAAAAATTCAGGACCAGGTTCCAATCTCACCCAGCTGTGATTCACCGGTTGTCCCTGGACCAGTTGCTGTCCCTCAGCCTCACCTACCTCACAGGGTTGTTGTGAAGACAACACAGGAAGAGGGGGAATACTGGAGACAATCTAGAGATCCTTGGACAAAAGATGGGATAAGAAGGCATCATTCCCTCCATTTCTGATGTTCGGGCTTCGAGTGCCGTGGTTGATACATGGCGCCAAAAATCACATGGGATAGGGAATATCAACGGAGTTGGAGGAACTGCAAGCTTTGAAGATACACTCCCCGCAACCAAAAGAGCCCTTGGGGCGGGGGGGGGGGGGCTCAGAGCAGCTCCAAAAGGACAGTGCACATTATATTGGTGATTAGCTGTTACATGGAAAAGGGACCCTTGGAATGGGCTTCCAGGGGAGGTGGTTGAGGCCCCATCAGTGAGGGTGTTCAAGGATAGGCTGGGCATGCACATGGTGGGCATGTCATGAGCAGAGCCAGGGATCAGACTAGATGGCCCAGGAGGCCCCTTCTGACTCGCTCTGTTTCTATGTTTCTATGCTGGAAGAGGGTGAGTGGCTGGATTCCAGAGCAGCAATGCTCTATGCTGCAGAATTTTGTTGCAGTTTCCATTTAGGAAGAAAAGGCCCCAGAAACATAGAAGCTGAAGGGCCAGCCCTAGAGAGATGTCCAAAGATCACTTGGAATCCTGGAACAGTTGAGCTGGCAGGATCCAGTGAAGCCAACACTCTGCTCAACGCAGGACACCAAGTTCAAGCATCCACGTTGACCAGGGAGGCTGTTACACGGCTCCTCTGGACACCCCACGGACAACCGGCAGCTCTCCACCAGCTGCAATGCAGCCTGCAAGCCCCTGTCTCTGTCTGCAGCTGCCCAGCAACATTGGCTCCGGTGTCCCTCGCTGCCTTGCAGAAGAGGACTGGAAGCGGCAGGGAAATGTGCCAAGCGGTGCGGGAAAGAGCTCAGTAGGGTTTGCCAGTCTGTGGACAAATGGGGTCCGGGAGCAGAGGAGGGCGCGATGTCCGTGTGTGCTCCCTGTGAGACATTGATGTGGGGCACAGTGCAGGCGCGCACACACGTGCGAGAGTGGGGAGAAACGCCCCATCCTGCTGTTCCCCAGGGCCCCGTCCCTTGTGACCGAGAAGCCCCCCTACGCCTGCTTTCTGGAGGCAATGGGTGTGGTTTGCCCCACATCTGCGGGGTGGCTGGAGGTCCTGGTTCCTGGGTTCCCAATGCGGGCGGGAACGAGGGACCTGGAGCTGACCTGGGGGAGGAGGCTGGACATGCGTGGTTCTGCCCCCCAGCACCAGCACCAGCACCAGGATGGTCCTTGGCCCTGTCCGGACTGACCTGTGGCAGCGAAAAAGGAGCCAGTCAGGACAAGCGACGTCAGCAGGCACCCCGTGGAGCCGGCCATGGCCAGCCAGCAGGACCACCCGAAGTCGTAGTGGACGCCCAGGAAGACGCTGTGCAGCACCAGCCTGGCTCTCTCCCTGTAGACATCAGCGGCGTACCAGACGGAGCCCACCAGCCCGAGGATGCCTGGTGGGACGAGGGGGGGCGTCATCGGAGGCCCCGCCATTCCCGGTCTTGCTGCCACCCACTGTTTCCCAGGCACAGCCAGCAATGGGCAGACGAATGAACTGGGAAGGCTGGGAAATGCATGGCACGAAACCTCCGCAGAGGGAGGAAGCTTCCCCACATGTGAAGGATGGAGCCGGGCAGAGGAGATGCTGGGTGTCTTTGGCAGCCTTACGGCCCAGGCCCAGTTTAAGGTGCTGGGGGTGACCTATAAAGCCCTGAACGGCTTAGGGCCTGGTTACCTGAAGGAGCGTCTCCTTCCATATGTGCCTGCCCACACCTTAAGGTCCGGGGCAGAGGCCCTTCTCTGGGAGCCCTCCTTGAAGGAGAGCAGGAGGGCAGCTACCTGGAAAAGGGGCTTCTCTGTGGTGGCACCCCAGTTATGGAACATGCTCCCCAGAGAGGTTTGCCTGGGGCCATCACTTTATTCTTTTTGGCCCCAGGCCAAAACCTTTTTATTTTCCCAGTGTTTTAAGGCCTGACTGTTTTAATTGGGGTTTTATTGTTAGTTGAATTATTAGGATGCTGTGTTTTATTGTTTATTTTGTATTGTTAATCTGTCCTGAGACTTCAGTAATTGGACAGTTTAGAAAAGTTTAAAATAAATAAATATAAATTATGGCTAATAATAAAAGTCTAATAAAGAATTATCATGGCCAGAAGCAGGTGAGCCTCCCCTCTCCCTTCCCATCACCCTCCCATCTTCCTGTTATGGAGCCCAGTATCTTTCTCTCTCTCCCTTTTCAGTCCTATGCAGGGTGGGGCATCTGAACAACTCAATTGTGGGTTGTCGATGAATCATGTTTGCCACGGTGTGTGAACCCAGCTGTGCCAATAAACCATGGTTTGTTAGCCACGTGCAACCCACGGCTCAGCACCCACCCACAAACCATGGCTTCTCTTCACCAGTTCTCCATGATGAACAAACCACAGTTTCTAAGCATGGCCGGGTTCACACAAGAGCCTACGATTCAACTACAAGCCATGGTTCAGCGATAGCCCATATTCCACCCACGGTAGCTACCATTCTGTAGATTAGCAAAGCCAAACCTCCCAAGCTGGGGAGGACCCTTACTTCCAACTCCAAGCACGAAGCCTGATGACCCACGCATCTTCGTCTTGAGCTGCAGTTCATCCTTGAGAAGCTTGACACAGTCGAGTCCGGACACCAGCAGGACCAGAGCGAATCCAGAGAGGATGTCAGCGGTGATCAGCAATGCCCGCGTCACCACGATCTTCACTGAGGGAGGAGAGCAGAGCCAGCATGGGCGAAGGGCGGGCAGCTTCCCCTGCTATGCCATGGCTTCCTCTCTATCTGCCCGTGCCTATAAGGCAGTTTCCATCCAACGGTGCACTGTGTCTCGCCCAACCAACTTACAGACCTCCAGGCTGGGCTACATGTGTCGGGTGCATGCGCTCAGATGAGCTTCCCAGGCGCGCATGGGAGATGGAGGGCTTTGGTGGGCATGGCGGCTCAGGCTCGGAGGAGGGGGAGCGGATAGCAGACCCAGAGTTCTCACTCTGATATAGGAGTTGTGGAGATGAGCAGAGCCCCAGCTGCCCAAATCCTCCCAGTGAGCCAGCTCTGGATCAGAGCGCTTCAAGGAGAACCCCTGAGCCCCCTCCCACTCCTGATCGTGGGAAAGAGGCCGGTGGAGAACAGGGGAGCTCCCAGGGGAGGCTAGGGAGGAGTTCTCAGGGGGAGAACTTGGCACCCCTGGAGACGTGGGCAAGAGGGCCCGTCGAGGCACCCGCCAGCTAGACCGGTTAGGTGCTCGGTGGGAAGAACGTAGATGTGCTTGTCCCTCGAGCGAGCCCCCCTCCACAGACCGGCCCCAGGGGGTCATAAGCAAAGCTTTGGGTGAAGGGGGACAGGCGAGGGGTCAACTTTCCACGCATGTGTCACATTCAACCATGTGAAGACGCTGTTGCCGCAGGAGTAAAGACTTCTAACTGCTGAAGTGCCTGCCTCGTTTGGGAGGGGACGCCCAGCCAGCTGGCGACAACATGCAAATAAGTTGGGGGGCATGCAAATGGGTGCGGGAACGGTGCTTACTGGTTGCCGCTATTGGGTAAGACAAGGGTTAGTCCCTGAGCTGCTGCCGTCACAACGGCATCCCTGGAATAGAAAGGGAAGATGCTGGGGAGACTCAACCCCAGGGCGCCAGGCACTCTCTGGAGTTTCCAGCCCAATCTCTGCTACGTTGGGGGAGAGCTGGAGGGGCCGCTTCTCGGTGCACGCCTGGGCATGTGCCCTCCAGGACTAGCAGGCCCCCGGCTGACTGCAAGAGCTGGCCTCCCCATCTCCACCCTGCAAACCCCTCTTCAGCCAGGGCTACATCTCTGAGCGCTTTGCCCCGGGCCTGGCGCTTGTTCCAAAGCTACGTCCCAGGTCTGACACGGTTCTGCTCCGCCAGGCTCACATCCAGTGGCCAGTGAGAGCTTTTCGGCAGTCCAGGCGTGCGCAGAAACACTTCCCAGCCTTCTTTAGGGCCCTTGGGGGGCAATTTGGAGGGGGAGGCAGAAGTGGAGGAAGGCTAAGAATCCCAGTCTGAGTGCAGAATGGCCGGCGGGAAACTTACAGGGGTGTTCTGCCAAAATGGAATCAAACTGGTCACAGGTTTTGATGCCATCTTGCATGTTGGTGACACATTCCCTCCAAAGCCCCCGACATTTGTGGCTGACCTAGTGAGAAAAGGAGAAGGTTAGAGAGTCCAGGGTCTCCTGTCCCTGCTCTGAAAACACAAGAGGGAAAGATTTATGAAAACCCAAATGGAACCGGCTCTCCTGAGTCACAGTCCCGTGCTCTTAAGCACCACACCACACTGGCTCTCAGACACATGCACACCTCCATTTTGATAAATTGTTCCAAGTAACACACTGTGCAATTAGAAATATGAACTGAACCACTTAGTTTGTCTTTAAGGAAAGCACCGTCCAGGCTGAGAGTTCAGTTCTTGTGAGGGCTGAGAAACAATCCGCACTGTTTCTCACGAGGGGAAAATGCAACCGTCCTAGACTCCCAGTTTCTGAATGGAGCCATCCCGTTTCATAGCAGCCTGTGGCTGAGATCCAGAGACTGGAGAGAGACAAGACTAGAGGGCAGCTTGCTTTCCATCATGGAAGGCTCCTATTTCTTCCCAGCTGTATTTTGGGAGAACGGGGTCAGGAAGAGGTGATGGGGAAAGCCCCGAGGAGATGCTGGCAGGCGGGGTAGACTCTCAGCCTGCCCTCCAGGTGTTCTGGCTGGGGATGATGGGTGCTATACTCCAACACATCTGGGGCAGGGATATAACTAGGTCCCTAAAAGATTCCAGTTCCCAGAACATTGGCTCACTTGCTTGGACAGCCCGGTTGTCCCTAACAGGAGTTCCCTGGGACCCCACCATATTGGCTAGTAAGCTAAGAGGAAATTGGGATCAAGTCAAAGCTTATTTTGCTTAGCTCAGCTGCCGTTCTCCTTGAAAATCATCCCCTGCATGGCAATGAAGCAGAGAAAAAGCTTCCGTGGGCATGAAGGGTCCCACACGGCCTTGGGGAATATATCAGGTCCGTAGAAAATAGATTTAAAGCCAGGGGTCCCGTCTTGCTCAGAGGGCACCAGATGGAAGACGCTAGAGAAGTCAAAGGGTTGGAGCAGATATACAGCTTTTTTCTATATTCCTCAGAGGCCACAGTAACAGGTTCCCCTGGCTCCTTGGATCCTCGGCTCAACGGATCCACAAACGGACGAGTCTATAAACGCACCATTTACTAGCCTTCTCCAAAGGGATGCTTTCCAGGTGTGTGGAGCATTCTGGCTAGGGGAGGCCATTGAGCGCAAAAAATCGGAAGTCCGATTTTGCTCACTTATGCTCACCTCTAAACTGTCATCAGCATTAACCATCCAGCAGTCAGTCCAGGTAGCTACAACCAGGAAGAGGGTTGAAAGGAACGCCAAGCCAAAAGATGCCAGCTGCGAAACCGTTGCCATTGTGGAGAACTGAGGGATGCCAGCAAAAACACCGCCATTAAGCTCTGGGTGCATCCACCCATTCGTGCCCAAACACAGAAGTCCTTTTCCAAGGAGGGTTCTCAAGGTGGAAAAGCTCACAGAGAATCTTCCTGGCCAAATCTCCTGCAAGCAAGGCTCTATCTTGCCACGTGTCACCGGGGGACACCAGAACCCCCCTCCTTCCCAATCACTGATGATCACGAACCGTCAAACATATTGGTATCTTCGTGCTCTTTTAGATATTTAAACTTGCTGATTCAATTTCTCCAATAATTCCCATAAAGACAAATTTCACACTTTCCAATACCCATGAGTCAAATTCAGGATTCTATTATCTTTCCAGTTTTGGACGAAAGCTTGTCTAGCAGCCAAGCATAAAAAGAAATCAAATCTTTTTGCAAGTAGTTAATATTGAATTCATTAGTTAAATCATGTGCTGCTTGGGTTAAGATTAATTGGCGGATGGGTGATTTTGTTCATTGTATTTTCAAACTTTTCACGGAAGTGTCGAGCAAGTGGGCATCTCCACCGATGATGGAATGACATACCTCAAGCTCCGCCCCCTCCCCCTTCCCCGCAAATAAGGGAGAATTATTTTTAGTTATTCTTGTCAGCTGTACTGAAGTAAGATGCCATCCATAAATCTCTTTGATTGAACTGTTCCCTAGTATGGTCCAAGATTGGTTGTCATTTATTTCATCATTTAATTGGCAGTATCAAGGAGGCATGTATAGAAGTTCCAAACAATCCCAGGGTACATTTACATAGGAAGTTTTCTAGTTGTATGAGCTGCCTTCAGAAAAACTAGCTAGAAGATGTTTCTTCAATGAAACTTCAAAATCTGCTATGGCTTCTAGACAGAAGCCTACCCTTAGAAAATAAAATATATTTAAAATCAAGACTTGGTGGGCATGTCATGAGTGGCACCAGCTGGAGCCGGGGGTCAGACTAGATGGCCTGGGAGACCCCTTCTGACTCGCTCTGTTTCTATGTTTTATGTTTCTAAGACTTTTATGTTTGTTCTGCATGGATAAATTAAGAACAACTTTTAATAATCTAGGGGCTCTGGACTTGGCCTAATCATCATTTGGGCTTCCAGCTTAGCCATAATGAAAAAGAAAACTTTTCTTACAAAATAATTAAGCAAGAAACAATTAAAAGTTACATACTGAGACCTGTGAAGGAGCACCATGCAGAAAACTCCAGGACTTTGGCTTCTGTGATCCAGAGAAGTTTTAATGGATTAAAAGGAAAATAGCTGCAACAGAAGACAAGCAATTAAACTATTTGGCTTAGACCAGTGGAGGTGGGGAGAAAAGGGCCCCGCAAGTGAATTAATTAACCTGGAAGAGTTTAGAAAACATCCACCCTGCTCTGACTTCTGTCTGGTCCACAGAGTATTTTGCTGGCACAGAGATTTACAATTTTGCTTTCCACGATCTTTAATCTTAGCACTGACTGGAGAGTGTCCAGCAAAAGCACATCAAATGAGCAGGGATGGATCCTGGTACTGTTTTTCTCTGTGACATCTTTAATGTTCTGTCTCTGTGTCCCAGGAGACCGATGGAGATGCTTGTGGACGGCATGTGAGAACTTCTTAGCTGCTGAGTGCTAAGCTACTTAGAACATAGAAACATAGAAACAGAGTGCGTCAGAAGGGGTCTCCCGGGCCATCTAGTCTGACCCCTGGCTCCAGCCAGCTCTGCTCATAGAAACAGAGCGAGGCAGAAGGGGTCTCCCGGGCCATCTAGTCTGACCCCGGCTCCAGCCAGCTCCGCTCACGACATGCCCACCATGTGCATGTCCAGCCTATCCTTGAACACCCGCACCGATGGGGCCTCAACTTCTTCTTGCATCCTTCAAAGGTGACAGACAGTAGCATCTCTGCAGAACTGAGACCCATCGGTTCAGAGAAAGGATAGTGAGGAATACATATCCCATGTGCCATCAAGTCATCTCCAACTTATGGCAGCCCTAGGAATGAGAGCTCTCCAAATATTGCCCTGTTCTTTACAGCTGTTCTAAGTTCAAGGCTGTGGCTTCCTGGATGGAGTCCACCATCTCGTATCTGGTCGCCCTTTTCTTCTGCTTTCTACTTTCCCTCGCATGACTGTCTTCCCCAGGAGGTAGACCAGCAAGGATAAAACAAAAACAACAGAAGATCCAGGAACAGAAGTGCCTGCGTTTCTTAAGAACGCCTTTATCTCATGCATCTTCCAACCGGAAGGGGCAGTCAAATTCAACTCCAGTTGAAAGCTAAAGCACCATCAGACTGGCCCTGAAGTTGTGGATCCACAGAGCCAGCTCTTTCCAAACCCCCAAAGCTGAGATCCCCCCCCCATTATAGTTCTTTCTAAATTTGCAGCTGTGTGTGTAAATCAGCAGAGTCCCACACAGACACCCCCCGCCCCGAACACTGCCACAAACACAAATGTGAGGCAGTCCTTCTGAAAATACTCATTACATGCTCCACTCTGCCTCTTCCATAGAAAGGAGTTCGCCTCTGTTGGCACCGAGGGTTCCCAGCTTTGCCTGTGGTTTGGATTTTCAGGAACGGGAATCAAACAGCACCACGGAGAACTCGGAGCGCACCTGGACATGGCTCCACCAAGCAGCAGACAGTGAATGTGCCTTAAGTTGGAATTTAGCTTCCTTCAGGCTGGTTAGCCCCACCTCCACCCTGTCCAAAAGCCCCCTCTCTCGGAGGGGTCTGGTCTTCGTACCCTCACGCTGAGACATGCAGAGCAACCAGGCCCCGTGGGAGAACCAGCCCCTATTCTGCAGGAGCCTTCCTAGCAAGATCGCAAAAATGGAGAGCTTACCTTGAGGTTGGATGAGTCGGAGTCCCCAGGCATCGAGCTTGCAAAGCGAGCCAGCAGACGGAGCGAGGACGAGAACCCAGGAGCTCAGAAATGTGCGCTCCAAGTTTCTGAAAGCCATCAGTTTGGTCCAGGAAGGTCAGCTGGGATTGCAACAATTACCTGGAGTAGAGGGGGTGGCAACTGCCCCCCCCCCCTTGTTTAACAGCTAGCCAAATCACCTCTGGCTCAGACTTTATTCTCTCCCCACCCCCTCAACCATGTCAATTCAGCTTTGGGCTTTAGGGCCTGACCGTTTTCTTGCAATTAAAACAGCCACGGCTCAGGAAGCATGAACGGCACCCAAGGCAGGTGCTGGCATCTTCAGGAGCTTGGCAGGCGAGACCAGCCCAGCGGTCACCCCCAGCACGTCGATAGCCATCATCCCATCATCAAATGTTTCCAGAATAAGGAGTTCCAGCCCGTCTCCTCCAAGAAATCCGGGTGATTTTCTTTTCTTGTTGAATTTCTGGATCCCTGCTAGGAGAGCAGACCGTCCAGCTCAGCCATTCCAACTACAGCAACAGACTGGTAGGGCATCAGCCCAGGGCTTCTGGTTCTAGTAGTGTCAGGCCAGAATCATTGATTTTTCTCTCCTCTCCTCTCCTCTCCTCTCCTCTCCTCTCCTCTCCTCTGTTTCTGCTCTGCTCGTTACCCAAAAAGGGCTCCCAGAGTGGCTACCAAATGGCACAGTCCCTGCCTCAGATACACAATCCCAAGAGGCACAACACAAAAGGAAAGGGGGTGGGGAGGGAGGAGGAAAAACCCAGACACCGCTTATTCCTTTCAAAGTTCTTATGCATCTGCTTTCTGACAAGGGAGGGGGGAATAAGCACCCTGCAGCCATTCCATCTCTGGCCAATCTGTAGGGTCTGATTTGTCTCCCCGTTCCTGGGAATCACGAGGAGCAACTCAGTGGCCAGATCATTCAGGAGGCTCACAAGTCCAATATATAATTGATAACTCTCCGTTTGTCCTTAGTATGGGATATTCAGATGTGCATCAGTTCCTCAGCTATACAAACTCCTAAAGAAAGTGGAGTTTATTCCACGGAGTGCTATGCATTAGCCACTGTTTTTGATGGAGAGACCCAACCATTTTTATCCCATCCTCATGCGACTGACCGCCCCGGCACACGGGAACAAAGTTATGGGGATGTTTACAATCCATGATCTGTGCAGGAAAGTTGTCAGTTTAGTTGAAACTTCATTTCAAACAGCTTTGCGGGGAAGCTGAAGAGCAGACAGCCACCCGAGGAGACAGGGAATGACATGGCACGGAGCTACGAGGCAACAAAGATGAAAAGTGAACGACAGGGTTTCTAGGAAACACTGGATGCTATCGCTGTTTTTCATAAGGTTCTTGTTCCTCTGTATTTCATTTATATGAACTGCTTCCGCATGAGGAATCCATGATGCTTTTGGAGGAAAGGAGAGCTCAGGCAGGTGGAGAGCCGTATTGACCCTGGATTGCACTAGCCAAGCCTCCTTCCAGTCTCTAGCCTTGTTTCCCGTTGCCGTAAGTGGACGAGATCAATTATGGGGGCTGATGGGATTCTGTTTCCCCCACCAAAATATCTGAAGGCACTTGAGCTGGGTATATTCACCCCATTTGCACTCATTTTGGGGGTTTGGGGAACATTTCAAACCTCTGCGGTGTACTGACACTCGGCCCCTCTCCCCAGCCTCTTTTCTCTCTTTTAAAAAGCAACCAACCATCGCCTTCTGCCAAACATTTATGCATTTTTATACTGCCTATTAGCCAAGGCTCTTGTGTATTAAGAATGCACAAGCAGCAACAACTTAACGTAAGAGGATAAAAACCCAGCGATTGCAACCAGATCAGTGGTCCAGGAAAAATAAAATATTGAAACCAAAAGTGAGCTGTTAAAATAGTGGGGAAATCACAAGGTTTTCGCCTGGTGCCAGAAATAGTATCAAGTAGGGCACCTGGCACATGCCTCTGGGAGCTCGTGCCACAGCCAGGGTGCCACAACCAAAGAGACCCTGCTTCTGGTAGCTGTCCTCATTTCCCTTGAAGGGGCTTCCCAGAGAAGGACTCCCAAAGATGACCTCAGGGTCTGGGTAGGTACCTATGGGATGAAGCGTTCATTCAGATCGCCCAGCCCCAAGCTGTTTAGGTCTTCGCATGTTAATGCTAGCACACCGAATTGGGACCAGACTTCAACTGGCAGTCGGTGCAGCCGAAAGGGACTGGCAAAATATATTCTCATAAGCCGGTCCCCATTACCAGTCTTGCTGCCCTGTTTTGAATCTGAAGTATCTGTTGTCAAAGGTGGCCCCATGCCCAGCACATTGCAGTCCTCCGAACGAGAGGTTCCCAGAGCACGGGGAACTGTTCAGGCTGTGTTGTAGTTGATGTACTGCGCTTCTAGTGACAACTCTGGTTCCAGAGCATCCTTCAAAAGGCAGCCCTTCTCATTTACGGGGGATGCAACCACATCCAGCACAGGTTGAGTATCACCACATGAACAGATGAGCCACCCAGTGTCAGGTTGCTGTTCCGTAGCAGCTGACTCAAGAATTGCAGATGTCAAGGAGTAATTTCCCCATTACCCAACCTGCAAAAGATTTGTTAAATTGCTCTTGCTCTCCAGGTCGGTGGAGTGGGGGCACTTCTGCTCATGCAGAGCATAAGAAAGCAGATTCGTACTGTTCCCGTGAACGGTAGAGGCATTTTCTGTCTGAGAGACCATTCAAATAAAAACATCTGATAAAGCTGGAAAGCGGAAAGAAAGAACACCATGTCTGGCTTTTAAGTGCCCTGGACCTCGGCCAGGTAACTCAAAATGTTGAGATCTCTTTGGTAAGGCTGCAAAGATTGCTTTCTTGTCTGGAAAAATGATTTAGAAACAGCTCTGCCCCAAACAGAAGGACTTTTCTTCAAGAGCTGATAAGTTTAAACTTGTCCTACATCAAGATTTACTTTGATGGTCCAAAGAAACATGGTGCTGAAAACACGAGTCAGAAGCCAGGAAAACTATCCTAACTCAAGCTGGATTTTTGCTGTGAAACTTTGAAGTTTGATGAAGTATTGTTCTCTCTCAACTTTGCTTTCTTCACTTGCAATACAGGAAAAATAATGAAGCTTTTTGTGGTTTGTTATATTTCAAAGGCCCCAACCCGATTCATATTGAGACAGAAAACAGTCTGCCAGGACAAGCGAGCGACTGTATCATCAGTCACCACAAACACGGGTTCTTTTTAAACTGAACCATTTAAACCAATGACAGTACTTAATCCATAACATACGATCCCAATGCACGTACACAGCCAAATTCTGCTGAGGAGGACGTTCCAATATTTTTAACAGAAAAGCAACAAAATAAAATCCAGATGAAAGCGCTTCATTCCCAGAGGATGGGATCACAGATTTTCCTCTAAAACTGACAGAAGCATCACAACCAACTTTAGGACACAGTGGTAGGACAAGCTGCTCACTGAAAAAAACTGATACGAAGGGCACTGAGCTCTGGAATTCTCTCTTCAGGGGCTGAACCAGGGTTCTCGTGCAACGAGAAATATGTGTCTGAGCTGCAACATATCAGAGGGGCTTGAATGATCAAGTACTCCCTAAAAAATTTGGCTGCGTGGAAAAGCCACCCCGTTGGAAAAAAGTTCCTGCTTTTCCATGCTGATTCTCTATGTGGGGAAATATTCAGTTGTGCGATTCTGCACAACTGCAACCTGGGTGTAAACTTCTCCAAGGGGTGAGCACCAAGCCAGATCAGATGTGAGGCTCACAAGCCATCTCCCAAAGGACAGGCGGAACAGCAGCGCTCTGCGATCAGCTGGAATCAAATCGATTTAAAAAGCATCAGGGGACAAAGTGGGCCCTGACCATACAAACCTGCTCTAAGTGTAACTCAAGTGCCCCCCGAACTTGCAGCGGGTTTGCTGCTTTCCATAATTAGCCCCTCTGGGCCAGCATGTTTAACCCATCTCCTCCTCTTTCATGTCTTTTGGACTGGCACATGCAGGGAACGCTAATTAACCTAATCCGTCTGCACAATTAGGGGCTGGAGAGAAGGTGGTAATCCCCCCCCCCCCCCCCCCCCCCCCCATGGCTCTAGGTTTGGCTTGTGCCTCACTTGGGACTAATTGCGTCTGACTGCTGAAGTTCAAGCAGTTTCAAAACTTTCTGCAAGACTGAGCACAGAGCAGTTGTGCGAAGCTCTGCAACAAACCACTGAAAATGCGGACGTGCGGTCAGAACCAGGGTGCGTTCAGCCCCCTTTCCCTTTGTGGGGTGGCGGGGAGCATCTCCAGTCAGTGTGTGCGATTCCCCGAGCGCTCCCCATCTTTCTTTCTAGCCGAGCGTTCGTTACTGTGCTGTTGGGTCACCCCCAAGCTGTTCGAGGGGATTCAATTCTCCAGCCTCCCCTCCCTCATTTCTTTCTCCCCATTTCGTGATTTTATAGACATTTCTTCCCTTGAAGTCAGGTGGGAGGTGGTTGGACTTCTGGGCCATTTCCCACTGGAATATAAACCTGATGTGATAACATGCACACAGCGCTCCGAGTCCTTGGCAGCAACATTTTGGACTAAGTCCACATTCGCCTCCTCCATGGCTGGTCCCATAGCTCGCTATTCTAGGGAACGACCCTTTGCGTTCATGTTGGCCATGAATCAGACTTGCATTTCTGCAGTGCATCTGGAGCTAACTGGAGGCACCCATTCTTACGACACTTCTTGGCCAGGATCCTACCTGATTTTGCTTTCCATCTGAAGATTATTTTGAGCATCTCAGTCTAGAAAGAAGAGTATGTGCCTGGTACTAAATTATTGGAGCCCAAGGAAATAGAATCTGCCACTACCTCCTTTTCTTCCCCATCTATTTGCCAGGACATGAGAGGACCGGATGCCATGATCTTCATCTTCTTAATGTTGAGTTTCAAGCCAACTTTTGCACTCTCCCCTTTCACCCACATCAAGAGGCTCTTTAGTTCCTCTTCACTTTCTGCCATTAGAGTGGTATCATCTGCATATCTGAGGTTGTTGGTATTTCTCCTGGCAATCTTAATTCCAGCTTGCGATTCATCCAGCCCCGCCTTTTTCAGGATGTGCTTTGCATATAAGTTAAATAGGCAGGGCGACAATATATAGTCTTGCTGTACTCCTTTCCCAATTTTGAACCAATCAGTGGTTCCATATCTAGTCCTTGACCCGCATGCAGGTTTCTCAAGAGACAAATAAGATGGTCTGGTACTCCCATCTCTTTAAGAATTGCCACGATTTGTTGTGATCCATACAATCAAAGGCTTTAGCATAGTCAATGAAGCAGAAGCAGATGTTTCTCTGGAACTCCCTCGCTTTCTCCATGATCGGCGTATGTTGGCAATTTGATCTCGAGTTCCACTGCAAAACTCCACAAAAGACTCAGGACTAAGTACGTTGCACTCGGATGACATTCCAGCTTCGTTGCCATTTCTTTTGTTATTGGGCATTTTCACCTGGAAAACTAAGTTACTGGTTAGGAGGCAGTGGAGCAGGTTTACGGCTCCAAGCTTCCTCACCCTGCTGCTAAACTCGCACCTGTGCCGACTTCATGGGCACACCTGTTACCTTGATGTGTTGCCCCAGGGACTGAGATGCTTCAGCGCAAGGGCTCCTCATGCTTGGTCAGATGGTCTCCTCCACAAGCCCGTCTCCTCCTCCTCAGAAATGCACTTCATCCGATCAGGACAAAGCATTCAGCAAAACAAGAAAGGCAGCCCAGAACCCCATAGGAGTGAGGAGAGAGGAATACCACCGAGTTTAGAAAAGTGGAAACAAAAATACTTTAATAAGACATATTTTAGTACAAAACATTACAAACAAAGTGGTGTTTCTTTTTATTCAGAGACATCTAACAAGATAGACAATGCCATGGAAGAAGTTAATGAATGCTGACAAGACTAGTAGCTCTCAATTTTCAGTTTTGTATTTGAGCTAGATTTCTTGTTTTGTTGCTCAATACAGAAAATAGATCTCGGGGCGCAATGTTTGGGTCGTTGTTACAGTCATTTTGGTCTCTCGGCAGGGAAAGCAACAGCACCATGCATCTCCCCGTGATGGTATTAAACAGATTGCTCTCCCCGTTTTGCATTGGGTCTGAAAAATCAAGGGAAAAAAGAGGGCCGTTAGTTTCCTGCCCGTGAATGGGGTGGTGGTGAGCACACGCACAAACATTTGCACGCATCCATCCGCATGGAGCTTTTGCAAAGCTTGGGAGTGGGTGACGACGACAAAGGTTGCTTAGCACGGAAAGTGAGAAAGTAAAAAAAGGACACCCTGAGAAAAAGGATCCTAGAGCTGGAGGGGGTGTCTTGTCCAACCTGCTTGCCCGATGCAGGAGATCCTGAACTAAGCACCTGCAGCACAGAAATCATGGTGCTGCTGAATGTCCAGCCCGCAGGGGCTGGGAGAGGCAGTTTGGTCCTTCCATTCCACGGACATGCAAAGAATGACGATCCCTCTGGCTTCCCTCAAGCGGGGACCACACAGTTCAGACGTACTCTCTCGCTGCTGAAGGCTGGGATTGCCGGTAGTATTGCTGGCCCCGTTCTCCCGGTTTGGGGCAGGAGCAGGAGAGGAAGGAACCTCCCAGAAGGATCAGGCTGGCGGAGGACCATCCTACAAACAGAGCGGGTCCAAATTCGTACCTAGGACAAACCGCAAGATCGATGAGGGCAGGCAGTGGAGAAAGCAAAGTTCTCGGGCCTTCCAGGAATGTTTCTTATTGGAAGGGATTTTGCTGGCGGATTTTCCTGAACTCAGCCATCCTGTTGGTGTCTGATAGGCCCGGACACGATGCTCAACCTCTGGTGCTTTCCACCAAGTGCCAGCCCCTCGAGAGGCTTGGAGGGTGACAACTAAGGGAGGGCCTTTGCAGTGGTGGCACCCCATTTTTGGAACAGCCTCCCTGCTGAGGCCTGCCTGACACCAAATTTGCCATCTTTTTGGCTCCAGGTCAAGACAGCCCTCTTCGCAGAGGCCTTTAAAGATCTCCTTGGTTAGCCAGTGCCTGAGGGAAATATCTTGGCTATTCTTCTTGCTGGATCTTTTAATGGTATTTTTAATCTGTTTTACATTGATCTTAAATTATTTAAACACTTTTAAGAGTTGACAGTCCAGTAGGAAGCTGCAGTGCTGGCTGAAAACCTGACAATACAAGGTGTGGTGAACTGGTTTGCTCTCAAGTGTTTGAGACTTGAGAAATCTGGGTTTTAGTCCTCACTCCACCATGAAGCTCACTGGGTGACTTTGGGTCTGTCACTCACTCACCCGAACCTACCTTGCAGGGCTGTTGTTGTGAGGGTAAAACAGACTGGAGTGGGACTGTGTAAGCCCCCTTGGATTCCCCACAAGAGGAGAGGAGGTTGGAAAATGCAATGGAATCATCCTCATCCCATGGGGAAGATTAATAGCCGGACAGGGTTTATGATTTCCAGAAAAAAACACCCCGGAAGCAGTTCCCCACAAGCCTGCCTCTAGCGCAGGCCATGCCCTCCCTTCTCTTCACCTGGCATTAACCGGCGTGCTGGGGTTGAAGAATTCATACGTCACTCGTGCAGCGTACCAGGAAACCGCGGTCATCGCGCACAGACCTGGGGACAGAGGAGCAAAACCGAGCCGTCCAGCTGGCAGCAGGGAACAGCCGGGGCTTCAGACGAGCAGCGCACTCTGTGTCCGCTTCAAAGCCACCCCTCCCTCCCGGAGTGGCTCTCAAACGTGACGAGCAAAGCGCATCCACCTCCAGCAATGCAAAGCCTCCGTGTAGTTTGTCTCAGCGCCAAGAAATGCCAGTGACGGTCGGAAGCAAGCGGCCAGTGACGTTAGACTTTCAGGTAAGTGAAGCGAGTACCTTTCAGGTAAGTGAAGCGACTACCTCTGCAGCCTGATCTATCCTAGAACATCCCCATCTCCTGGCACGCAGTTCTGCCCCCCCCCCATGCCTCCCCCAGCTGTCCAGAGCACGCTGATTCCTGATTCTTTGTCCACCTTAAAAGCAGGCTCCGTTTCCTCTGTGCTGAACAGAGTGAGATCTTTGCCCCGCACGGGTATGTCCGGAACGAGCGCTCCCCGGCACTTCTCCGCTGAGAAATAATGCGCACCTCACGTTTTGCGGAACATCTCCGCTTCCGAACGACGTCCAGGCCGCAGCCTTCGGCTTACCTGCCAGCAGGAAGAAGACGCCCCCCAAAACCGCGATCCAGCTCTTGGCGATGGGGTTCTCCTCCCCAACCTTGGTGCACTCCATCCCAACGACGCTGACAATGATCCCCACGAAGCCCAGGAGGAGGGAGACCACCATGAGGGCCCGCGACGTCTGGATGTGCACTGCAGGGCGAGAAGGCAGGCGAGGTCTGGCCAATGCGCCAGGAAGAGCGGAAAGATGCCTCTGCTTCTTGAGCGATGCGCGCCCGGGATGCCGGCCATGCGCCCTTCGGGTGTCTGTCTGCACGCATTGCCCTGAGGGTTCTGGAGCCCATGACACAGACGCTGTGGTCACTTTGGCCCCGAAGGGCTCAGCCGTGCCCCCGGGCAGCCACCCTGGGCTCAATCCTGCCTGTGTGAGGTCCTGGGGCAGCACCAGGGCTCCCTCCTCTGGCCAGAGACCAGAATAGCAGCCCTGGTGGTTGCAGGACTGGTCCACAGTCACTCGCAGCCACCTGGATGTCACGAGCACCACCTGGGAGCCCCGAGGGAGGAGCTATATAACGACAGGGTCTTCCCTTCAGACACGGCCTCAGCGATGTGGGTGGCTGGGTATCAGGTCCAGGCAGCTGGCATGATATCCAGGCCCATTCCAAATCGTAGTCTGGCATTCCAGAGGTCAAGACAGGTAACAGAAGTGCAAGGTAAGTCAATCCAAATAGAGCAGAGGAGTCAATGCTGGTCAGGAGTAAAACGCCGGAGAGACAAGCCAAAGAGAAGCGGACACCTGGGACTGGGGCAGGAAAAGCCAGGCATGGTCCAGAAGCAGAGTGTCCAGAGTCCCCCAGAGGCACAGAGACCACCAACACCCATTTTTGCTGAGGCCCCATCTAAAGAGAAGAGCCGGTTCTTATATAGCTCCTCCCTCAGGGCTCCCAGGTGGTGCTCGTGACATCCAGGTGGCTGCGAGTGACTGTGGACCAGTCCTGCGACCACCAGGGCTGCTATTCTGGTCTCTGGCCAGAGGAGGGAGCCCTGGTGCTGCCCCAGGACCTCACAGCCCAGTGGCCCCGGATGCACAGGATGGATTGTCAGTGGGGACCTTCGCCCATCCGTCCTCCTGCTGGCCCTGGAGGGCAGGGCAGGCCAAAGGGAGCAGGGCTGCTGCTTCCCGCGATCTCATGAGCCATCCGGCTCTGGCTGGAGGGCAGGGAGGGCAGCTGGAATGAGCTGAATACCAGCGTGGACAGAGCAAGCCCTGCCCCAGCTTGGCCGGCAGCTCATCAAGGGGGTGCACGGCCGTGACCTGGGGAGGCGCCCCCACCTGGCTCGCCCCACTGGGCATCACAAGGAGCAAGGGCCATGCATTCAGCTTGGCCTCCTCCTGGGTCTCCCCGAGAGGAGGCCCAGAGGGATGCACCCCCCGTGCCCCCTCCCCACCCCCGATCCTGGCAGTGCAGGGCAAGGGGCCAGTCAGCATCACTTGCTCTCAGGGGAACAAGGGTGAGTGGCGCCTTTCCGCTGGCGCTGCCAAAGGGAGCTGGGCTGGGGAGCCACCCTGCCCACCCAAGCCGTGCGCTGCGGGACGGGCTCCCCCCCACCCCATTACCACTTGCGAGAAGCCCTGAAAGGGGAGGCTTGCTTCCCTCTTCTCCAGGATGCGAAGCCCAGCGGCTCCTTCCCAGCTGCCCCGAGAGCCATTCTGGCCGTCTTGGAAGCGCTGGTGGGCAAGACCGCTGGGCCGCGCGTCTGCCATGGGGTGCAGGGCTGAGAGCCTCCCCACCCCCCGCACAGGGGCTGCATGGACGGAAGGTGGCAGAGCCTAGAACGCTCCCCTCCCCGCTGCTCCAGGCACTGCGTGGAAACCCTTCTTGCGTCCTCCCAGAGGACTCGGCGACCTTTCGGCCCTGCGCACTCTCCTGGTCTGGCTGGCACTCTAGGCCACCCCCACCCCCAGCCCCACGTGTGTTGTGCAAACCCAGTCAGTGACCCATAACCACCCGCACAAAAGGGAGCCCCTCCTCGACCCAGGCTCCTCGCGCGGACGGAGCGGCAAAGGCGCCTTAACCCGTGAAAAGGTTCTCTGGCCCCCAGACAAGAGGGAAGGGGAGAACGAAGGAAGCACCAGAAAGTGGGAGAAAAGGGACCACCTGAAAATAGGGGTGTCCTTCACTTCCGGCTTGGATCCTGCCCTCTTCTCGCATGCCTTCTCCAAGAGATTACCCAGAAGGAAGGTGCTCTGGAGGGGATGAGGGTCCCGACCTCTGCCCCGCATCCACAACCAGTGCCAAGGCAGGATTTGCTTGTGGAAACTGCGAGGATCTTCACCTCACTTTCCCAAAGGGTCTGGGTGTCATTGCCTGCTGCACCGAGGCCTCAACAGGGGCCAGCCACATGGCAAGGCGTGTTGCAGAAGTACCAAAAACCCGGTGGGAGAGAAACCTCCCCAACCCGGGAACGATCCCCTTGTAGCAACGTTTTGCTGTCTGCCCCGCTGGGGCCCCCAAGACTGGGAGGGTGGATGGTGGAGACCGGGGCTCCTTGCTGCTATGGACTCTGACCTTGCCAGGAAACCTCCGTGGATGAATGGCATGGATTTCTCATCGAAGTGTGAAATGTGTCGATGTGGTTATGGAACTTTTTCTGTGTGTTTTTACAATTCCTTTAAGAATGCTTTGTCTTATTATTGTTAGCTGCCTTGAGAGCCATTTTGGATGAGAAAGCAGAATAGACATAAATAAATAAAAAATCAAGGTTTGGATGCGGTATGAATTGTGTCACGCTCTCAGAGGGGGGTGGGATGGGAAACGAACATCTGGCAATGTTTCTGTAGTTACCACTATTAGTGTTGTTGCTTTTACATTTATACCCTGCTTTTCTTTCTCTTGCAAGGAATCCAAAGCAGCTTACAAGACTTGCCTCCTCTCCATTTTATCCTCAAAACAACCCTGTGAGGTAGGTCACTGGCCCAAAGTCACCCACTGAACTTCATGGGGATGCAAACCCCCCAAAATGCCTCTAGTTTTAAAGCAATATCTGCCATCCATGGTTTTTGGCCAATAGTTATATTAAAAATATGTATTTACTTTCTTCCTTCCACCTGGTTTGGGCCAGTTTTATTGATGTGCTTTTATCTGAACCAATGGAATAAAGAAATATAGTCTCAGGAGGTTGAGAAAATAGTAACTAAAACTACTTTTTTTTTTCAGTGCTGGGAGACTTTGCCTCTTTACTCCATCGGATCAATTTTGAAGGTTCGACATCAATCGATCTAGCTGGTGCCACACCTTCATCATCATGATTAATTTAGGAAAGCCGTCACAGGTTTAGAAAGTGGCAAGCCATTATCCCACAAACCAGATCCACCCTGTTTGCCATCAGTACCTTTTAATGCTAGAGAAAGACTATCCTTTAATCACCGTGTTGGGTATAGGGGACGGGGCAACGCTCTCTGAAGAGGGTCCTCTTATCCCAAGGACAGGCAGTACAAACCAAGACCTCCTCGGAGAACTGCAGGACTGATTGGCAAGGATTTCTGACCCCCACCATTAATCACAGCAAGAATCAAATGATCCTCACCCCAGCGAAAAAGGATGCTAAACTTAAGAAAATGCTAGATAATCAGGGGTGAGCTTTTGTGCAGACGAACTGCGAACTCCCTTCAGTTCCGCTGCTGAAAGCAAACTGCCCAGAATTCTTTTCCGCCCGGCTGCGGTCCGTTTGCAGGCGACAAGCACGTTTTAAAAAAGTTTCCCCAATCAGAACAGCTCAGTCGATCCAACATGCCCCAAACCTGCCGCACTCTCTCTGCTGCTCCCTCAGAAGCCGACGCCGGTGCGATTCTCGGTCCTTTTGCGTATGGTCAAGCTTTGTACAGAACCACAACGGCTGGACTTGAGAGCGGTCCAGGAACAAACTCCAGCGGGAAAACTTTCCTGGAAGCTCTTGCCTTATGTCCGCTCCTCTGAAAGCCAACACGGAGGATCTCTCTCCGTCCCTCCCTCCGTCCCTCCCTCTTTTCTCTCTCTTTTCTCTCTCTTTTCTCTCTCTTTTCTCTACATACTGTGCCAGCCCACCTCAGCCTGGTCCGCTCATGCTGCGCTGGGCTGGAATTCCCAGCATCCCCGGCCAGCCTGGCCCATGCTTGGTGGGAACTTGAGTCCAACACACCTGGAAGGCACCAGAAGCATTTCCAGGCATCGCTCCCCCGCGTCCCCCGACGCGCCGCCCAGGGACCCTCCAGCCACTGCAGTCCCGCTCCGCCGTCTGGCCTGCGGGCGGCTCTTTAGTTCCCCCCAAAGCCCAGAGGGGCAGAGTCCTCACCGCAGGAAAACTCCCTCACCGGGATAAGGACCAGGGCGGAGTTATAGTCCCGGTGACCCAGCAAGCCACGTCGGGACTCCATTTGGTGGCACCACGTCGGGACTCCATTTGCGCAAAAGCTTGGGGGGGGGTCACCTCCAGCACCCCTCCGGAGGGGAACTCGCCACGGTCTGGAGCGTACAATCGAAACCTGAGGGTCAGGGGAGGCCAGGTAAATCGCGGAGGAAAGGAGGGGAGCTGGCTCAAAAGTGGGGGCGGAGCAGCCCCGCCGACGCCTTGGGCTTTCGGGGCGCTTCGGGAAACGAGCGCGCCTCTGAGCAGGTGCAGGGAAGGGGAAGCGCAGGGACTCTCGGAGAGGGTCCGGGGCCCAGGGACGCCCCCCCCCCCCGGAGCAGCCGGCGCCGCCCCGCCCCCCCCCCCCCCCCCCGACCGCGCCCCGGCCGCGCCCGGACGCACCGTCGAGCGAGAGCAGCGACTCGTGCAGCTTGCACTGCACCTGCCCGGTGCTCTGCGAGGCGCAGCTCATCCACAGCCCCTCGTACAGCCCCACGGCCGTGATGATGGCGTCGCCGGCGTACGAGCTCTGCTTCCACTGCGGCAGCGCCGCCGCGCACACGGCGCCCACCCAGCCGGCCAGCGCCAGGAAGTAGCCCGCCAGCTGC